GATGAATTGACTGCCACGTCTACATTTCCATAAACATATCCACAGACTTGGCCAATCTGACATTGCTTCCTTTTGCTTGGACTGTTTTGACAATTTTGGTCTGTTGGTACAATCGTTGATATGAGGCTATCGGACCTGATGTCGATACAACTGTAGCAGCTGAGGCATTCAACTAGAACGATACACAGGATGTCCACAAAGTCATTTTACAATTAAAATACAAATTTACCATATGCCGTTGTCTTGTAAAATATCTCAAATTCAGATTCCGTTGTCGTTGACTATATAATGAAGACGCTATATTGTGGCGATTCCCGACCCAATTTGATCGAAATTGGGATTTCATATGATACATCATCACAAGAGCTTAATACATGCACAGAATTAGCGACAATAAAGTCCCATGAAACGAGGACCAAGTGATTGAAGAGTTGAAGCGACGGTTATGTCCGCCATTTGTGACGACGGTATCTGACTTTACCGTTGTCAGGCTATTCCGGTATGACACAGACAAGCTGTTTTTGAGAGTAAAATTGATTTACAATTGTTATCACCTGGCAACAGGCACAAACTAATGACGGTCTGATTGCGCAGCTCTGATATTGGCTTTTTTTAAATGCATTTTTGGATTCATCAATTCTCACATAATAACCGATCTATTTCATATTTTTACAACTTGTACTTATGATACCCTATATTATTGACTGTTATCAAATAAATAGTACCAACAAAAAGTTCCGAAAAGCAAGCCCAATGTCCTGTTTAAAAAACCCTATTCTTACTTTTGAAAATGGATTCTAGCAATACTATCCAACATGAATCTACTTATTGAGACTCGATCAACTTGAGTTCTTCTGAGAAAATGAGGCAATATTCGATAACATTTTTGTCAATAGATTTACTCTACCACTCCGGATAGCGTGATATGGTTAGAACAACAATACTTTAGGATGTTATATATCGATTGAAGTAGTGCAAGTGTTTCCACAATTTTTTTACATTTGTGTCAAAGACCTTTAACATGGACTGGGAATATCAATATATCTTTCGGGGACGTAGTCAGCAAATGTCAAGGGATGTTGTGAATGTTTGGGTTTGCATCACTGCCAGTGAAGTGAGCCCAAAAGGGGGATAGGAGGTTCTCCCTCGGAATTTTTTGAAATTTACATTGTATAAAGTGCATTCTACGCATTTCAAACTATAATTTGTTTGTTCATGTTTTTTCAAAAAATTGATGTTTTTCTTTTTTGTGGGGGGTACACCCCCCTGGCTATGCCAATGTCTTTTATTTCCAGTTAAAGAACTTCACTTTAGATTAAGTTAAAATATTGCAATATATAAACTTGAAAAAAAAATTGAATAAAGAATGTATAACTCAATGGATTGAAATACAAGTTTAATGTTTACCTCAAACGTTGCTCTCGAGTTCACGTAATAACGCAAATGCGAGTAGGTAGTTACCAGTTTCACCACCAGGTGGCTCGCTCGGGTCAGATAGCATGGCGGGTATAGTAGAAAGTTCCCTTTAACTTAAATTACACCTGTTTTAGTGGTTCAATTTTCATATAGCCTTTATGTATCGAATAGTTATGCAAATTAAAGTATGTCCAGTATAAGAAAATGTTATATGTCCAATACAAGAAAAGATATTTCACTTTTTGTGATTTTGTAATATGGGGGAATCAACCCGAACTAGAAGTCACATTTTTCAAATTTTCAAAGTTAATAAACAATTTCCAAAACCATAATTTTGGATGTATTTTTACATGTAGATTTCAAATATGACACCACTTTGACTGAATTTTGAATATTTAATGACGTAAATCAAGATCATTTCTATTCGCATCTAGTCTATTGACAGACCTATCCATCTTATGTGCTCATATGGGTATCAACAGTCATATAGAATTTCAATTCAAAACAAATAGTGCCTGCCACTCTACCAATCATATTTAAATGAGTTGGTCATAAAATAGTAGATTAATCCGGAAGCCGACAGGCGTTAGTTGCATTCGCGAATACAAGGTTAGTCTAGCTACAAGACTCTGTGATCCCCTTGTGGGGTTGCTACAATTATATGAAGACTAAATGTACAAATGTGCCGATTATCATCCAAGAGGAGGGAAAGCCCCAGAGCTTTAGCGATGACTGACATAATACGTCTCTTGCGTACCACCTTCGTTTGCGCAAATTCTCACCAGTTAATATTCGAACAAAGCGCGTCGTCGTGATGTTTTAATCGATGTAAACATAATCCTTACATATTTCTTTATCTTGATGTGAAAAACCAAGCTATGATATTGGTTAATATGCCAGGAATCAACCTAATATTTTTCGAAGCGTTATTAGAAAATTTTGAATCCGCCATTTCTGTTTATCGATTTGGACCAATTAGAGGTGTATGTCATCTCAATACAGGTTTACATTATAAGCGTATGTCATCTTTTAACTCTGGTGTTAATCCCCCTCTGTTATCAGCCTGAGTAATTCCTTAAATTTACAAAGATGTGAGGAAAATTAAATACGAAACGGGGTTTCCGTTTTTTGACCACAATGTACTGTGTTGCTGTATCGTAGTTGAATTTTAAATGATTTGAAGTTTATGTCATATTAGTCTAGAGATACTATATTAGTCTAAGAAACTTACCGCTCTTACATAATCCTGCTATTATCAAAGCAAATGGTAGAATCCCTTTTTCCATCTTTGACATGAATCACTCAGTGTACCCTCGTCAGCTTGAGCATATGTCCTTTGAGGGGTTCTCTACACGTTCTCTCATTCACATTTGTATATTATACAAGTGGATGTCGATGTCGACGATCGATCAATGCTTCGCAGAACCATCCATTCAGGGATTGATTGAATGGATGGTGTTCACTATGCCCGGAACGCTTTGAATGCAATCTCATTTTCATTTTCTTTGGGGGGTTGAAGTTCTAGCCTACATCAAAGTTTAATTCGCCTTTGCATTCGTTCAACTTTACTTCTAAAAGAAGAGAGCTTGAATAGTGGAGTCAGTTATGACATTAAACCCTTGAATCATTTATATGAATTGCACTTGCTATATATATGGCACCATCTTTTGACATAAGTATATTAAATACATATATTTTTGATATCTAACGAAGTGATGTTGAAACGTGGCCCCAGTTGATGATAGCAGGCTTCGAAAACTTTGCACATTTACATTGGTCTCCATGTTAATTTATCAATCTTCAAAACTCCCCCTGTAGAACAGTTCTAGAGTAATAATGCCCATATTCCTAGTATGTTACAATAACATGATTATATTCAAAATAAGAAGGGTTAAATTTTTTCTTTTACCTAGTTCAAAAGATACTGGCTTTACCAATATGGCTTTACTAAAGTGCATTTTTTATCAAAAAGTCCACTATGGAATTTTCTAATATTGTAGATTTTGATAGTTAATATATAAGTGTAAAGAAAATCAAACAGACACATTTCTGAACATTTATTATTTTTGATATATCTAGCCGTTAAAAACTATGAAAAACCTATATTGAGCCCCATGTTAATTTATCAATCTTCAGAAGACCCCCTGCAAAACAGTTCAGAAGTGATAAAGCCCATATTCCTAAGATGTTACAATTACATGATTATCTTTAAAATAAGAAGGGCTCAATTTTTTCTTTCACCTTGTTTCAAAGTTATTGGTGTTGAAATTTTGGAAAATCCCCATTGGATACCAGTATAAACCGCTATCAATAAGGCTTACTTTAAGTGTTCTTTTCTGAAAAATATATAAAATTTTCTAATATTGTAGATTTATATAAATCAAACAGTTACATCACGCCTGGTGATCGTACAAAATGGATGGAGGGGGAATTAGGCGATTTCTGCAAGAAAACTCAACAAATTTGGAAGATTTATTTTTTCAAGAGAAAATTTACAACTGAATTGTCAATTGAATAGGCGCAGTGCATTGCAAAATATGTTAGGTTATCTAATATTTTTTTGAACTGATACCCTTCCGAGCTAACATATGAGATCTAGTAAAAAAGGCGCATCATCACCGACGTGCAAAAGTCAAAGTTTTTGCTATAAATCTGGCAACATATGGTCTATACGGCCTGTAATAAATAGGTATAAGGGACGTTATTATCACAATACTTATGACATTGCTCACTTTTTAAAGTTAGTTTCCATGCGTTATACAAAAAATTATCGAAATAAATTAATATTGGATGGAGAGGGGAGTGGATATTAGAAAATTCCATAGTGGACGTTTTGAGAAAAGGACACTATAGTTAACCCATATTGATAGCGGTTTATAATGGCAGCCGATGGGGATTTTCCAAAATTCAAACGCCAGTATCTTTTGAACTAGGTAAAAGAAAAAAATTAACCCTTCTTATTTTGAATATAATCATGTTATTATAACATACTAGGAATATGGGCATTATTACTCTAGGACTGTTCTGCAGGGGGACTTTTGAAGATTGATAAATTAACATGGAGCCCAATTTAAATGTGCAAAATTTCGAGATATATAGCCTACAATGTTGATGTCGCTTATTTTTAAAAAGCAAAATCAAACTACTGTATCGAAAATAATTATTTTAACAAAGAGGGTTGAGCCCGGGGGTTGAGTGGTAAATATTGTGAATCAAGTGCTCAACAGTAAGTACTTTAACAACGTAGTACATAGGACTCGATGAGTTGATAACTTAACTCATCGATTTAGAAACTGACTGGAGGTCATTCTACTAAATGTACAGTAACATGTAGATAGTCATTGTACATTTCGCATATGGTATTTTCGCCCAATAGATAAGTAGGTAACATCCGGGTATTCACAATCATAAAAAATGGCTGCGCCCTCGAAGACAAAGACAATGTTTCGATCTCATTTCCACTGTACACAGTGGATGCCTTTACTGAAATCCCATTTGCTGGTAATTCTGCTGCAGTATGCCTGGAGGAAACTAATGGCGATCAGGTGCTAACAGACGAAATAAGACAAAGAATCGCTGCAGAAATGAACATATCTGAGACTGCTTTCATCACGAAAATCACGCCTTTGGATTCTTTCAAGAGTTCAAGGTCAGTATATGGTGCTAACCACGCATATTATATTATATGTTCAATTGTTGATCCATACCACTGAGAATACTGCACTGCAATCGATAATATCAATAGAGTTTATTCCACTATTGTTATAATCATAGCATAGAGTCTCACATTTTTAGCAGTGATTTCAGAAGGATTATGGCTAATATTATAATACCATACCAAGATATAAACTTTAGCCTATTGACCGGCATATACATTATTGGTCGCATCCCCCCTTGACTGAAAGCTGACTACACCCCTGAATAATAATGAAGGAAACTCAGAACTGTTTTATTGCAAAAACTCTATTTTTATTAAGATCACTCGTGATATATGTCCAAAAATAGATTGCCAAGTATGAAACGGTAAAAATTGAAAGTCTCACTAGATTTGTTTCATTTTGTATCTATTTCTAGCTATTTTGGTCTACGTTGGTTCACGCCTACCAACGAGGTGCCCTTGTGTGGTCATGCTACTTTGGCGTCCGCGTCTGCCCTCTTTATGTGTGAAGGAAATACGTCACAGAAGCTAGGCTTTAAGACATTGAGTGGGGATCTGTTTGCAACACGTGATGGCAACAAAATTATGCTAGATCTTCCACTAAATCCACCAGAACCTACTGAGGTGAACTATTCAGGTTCGTGTTAAAATCTAAGGTAAAACCCGAAACCGGGACCGAAAATATACCTTACATTTTGTGATAATTTTCCCAGTTTTGATGTCTGGATGTTAGACATAGAAAGAGCAAGTTAAAATATGGGGTTACCGTTTCTGATTTTTGTCAGTATTTGAATGAGCTCTTGATTGTCTTCGAAAATTACATCAATATTTCAGTTTCTTTTCTTGGTCAATGTCAATGCTATTATGAAAAAGCATGTTTCTTCAAATCTCAAATACATTGATGCAAAGAATATATACTCAATTCCTTACAACTGAGAATGTTATTTCGAAATAAGATTGTTTGCATCATCTCGGGTCACCCTGTATTATTTGATACATGATTTTTGACAAGTGGAGATAATTGTTATAGTCTCCATTTTTTGCGAATGGTGTTCGGCGCTTGGTGTTCGGCGTTCGGTGTTCAGTGGTTGGCGTCTGTAACAAATGGTAGGTGGTGACATGTTCCATATTAATGCCTTAACGTTGCACAGGATACTGTCAACTACTGTCAACTGAATGAAACCAAATAACACAACATTTCAAACAAGGTTGTTAGATGTAACACTGTCACACGTATGTTTCAGAGTATTAAAGGCCCCGTGTAAAGTTTGTCATTCGAATATTACTTTTTATGACTTAAAAACCATTTGAGACACATTTTAAAAATATAACTTTGTAAAAAGTCGTTCATCTAATAATTTTCAAATATTTGAATTTCCCGTCATTTAGGAAACAAAAACTTAGATGTACTAGATAGATATAGAATTAATTTTCCCTTTTTACCAATCAATTCACCAGGTAAGCATGTTATATGCAAACTGCATAAATTGCATTAATCGACAAATTTGTTGTTTTAGATCTAATCATAGCAGTGATTGGTGACCTCATTGATGTCGTAAAAGATATCCAATATTCAGCTACTACTAAGAAACTACTGATCAGACTAAGAGACGACACACAAAGAACAGCCTTGGAAAACATCACTCCTAATTTCGAGAAAATGTTGGAGTTGCACACAACTGGGGTTGTGAAAGGCGTTGGGGTAACATTAAAAGGAAGTACCGAAAATGGAGCCATAGACCACAAAGGTCAACAATATGACTTCATATCCAGATATTTTGCCCCATGGGTTGGTATCAATGAAGATCCAGTGACAGGGTCAGCACACACTGTGCTCGGTCCTTACTGGGGAAAACAACTCGGAAAGACAGAACTATACGCCCGCCAATGCTCCAAAAGAGGCGGTGATCTTGTCATAAGTATACGACAAGATGGCCGTGTTAACGTAGGGGGCGCTGCAAAGGTGATAATTAAGGGACAAATATATGTATAAAATTGTTCAAGGTGTTATTTCTGTTACATAGTTTGAAATTCTGAAATATACTGAAAATCATAATTGAGCAAACGGTAAACAAGAACCAGGTTATATATTTAGGGAGAGGTAATCCATCATGCTGTGTCTAAATGTTTTATGCTGGATTATAACAGCGAATCGATTTACACAGTATTTTTTACAAACAGTACATTGTCATTATTATTTTTATTTATATTATATGAATTAATTTCTGATCTAAATAATTACATTTACTCACCCTAATTGATGTACATATCTGACATCTTTGAAATATACATATTGTTAATTTACATGTACAAGCTACACATAGACTGATTTCAGCTCGTGCACGATAAGCATTCAATAAGGTTTTTCCCGCCAAGTCCATCCTTCAAGTTCGGGGTTCACTACTAAAGCAGCTATAGAGAGCACTGAGATACCCTTTAACTATAAAGGATGGGCCAAGTCCAGTATTACCTGACTTGGGCCATGGCTCATAAGAGAGTTCTATGATTGGATTTGAGAAACCTTAGCATTTTGCCACGATATAGACATACGAGGGTATTTCCATAAGTTCTAATAAAATTTCTTGAATGAATGAATAACATTTTCAGGAAAAATATAAAAATATTTTGGATTTATTGATATTCCGCCATATGAGGGGAGAAAATGTCCATGAATCTCAATCAAAAGGTCTTGTAGAACTGCAGTTGTACAGTGACTTGTCTCTCTAGAAGTGATGAGCTTGTTGGCCTTGTTGTGTTAGTTCTTTATGTTTCAGGCTTCGATCTAGTAGATATCAACTAGGCCTACTTAGGTTTGCTAGTGCTGTGTGCTTCTTGCAGAGGTCTAAATATTCGGAAAGTATGAAGTTCGTGATTTCCCGTTTCAAAATATGATTACAACTTAGAAATTAATTCTGCCATTGCTGGGACACACACAAATTAATTTCCTCGATTAGGAAACGAGAGAAGTCTTCTTATGAAATGTACAGGGTGTTTCATGTGTATGTACCCCTCTAAACTCATACATGTAGCATTGCCACCACATCATGTTATATATCATTTGGTTCCTTATGGAAAGTTACTTGTGGAAAGTTTCAGAATCAAGGGATATCCCTGAAAAAAAGATAAAATGTATCAAGTATGCAGGTACGGGGTCATTTATAAGAATTTTTACATGCAGTCCAGTCCTCTGTTCACTTTGTCCACTGCCCTTTTTGACTGATAATGTGGTATCGTGGTCCCTAGCCTTCCTATAAACCACTGTGCGAATCCTGGCAATATATCTTTGTGCATAACTGTCACAGACATTTGAACTGAACTCTGCCACATTGACAACTGCTAGAAATGTGTAATAAGTAAACAAACTTTGTCATTTAATTTGCCCTCAAAATGACCAGAAATTGCTCTCTCAATACCCCGTACCCACATACTTTGATACATTGTATTTTTTCAGGGACAGTCCTTGATTCCGAAACTTTGCAATCTTATGTAACTTCCAATAAGGAACAAAATGATATACGAGGGGTGATCAATAAGTAATGGACGCTTTTTTACATAGATGGTTTTTATGGACCAATCTCTTTAATTTTTTCACCGTGATACATCATTCAATTTTCTATCAGCTCTGAAGATTTGGAGACAAAGCATGTAATATATGTTGATATATCTTTATTTCTGTGAAGGAGGTACAAAACGAACCATGGTGATTATGAATTACACCATTTCGATACGCCATAACTAATTTTAAATATTTTGTCATCACTTTGTGGGATCCATGCCACCTTCATTCTACAGGGCCCTCTACATAGGTTCCATCAAGTGCTACACACTCCTCATTATCCTCTCAACCCAAGATTGAAAGTCAAGGCCGAATCCATTCTCTGACATGGTAACAAGCTGCAGTTACACAGCTGGTTTTATTTCATCAATGTCATTAAATCTGCATCCTTTCTCTACAGAAATAAGTAGTATAGAAATAAATAAGTCATAATATGTGGCCAGATCTGGACTAAAGGCTGCATGGGTCAAGGGCTTCATGTTCAGGTCCAGGGATATTGTATCCTGCACAGTTTGAGATATTTGGGCAGGGGCATTATCCGCATGGAGTACGGTCTTACCTCCTCTTACTAGCCCCTTCTTCCACAGTGCATTCTCAAATCAACCTGCAAACCCTGACCATACAACACTTTGACATCACAATACTATAATCTTTTATGTGTTACCACAGGCAACATGATATTCAAACAACACAAATCTTTTGGCATATCAAAAAGTTCAAATCTAACTGATATGCTAAATTGGCATTACTTCAGAATATGTGACGTAAATGTCGGTCCCGGGGTACCTGTACCCCCTTCGCGAAAATAAAGATATATCAACACGGATTACATATCTTGTCTTTAGATCTTCAGAGTTGATAGATAATTGAATGATGTATCACTGGTGAAAAAATCAAAGAGACTGGTCCATAAAAAGCATCCGTTTAAAAAAGCGTCCATTACTTATTGATCACCCCTCGTATAACATGGTATGTTGGCAATGCTACATGTATGAGTTCAGAGGTGGGAGCATACATATGAAACACCATGTACTTTCCTGGTTTCTTTGAGAAACCTTTCTCCCAAGTGGTGCAGTTTATGTTATTTAAAAGTAAAGTTGCGGTATAAGTTTGGCTTAAAACTTATATCTAAAGCTCTCTATTACCTATTCCAATCTTATGTATGTATAAGTCTTGCATATACGGCAGCAGCAACAGCAACATATACAACATACTATCAGGACAAGTCCTATTCCAGCCAATACAAGACTCCAGATGGGAAAACTGAAAACAGTGTCGCATGGTTTAATGGTGAAGACATTCTAGTTCTACTTGTGACATTAAGAGGTTTAAGTCACCCGCAGCTGAGAGGACTTGAACGTAAACGGGTCAAATTGTGACCTCCTGGAATTGGTTCAATCGGTTTAAAGGGGACCTTATTATAACTTTTTTCTCTAACCTTCATATCGAGCAAATACAAGTCATTGAATTGACAATTTAGTCCATGATTTTACACTTTTCACACTTTGACGTTCTCTGAAATAGTGAGAGCTTAAAGGCAGAATCAGATCTAGCAATTTATGGTGCTTCATCTCGACGAAAATTGTTTCAATTTAACAATATGTTGGGCTCATATCATTCTCTGTCATGTCCAAGACATGTCTACAAGTATATACTTTATTTGGGGGAAATTAAAAATTTTATAATAATGCAATCATTTTTTGTCCATGAGAATGGTTACCATTTATATTATTTGGGAGAATTTAAATGTTTTTCCCCCATTATTGCACTTTGGATCTTAAATAACTTCACCAATTGATAACATATCACGGATCTTTTGGGAGACATCATCTTTGAGCTTGTAAGGAATTCATTGGTAGATCAAGTGTACATATTGCTTGCAATTTTGTCACTCCCCATATAGATCTTGTTCTGCCTTTAACCTTCCTATTATTCACCACACCATATGCATACTCACCATATTCCAAAAATGTTTACATCGGGACAATCTGGATTGGTATCAGGCCTACACGCATCAGTATTACAGAAACACATATTTCCATCAAGTTTTACATCAGTCAGGCCAGTAATGAAAGACAGCGGCTCATTTAAGATGTCCGTACGGCCTTGGTACTTGTGACAATTCATAGTCGTGTTGGCGAGGACTTTCATACAATCTCTCGCGTGTATGGTGAAAGTTTCATTAGTTGGTGTCTCTATAAGACAAACCAGTGTTGTACTTTTACATCATTATATTTTGGGATATGTACACCGACACATCAACAGTATAATTCTAGAAGGGGCAAGTGGGCTTATTGAACACCTCAACATAATGATTCTAGAAGGGGCAAGTGGGCTTATTGGATACCTTAACATAATGATTCTAGAAGGGGCTAGTGGGCTTATTGGATACCTTAACATAATGATTCTAGAAGGGGCAAGTGGGCTTATTGAACACCTCAACATAATGATTCTAGAAGGGGCTAGTGGGCTTATTGAACACCTCAACATAATGATTCTAGAAGGGGCAAGTGGGCTTATTGAACACCTCAACATAATGATTCTAGAAGGGGCAAGTGGGCTTATTGAACACCTCAACATAATGATTCTAGAAGGGGCAAGTGGGCTTATTGAACACCTCAACATAATGATTCTAGAAGGGGCAAGTGGGCTTATTGAACACCTCAACATAATGATTCTAGAAGGGGCAAGTGGGCTTATTGAACACCTCAACATAATGATTCTAGAAGGGGCAAGTGGGCTTATTGAACACCTCAACATAATGATTCTAGAAGGGGCAAGTGGGCTTATTGAACACCTCAACATAATGATTCTAGAAGGGGCAAGTGGGCTTATTGAACACCTCAACAATGATTCTAGAAGGGGCAAGTGGGCTTATTGAACACCTCAACATAATGATTCTAGAAGGGGCTAGTGGGCTTATTGAACACCTCAACATAATGATTCTAGAAGGGGCAAGTGGGCTTATTGAACACCTCAACATAATGATTCTAGAAGGGGCAAGTGGGCTTATTGAACACCTCAACAATGATTCTAGAAGGGGCTAGTGGGCTTATTGAACACCTCAACATAATGATTCTAGAAGGGGCAAGTGGGCTTATTGAACACCTCAACATAATGATTCTAGAAGGGGCAAGTGGGCTTATTGAACACCTCAACATAATGATTCTAGAAGGGGCAAGTGGGCTTATTGAACACCTCAACATAATGATTCTAGAAGGGGCAAGTGGGCTTATTGAACACCTCAACATAATGATTCTAGAAGGGGCAAGTGGGCTTATTGAACACCTCAACATAATGATTCTAGAAGGGGCTAGTGGGCTTATTGAACACCTCAACATAATGATTCTAGAAGGGGCAAGTGGGCTTATTGAACACCTCAACATAATGATTCTAGAAGGGGCAAGTGGGCTTATTGAAGACCTCAACATAATGATTCTAGAAGGGGCAAGTGGGCTAATTGAAGACCTCAACATAATGATTCTAGAAGGGGCAAGTGGGCTTATTGAACACCTCAACATAATGATTCTAGAAGGGGCAAGTGGGCTTATTGAACACCTCAACATAATGATTCTAGAAGGGGCAAGTGGGCTTATTGAAGACCTCAACATAATGATTCTAGAAGGGGCAAGTGGGCTTATTGAACACCTCAACATAATGATTCTAGAAGGGGCAAGTGGGCTTATTGAACACCTCAACATAATGATTCTAGAAGGGGCAAGTGGGCTTATTGAACACCTCAACAATAATTCTAGAAGGGGCAAGTGGGCTTATTGAACACCTCAACATAATGATTCTAGAAGGGGCAAGTGGGCTTATTAAACACCTCAACATAATGATTCTAGAAGGGGCAAGTGGGCTTATTGAACACCTCAACATAATGATTCTAGAAGGGGCAAGTGGGCTTATTGAACACCTCAACATAATGATTCTAGAAGGGGCAAGTGGGCTTATTGAACACCTCAACATAATGATTCTAGAAGGGGCAAGTGTGCTTATTAAACACCTCAACATAATGATTCTAGAAGGGGCAAGTGGGCTTATTGAAGACCTCAACATAATGATTCTAGAAGGGGCAAGTGGGCTTATTGAACACCTCAACATAATGATTCTAGAAGGGGCTAGTGGGCTTATTGAACACCTCAACATAATGATTCTAGAAGGGGCAAGTGGGCTTATTGAAGACCTCAACATAATGATTCTAGAAGGGGCAAGTGGGCTTATTGAAGACCTCAACATAATGATTCTAGAAGGGGCAAGTGGGCTTATTGAACACCTCAACATAATGATTCTAGAAGGGGCAAGTGGGCTTATTGAAGACCTCAACATAATGATTCTAGAAGGGGCAAGTGGGCTTATTGAAGACCTCAACATAATGATTCTAGAAGGGGCAAGTGGGCTTATTGAAGACCTCAACATAATGATTCTAGAAGGGGCAAGTGGGCTTATTGAACACCTCAACATAATGATTCTAGAAGGGGCAAGTGGGCTTATTGAACACCTCAACATAATGATTCTAGAAGGGGCTAGTGGGCTTATTGAACACCTCAACATAATGATTCTAGAAGGGGCAAGTGGGCTTATTGAACACCTCAACATAATGATTCTAGAAGGGGCTAGTGGGCTTATTGAACACCTCAACATAATGATTCTAGAAGGGGCAAGTGGGCTTATTGAACACCTCAACATAATGATTCTAGAAGGGGCAAGTGGGCTTATTGAACACCTCAACATAATGATTCTAGAAGGGGCTAGTGGGCTTATTGAACACCTCAACATAATGATTCTAGAAGGGGCAAGTGGGCTTATTGAACACCTCAACATAATGATTCTAGAAGGGGCTAGTGGGCTTATTGAACACCTCAACAATGATTCTAGAAGGACGTGTTGTCCTTGCTCAGATATCTGCACTTGGCTCCGGAATAGCCTGACAACGGTAAAGTCAGATACCGTTGTCACAAATGGCGGACATACGTAACTGTCGCTTATGTCCGCCATTTATGACAACGGTATCTGACTTTACCGTAGTCAGGCTGTTCCGGTGTGACTTGGCATTTGAAACCCTTAATTTTATCACCATGTCATATACCAAAGCAAGTCAGTGTTCTACTTGGATGTTCATTTTGAAATATGTGAGCTCTCGGTCTTGACAGACATTTTAATCATCTCTTCGTATTGACACATGTACTTTTACAAACATTCTTACACTTTTACAAACTTTTACAGACATTCTTACCTAAACCTGATGAATTGACTGCCACGTCTACATTTCCATAAACATATCCACACACTTGGCCAACCTGACATTGTTTTCTTTTGCTTGGACTGTTTTGACAATTTTGGGCCGTGTGTCCCATCGTTGATAGTCTTGATATGATTTTGTTGGAGTTGATGTCGATACAACTGTAGCAGCTGAGGCATTCAACTACAATAATATATACGGGGTGTCCAAGAAGTCATTTTACAATTACAATACAAAGTCTATTTAAAGAGACTTTATGGACACCCTTTATAATATTATGAATTTGCAAACATTGTTTAATCGTGATGGCCTTTTTAGGATAATTGATATCAAGAATTTAAAGTCCAAACATGGCGGTGATATTTTCCTGAATTATGTTTATGAGCTTTGCTATATTATATTTCGTGACATAGATAGAACACCAAATATATATCTGTTTATAGAAGTAAGAAGCCGAAGTAACCAAATCAATTTGTTTATATTCAGAAAAACGTTATTCAAACAAATCAAACTTCAAACCCGTATTATTCAGGCCATACCTGCTGATGATGGCCATTGACCACACCTGGAGCATGTTGTTTAAAGTGCTGTTACATTGTCACTATAGGTCTTATGGTTATGAAACGCAGTAGGCAAGTAGGAAATTGAATAATGTACAAATGTGCCAATTATCTGGGAGTAATTCCCTAAACTGACAAAGATATGAGGCAAATACGGGTTTCCGTTTTAACCACTACTGTGAGCTGTTTCGCAGACCTATCGCAGTTGGATTTTAAATGATTTGATTAATTTATGACTACGGTTACTTACCACTCTTAAATAATCCTACTAGTATCAAAGCAAATGGTAGAATCCTTTTTGCCATCTTCAATGAATGTCAGTGTACCCTCTTCAGTTTGAGCATATGTTCTTTGAGGGGTTCTCTCTACACGTCCTCGTGTCACATTTGTATAATAATATTATATATTAGTATCACCCAATTTAGCAAGCGCAATGTTTAGTCAATGATCAATCAATAATGGACTTCGCACCCGGGACTTCGCAGAACTGAAAGCTGTACTACTTTGGAATGCAACATGTCTCCTCAGCAGTTCGTTCGGTACGTTTCTCCGCCTCGTATTGATTGTATATTTACATACCCCTCAACCCATCGCCTTAAAGTGTCTCACATATTCGATCAAAACTTGCCATGCAAACATGTTAGTCTACTTTACTGGCCCCCCTTGCTGTAACAAGGAACACAAAACACATATAAAAACGTAGACACAAACCAATTAGTCACTTCACTATGAAAGTAAGGGGTGTTAGCAAATGTGTATAATTAGCAGAATACGCTGTGTGCATGAACTAACACAATATCAGTGGTCATTTACTGTGTCAACTTAGTAGCCCTTGCATATTGTGCTCACTCAAGTATTGAATAATTTTTTTTATAATTTTTTTTATGATCTAAATGTTTGTGGTTTATAAAAAAATGTGATATATTTTAGTTAGAAATATATTAATAAATATATTCATTCAAACAGCACTAGAATGCGGGAAGAAAGAGCAATGGTGACAAAATGCAGACAGAATTTTCCGTAAGGGTTTCAAACATTTCTAGACACAATCATACATGTACTTCATGTGTACTGTTATTTTTAGTTATGTATTTATAGATATAATTTCACGTATTAAAATCATATTTTCCAGCAATGACTTCAAATTCGGAACCACACCCATATTTCATTTTCTTCAATAACTCCAAACATGTGTACACATTGAACATGTGCATATAAATTCAGATTTCACGAGCTCTTTCCTATTCGAGTACCTCATACACCCCTGCATGGATTTGAGTTGGATTCGCCTTTTATACGTGAGCCGGTACACATCGCAAACGCTGATTGGATAAAGATTGCGAGAATCTTTAAAAGCACCAAACCATTGAAGTAAAGTATTATGTAAAAATGCATGCTTAAAAATGTGTAAAGGCAGCCAGTGTCAAATTTCTAAGCATAATCCGAAACTCCTTGGGTATTTTATCATCAGAGACGGGAGAGAATGACCCTTGATTTTGTGTTTTTCAAATTGATTTGTAGTTTTCATCACTGATTTTGTGATGTGAACTACAGTGCTCACCATAAATAAATGACACCTGGATTTGCTGAAGTGAGGATTTCCCATGTTAAAAAGAAGATAATTTTCAAGAGGCTATAATACATCAGTGGATGCGAGTATACAAAATGTAAAATATACAAAACTTGAAGGGATGTGTATCTAGTCGACATTATTGGAAATATGATGAAGTCTCAAATCACCATGGTCTGGAATACCCTTTGCATTCGTTTGACTTCACTTCTTAAAAGAGAGCTTCGTCTTCTATTCTACATCTACATATCACCTACATCAATAATCTGCAAAAGGCTAACAAGCTCATTTAAAGCAGATATACAGTTTAACAGTGATAGATTTTGAATGGAATACAATATAAACCTAACATTTAAAAAATATCGTAGTTTATAACTAGACTCTTCGCGCAAGGTACGAATGTATTAAAACAAATAATTTAAACCATTGAAGTAAAATAATTAAAAAAATAAAAATGAAGCCAAGCCTATTTTCCATGCCGAAACCCGGGATTGAACCAGGGACCTTTAGATTCCTGGCAGATCATGGATCAAACCGCTTCAGTCTAACGCTCTCCCAACTGAGCTATTTCGGCGGTGGCTTAAACGTTGTAGACATTTTACAAACTTATAAAAATCACAAATTATTAATTTTGAAATTTAATTATTGCTATTTATATGAATTAACATATGCAATAAGTTTTCATAACCATGAGATTTTATCTGCAATAGCGTGAATAAGAGAGACATATGGGAAATACTGACACGGAAGGTATGCCGGAAGTTTGGTGACGTCATCAAAATGGTGGAAAGTTCTTCTTGATTTTTTCAGAAACTTTCAATCATTCAACATTTACTCAAATATTTGAGCTCAAATTAATACATCATGGATCGGTCTAGTACACTAAGTTCTCAGAATCAATTTGTTGATTCAACAAGTCAAGATTCTTTATCAATGATGGATAAATCAGGGAGTTTAGAAACGGCTTCGAAGGGATCTGCTTCGCCCTCAAAATCCCTGTGTTCGTCCGCTTCAACATCAACTGAAAATGTAAACAGTCTAGAAATGAAGGTAAGATGTATCACTTTCTTTTCGTATTACGTGAAACAAATGTTTAACTTTCTGTTTCTTTGCACATTTTACTTTTCAATCACTTTTGGCTTTAGACTAGACTATCATATTAGCTACTACGTTGTCGTCGTACGCTCGCGCTCCAACAATTCTTCAGGCTTATTTATGTCAAAAGCCTTCTCGATATTCTAGCCATGAGTAATTGTTACAGCCCCCCTGGTATTCAATATTTGTAAATCATGGTGACACACATACATTTGTTAGGCCAGGGTGTTAGAATCTAGATCTACTAGACTATATCCTATTTAGTCTGAATTATACTCAGACTATAAGGCACCTATGTTAAAGTTTGGTAATTCTAAATATTGGCTTACATAGGAAGTGCTATTCAAAATGGCCGATTGGGTAAAATTAATTTGCACATTTGTTACTTCATCTAGCTTTATTTCCACTTGATGATATGCTGTGTTACTTTTTATTGCATTTAATTGTACCTTACTATTTAGTTGAAATTTTGTTATGTTTATTTTATTGAAGAAATGGTTCCTCTAATTGATAATTTTGTGCAAAAAATTTCACTGCAATTTCCACAGGAAAGTAGTACATCATAACAGACTGACTTCTAGTCAGTCTGTTGGATACATACTAAGGGTGTTACTCTACCGAGCTGACTTCTGGGAGGCTGGATTGAAAATTCTTGAAGAGAAAAAGCCCATTTTGACTAAAGGCTGTGCTGAGTAGCGTTTACAATACGCTATATATTTAAATCAATACATAATGTATTTAATGTTACCCTATTATTTTGTTCCTTCAATAGTCTTTTGTTGTAGTAAATCAATGTTCTATTAGACAACAAAACTTTTGAATTTAGATTACAGCCATTTTAGGTCTCACGAGATCTCATGACTTTTGAAAGTAAAGATTTGCTACAAAATAACTCGCGTTAGCTACTCGCGTTAGCTAAATATGAATAGTCACGTGATCTTTCAGCGGCAATGCCCATGCGCATGTAAAGTACAATGCGCGTGTGCACATATGCGCAAAAAGTTAAAAAAATGGTGCGCAACAGGTCTGAATTTCTCCACTTTAACTGCAAATTACACAACAAGTAGGACTTTTTGTCACCACGTGTCATGAAAAGGGCAAGTTACATTCAATTATCTTCTTAAATACCGTTACTTATTCCAGCGCGCTTGCTGGAAGTTGGAGAAAACCACTTCACAAGACGGTATATTTGAACATTCAGTAACCAGGGTGCATGTTGGGAAATTTTCTGCATTCCTCAATTGAGTCACATGTTATTTTTCAAACAAGAATTACTCCTACCCCACATTGTCTACATCTTCCAGGTTTGCACTAGAAAAGACTTGTGAAAATACTTTATAGCTCCTTTATAGCACCTCATTTCAGTTATATTACAGTTGATAAAGAATCCAGACAGGATTCGAAATGTCTGTGATTTCAAATAATAAAGGTTGGGTAAAGAAGAAAACTGTTTTTGTGTTTGAATAACTGATCTGAAGAACATGTTTAAGAATACAAATTTGTGTATAACATTGTTTTTAGTATTTATTTTGTTTTTATTTATGTTGGAATTGTATTTTATTTAGGCGACTAAAGAAAGCACGAAATTTATCACAGATGGACCACAATTGAAACCTGGAGAAGAGGTACAAGGAAAAGGTATGTACCTTTCAGATATTTGCCTATCATCACTATAATCACTAACTAACATGAATTAACTACGGCTACATTTAAAAAGCAAATTCAAAACCGAAAGCTTTTTTAAAGCTATTTTATATTGTCTTACTTTGTGCCAAATCATAATGTGCAACTTGGTTTAAAAGAAGGTTTGAATCATTGAAACAAAAATCTTACCAATCTCAAATCCAGGAAGTTTGATCATTTTGTAAGATTGACGTTATGTGCTTGTATTTAAGACATCATGAGAAACTGCTGCTTTTAACTGTATCATTTACTCTCTCGAAAGATATTCATGTTTTAAAACAGAAAAATGTGATGCATCCCTTTTTTGGTCCACCCTGTACAGTGTACATATACACTATGATTCTATATTTTTTTCTCTTTATTTCAGCTAAAGATGTCACCTACCTATGTCCCTATAATAATGGGGCCATAAGGGGCACAATCACTGTGACTAATTACAGAATGTTTTTTAAGTCAAGTGACAAAGTAAGTTAATTTGTAAATTAATTCATATTCTCGGGTAAAACCAGACCTCAACATACCATGAGCCTAGCTGCATGAGCATTTCAGGATCCACAATAAGTTTAAAACACCACTGAGCTGCTTATATATACAGTGGTCCCCCAGCATTCAAGCAAGTGGACGCAGCACCCACCTGAAATTTTGAAAACAGCCTTGCACCCACCTGAAAATCCATTTGCACCCACTTGAAAATGAGAAAAAATCATGAAAAATTGGCATATTTTGACCAATTTTGGTCTGAATTGCGAAAATGAGAATTTTGTTCCCACCTGAGAAAAAATCCTTGGGAGATCACTAACATATAACTCTTGCCTTAATTTAGCAATGATTAGTGCCAAGTAAGCTCTTAGTGTCATGAGGTTTGGTTGACCCCCGTGCATATTGTTCAATACTCCGCTCAGAAATATTATCTCAGTGCAAAATTCTAATTTTGACTTCACTAAAACCTGTCTTCTTAGTGAACACATCTCTCTAGTGAACACCTGTGTCTAATGAACACCTCTTCTCAGCATATAGTCCGTTGACTTCTGTATAAAATTGCCTTTCTGTAGTGAACACCTACCTATAGTGAACACATTTTTGTGGCTCCATAGGTGTTCACTGAAAACACGTTGTACTGTATACTATTATATTAAAGATCATTTATTCTATGAATATACACTTATTTTTCAGGATCCACCATTCATTTTGGACGTACCTCTGGGTGTGATCAGTAGGATAGAGAAAATGGGTAAAGCAAGAAGTTCTGGAGAAAATTCCTATGGCATTGATATAGTATGCAAGGTAGGGGAGTACACATGGATAAAATATTATTTAAACACGTCCATGCCTCATTTGAATCTCTCATCCAATCAGGTTGCAACATAGCCATTCTCAATAAATGAAATAATTAAGGATTTAATCTTATTTGCTTTTTCAGGATTTACGCAATTTGAGGTTTGCCCATAAACAAGAAAATCACTCACGACGTGAAGTATTTGAAAAACTGACACAGTTCGCCTTTCCTATAACCAATAAACTGGTAAGTAGTACTTCAGTAGATGGATAGATAATCTGGCATGTAGCCAGGGGGGGAGGTTCTGGGGTTTGAGGAAGCTGGAATTTTTTTAAAAACTGTACCCCACTTGGCAAAAGCTGGTTACGGGTCTTATATGAGGTGTATATACTAGATATCATTTATATCTCCAAATGAACATTCGATGGACAAAGATATTTGTCATGTATGTTTGTAACTGAAAGATTTAAATATGTTGGTAAAAAATGACCTAAAAATCTTTTTGGAGAAGAAAAAATAGCTAGTGCCACATCCTCCTTTGGCCGAAATTTTTTTCAAAATCATGCAGTTTTTCACAATTGATAGTGCTTTCCAAATGATTTTGGTCAAAATTGTCAAATTTGACCCCCCCCCTCAATTTAAAAAAAACTAAACCTCCTCCGCATGGCAAAAGCTGGCTTTGGGCCTTGCCATTAGCTTTCTAACAAATTGTGAAATTGTATTCTTTCAGCGTCTATTTGCATTTGAGTACAAAGAGTCATTTGACAATAATGGCTGGCAGGTATATGACCCCATAAAGGAACTCAGCAGACAGGTACATAACAAAGAAACTCATTCATTAGAAACACAAGGGGCAATATAAAAACATAGTTAATGATTTAAAAATTGCTTGATTTAGAGTGAAAAGTTAAAATGAAGCAATGCAAAAAAAGCTCTGACACATTTTACAATGGACATATCATATTCCTTGATTAATAAGTAAATCAATGAAGTAAACTTTCGCAAGAAAAAAGTAACCTTTTTATATTTGTTGAATTGTGCAGCAAAAATTATACAAAACCCACCATGGCTTGATTGCAATTTAATGTGTGCTATATACTGCTGTTGATGCACATTTTTTCAAATTTGTGGTCATCTTTAGCATGTTCCAGCAATGAGAATTAGTAATGAACTTTCTTTATCATCAAAGATTGTGGTTGGTACAGTGAAACAGGCAATAATAGCTGTTATATTTGTACATTGTATATACACTTTACATTCTATTTTTAGGGGGTAAAAAATATGCCAAACGAGAGCTGGAGAATAACTGATATAAACGAGAATTATGAGTTTTGTGATTCATACCCTAAACAGGTAAGAAGATTTTGCAATCAAGACAATTAATATATACTATATGATACTCAAAGTAGATAAAATTAGAATAATATGTTTGCTGGAGATTGAGTTTTCTTAGATCAAAATATTAATTCGCATCTCATTGCATCGGGAGGGGCCTCATTCAAACCTTTGAATGTTGCATAATGTATTTGCTTGATTTTCAGTTTGCTGTTACCTCTGCAATGTCAGATGATGACCTAATGTACTTGCTTGATTTTCAGTTTGCTGTTACCTCTGCAATGTCAGAGGTTGGCCTAATGTACTTGCTTGATTTTCAGTTTGCTGTTACCTCTGCAATGTCAGATGATGACCTAATGTACTTGCTTGATTTTCAGTTTGCTGTTACCTCTGCAATGTCAGATGTTGGCCTAATGTACTTGCTTGATTTTCAGTTTGCTGTTCCCTCTGCAATGTCAGATGATGACCTAATGTACTTGCTTGATTTTCAGTTTGCTGTTACCTCTGCAATGTCAGATGATGACCTAATGTACTTGCTTGATTTCAGTTTGCTGTTCCCTCTGCAATGTCAGATGATGACCTAATGTACTTGCTTGATTTTCATTTTGCTGTTCCCTCTGCAATGTCTGATGATGACCTAATGTACTTGCTTGATTTTCATTTTGCTGTTCCCTCTGCAATGTCAGATGATGGCCTAATGTACTTGCTTGATTTTCAGTTTGCTGTTCCCTCTGCAATGTCAGATGATGACCTCATGTACTTGCTTGATTTTCAGTTTGCTGTTCCCTCTGCAATGTCAGATGATGACCTAATGTACTTGCTTGATTTTCATTTTGCTGTTCCCTCTGCAATGTCAGATGATGACCTAATGTACTTGCTTGATTTTCATTTTGCTGTTCCCTCTGCAATGTCAGATGATGGCCTAATGTACTTGCTTGATTTTCAGTTTGCTGTTCCCTCTGCAATGTCAGATGATGACCTCATGTACTTGCTTGATTTTCAGTTTGCTGTTCCCTCTGCAATGTCAGATGATGACCTAAAGAGAGTAGGTGCCTTCAGAAGCAGGGCTAGAATTCCAGTAAGTATTTGAAGGCTAGTCTTTTTGAACATTTCAGGGACTGTTTTGATGCCAAGATTTAAACATGATCCCATCACTATTTTGGTGTTACACAAAACATAAGTGGCTTCCTCCAAAGATCAATAAAACAATTATAATGAAGCCTGTTTATGGGTGGAAAACATTATATTTACCTTGACCCATTTTAGGTACACATATTGAAAAACTTCTAAATTAAAATATTAGAAAGTCATCTCGCAACTTACTTGAGAATTTCTGAGAGGACAATTTAATGTGTTAATTCAATGAACTCTTTTTGACGATTACATTACTTGTAAAATTTTCAGATATTATCGTGGATTCATCCAGAGAGCCAGGCCTCAATAACCAGATCTAGTCAGCCATTGGTCGGAATCACACGTAAGACATGTTCCGAGGATGAAAAGTACATTCAATACATTATGGACGCCAATGCTCAGTCGCATAAACTCTACATCATGGATGCTAGGCCTAATGTCAATGCTGTGGCAAACATGGTAATTTGTGAAAAATATAATACTTTTTTTAAATATTGATATTAAATTTATTCTGATACAAATTGTAACCTTGGAGAGAGGGGCTTTGAATGGAATTAAACATGCCCCATGTCAAATGCCTTTAGGTTTTACAGTATTTATTGCACATATGAGGACTGTGAAAGCAGTCACATTTGAATTCAAGGGTTTCATTAGCAACAGGCGATTTTCACTGGTTGTTTTGACAGAATCGCCTGTTCTTTTTAGGGATTTTTCAACTTTTTCATGTTAAGTTTGATTTTCATTAATTTTGCCTGTTTTCATATATTTAGCCTGTTTTGAGAAATTCTAGTGAAACCCCTGGATTCTTCATCAAATGCATTTACCATCAATCACAGAGATGTATGAACATTGATTCATCAAATGCATTTACCATCAATCACAGAGATGTATGAACATTGACTCACTTCATCAAATGCATTTACCATCAATCACAGAGATGTATGAACATTGACTCACTTCATCAAATGCATTTACCATCAATCACAGAGATGTATGAACATTGACTCACTTCATCAAATGCATTTACCATCAATCACAGAGATGTATGAACATTGACTCACTTCATCAAATGCATTTACCATCAATCACAGAGATGTATGAACATTGATTCATCAAATGCATTTACCATCAATCACAGAGATGTATGAACATTGACTCACTTCATCAAATGCATTTACCATCAATCACAGAGATGTATGAACATTGACTCACTTCATCAAATGCATTTACCATCAATCACAGAGATGTATGAACATTGACTCACTTCATCAAATGCATTTACCATCAATCACAGAGATGTATGAACATTGACTCACTTCATCAAATGCATTTACCATCAATCACAGAGATGTATGAACATTGACTCACTTCATCAAATGCATTTACCATCAATCACAGAGATGTATGAACATTGATTCATCAAATGCATTTACCATCAATCACAGAGATGTATGAACATTGATTCATCAAATGCATTTACCATCAATCACAGAGATGTATGAACATTGATTCATCAAATGCATTTACCATCAATCACAGAGATGTATGAACATTGACTCACTTCATCAAATGCATTTACCATCAATCACAGAGATGTATGAACATTGACTCTGTAACTCCTATAGTGCATTATAGCCCATTAACGCATTGCATTGGATTGTTATAGATTGTTTAGGTGCAACGTTGAAAATAAAAGAAATCTGTGGAAATAAATGTGCTTATTGACCATGTTTTTAGCTCACATGTTTTACATTACAGGCCAAAGGAGGAGGCTATGAGGATAGTCAATACCAGAACATGGAGCTAGTCTTCTTAGATATACACAATATCCACGTCATGAGAGAGAGGTATTAAGAGTTATTTTATAACATTTTAGATGTAAACAAAAAGAAAAAATAGTATTCAAAAATACAGTTAGAAAAAGGACCATTTAAGAGTAAAACTGTTTATAGGGAAAGAAATCTCTAGTATCCCAATTGATGACGATGATGTCCAGAGAAACATTTTTGAACACCCCCCCCCCCTTCTGCCTCCACCATTCCGTTCAGGAAACATTTTTATTCAATTCAATTCAATAATTGAGGCCTTTCACCCAAAACATTTTCTGGGCCCACCCAAGGGGGGAGTATGTTATCATGTTTTTTATTTATTATGTAATTATGTTTATCTGCAGTTTACGTAAGCTCAAGGAAATCTGCTTCCCGACCATCGATGAAACTCATTGGCTGTCACATATTGAATCAACTCATTATGTTTTATTATGTTTATCTGCAGTTTACGTAAGCTCAAGGAAATCTGCTTCCCAACCATTGATGACACTCATTTGCTGTCACATATTGAATCAACTCATTATGTTTTATTATGTTTATCTGCAGTTTACGTAAGCTCAAGGAAATCTGCTTCCCGACCATTGATGACACTCATTGGTTGTCACATATTGAATCAACTCATTATGTTTTATTATATTTATCCCCAGTTTATGTAAGCTGAAGGAAATCTGCTTCCCGACCATCGATGACACTCATTGGTTGTCACATATTGAATCAACTCATTATGTTTTATTATATTTATCCCCAGTTTACGTAATCTGAAGGAAATCTGCTTCCCGACCATCGATGACACTCATTGGTTGTCACATATTGAATCAACTCATTATGTTTTATTATGTTTATCCCCAGTTTACGTAAGCTGAAGGAAATCTGCTTCCCAACCATTGATGACACTCATTGGTTGTCACATATTGAATCTACACATTGGCTGGAGCACATAAAGGTAAGGGGTATAAGGTAGGGTATAAGGATATAAGGAGTGTAAGGGTACAAGGGGTTACATGTGCATTTAGAATAATTGATAGTATTAATTGGAACAACCTCATGCCATATACTTTTGTTAAAGGTATTAGATATACTGGATGTGCCAAAATAATGTTTTTATTTCCTCACCCTGTATATAGGTTATATGGTCAACCAATGACCCTAAAATGTTTCCTGCTTGCTTGAAGTATTTACTGGATGTTTTTTCATTGGCACTATACCTAAAGAATACCTTTATAAAGGGTATTAGATATACTGGATGGACCAAATAATGATTTTTGCCCACCCTGTAATAGGCTATAACACTTTCGTAACCAAATACCCTAAAATGTTTCCACAATTGGCACTATACCTAAATAATATCTTATCTCTTACAGCAAATTCTTGCTGGGGCTGTGAAGATCGCAGATAAAGTGGAGAGCAATAAGACATCTGTACTTGTTCATTGTAGTGATGGATGGGACAGAACTGCACAGGTATAATCCTTGGATATTATGACAGATTTAGAAATTAGACTAAATTATTACAATTAAAGTTGTCTAATTAACAGATTTATTAAAAATTAGACTAAATTGAATTACAATAAAAGCTGTCTAATTAGCAGATTTAAAAATTAGTCTTAATTATTACAATAAAAGCTGTCTAATTAACAGATTTATTAAAAATTAGACTAAATTGAATTACAATAAAAGCTGTCTAATTAGCAGATTTAAAAATTAGACTAAATTATTACAATAAAAGCTGTCTAATTAACAGATTTATTAAAAATTAGACTAAATTGAATTACAATAAAAGCTGTCTAATTAGCAGATTTAAAAATTAGTCTTAATTATTACAATAAAAGCTGTCTAATTGACAGATTTAAAAATTGGACTAAATTATTACAATAAAAGCTGTCTAATTAAAATGCAACTGGGACAAGTCAAACATATTCAGATTAGTAGGTCTTTGCATTTCTAGGTTTTTATTAACATTTGAGCCTATAGGTGATAATAACAAAATTGGGATTGAGTAATATCCCAACATTTGGATATGGGAGGGTTGGGAAAATTCTTTACGCCTTTGAAGATTATTCAAACAAATCTTCCTAGAATTGAAACAACCAGAGACTGTCAGCAGTTGACTATTTGAAAATTTTTATTGCATTTGTAAAGCATCCATTTTCACTCTCTCCTCTGTTAATTGAAAATGACATACCCAATGGGAGCTAGGATTCATCAATCATATTTCATTTCATTTGAGTTACAATTATCTCACACAGACGCCATGGGGCATATACATGTGGTTTAATTAAATATTACATTTTCTCTTCATAATTCAATTTCTGGGTAATTTAGTTGAGAATTCTTAATATTTCAGCTGACGGGTCTTGCCATGTTGATGTTAGACCCTTATTACAGAACCATTGAAGGTCTGGGGGTCCTTATAGAGAAGGAATGGACCAGCTATTAATAATTATATTCTTAATATTTCAGCTGACAGGTCTTGCCATGTTGATGTTAGACTTTTATTACAGAACCATTGAAGGTCTGGGGGTCCTTATAGAGAAGGAATGGACCAGCTATTAATAATTATATTCTTAATATTTCAGCTGACAGGTCTTGCCATGTTGATGTTAGATCCTTATTACAGAACCATTGAAGGTCTTGAGGTGCTCATAGAAAAGGAATGGACCAGTTATGGCCACAAGTTTGCTCAGGTAGGTTTTATAGCAAATTTTTATTCAATATAAACATTTAATAAATAGAGTTCAGCGAATTGCAGCAGTTTTGATAGTCCATATATAGCAACAGTTGATAGTCCTTGTCATTACTATAGCAACAGAACCATTTATTTATTTAAATTAATAATGATACAAGTTGCCAGATATAATTGCATTTTGGTACGGCTGGATAAAGTCCAATCTGATTATTCCACTTTAGATCAACTGCATGCATCTTTGTAAGTTAAAACATGTATTGGGTTGCATGTAAAATTCTCTGGAAGCCTGAAATGCTGCTATTTTTTAGAGGATAATGAAAAAATATTATTTTTTTGGTTTATTATAGAGGATAGGCCATGGAGAAGACAAACATTCAGACGCAGACAGATCTCTCGTATTCCTACAGTTTATAGACTGTAATATGTTGATATATTTCAGAAACTTATGTAAATATATATATTATATTGGTATATTATAGAGGATAGGGCATGGAGAAGACAAACATTCAGATGCAGACAGATCCCCTTTATTCCTACAGTTTATAGACTGTAATATGTTGATATATTTCAGAAACTTATGTAAATATATATATTATATTGGTATATTATAGAGGATAGGCCATGGAGAAGACAAACATTCAGATGCAGACAGATCTCCTGTATTCCTACAGTTTATAGACTGTAATATGTTGATATATTTCAGAAACTTATGTAAATATATATATTATATTGGTATATTATAGAGGATAGGGCATGGAGAAGACAAACATTCAGATGCAGACAGATCCCCTGTATTCCTACAGTTTATAGACTGTAATATGTTGATATATTTCAGAAACTTATGTAAATATATATATTATATTGGTATATTATAGAGGATAGGCCATGGAGAAGACAAACATTCAGATGCAGACAGATCCCCTGTATGCCTACAGTTTATAGACTGTAATATGTTGATATATTTCAGAAACTTATGTAAATATATATATTATATTGGTATATTATAGAGGATAGGCCATGGAGAAGACAAACATTCAGATGCAGACAGATCTCCTGTATTCCTACAGTTCATAGACTGTAATATGTTGATATATTTCAGAGACGTATGTAAATATATATATTATATTAGTTTATTATAGAGGATAGGCCATGGAGAAGACAAACATTCAGACGCAGACAGATCTCCCGTATTCCTACAGTTTATAGACTGTTATATGTTGATATATTTCAGAGACATATGTTAATATATATATTATATTGGTATATTATAGAGGATAGGCCATGGAGAAGACAAACATTCAGACGCAGACAGATCTCCTGTATTCCTACAGTTTATAGACTGTAATATGTTGATATATTTCAGAGAATTATGTAAATATATATATTATATTGGTATATTATAGAGGATAGGCCATGGAGAAGACAAACATTCAGACGCAGACAGATTCCCAGTATTCCTACAGTTTATAGACTGTTATATGTTGATATATTTCAGAGACTTATGGAAATATATATATTATATTGGTATATTATAGAGGATAGGCCATGGAGAAGACAAACATTCAGACGCTGACAGATCCCCCGTATTCCTACAGTTTATAGACTGTTATATGTTGATATATTTCAGAGACTTATGGAAATATATATATTATATTGGTATATTATAGAGGATAGGCCATGGAGAAGACAAACATTCAGACGCTGACAGATCCCCCGTATTCCTACAGTTTATAGACTGTAATATGTTGATATATTTCAGAGAATTATGTAAATATATATATTATATTGGTATATTATAGAGGATAGGCCATGGAGAAGACAAACATTCAGACGCAGACAGATCCCCAGTATTCCTACAGTTTATAGACTGTTATATGTTGATATATTTCAGAGACTTATGTAAATATATATATTATATTGGTATATTATAGAGGATAGGCCATGGAGAAGACAAACATTCAGACGCAGACAGATCCCCAGTATTCCTACAGTTTATAGACTGTTATATGTTGATATATTTCAGAGACTTATGTAAATATATATATTATATTGGTATATTATAGAGGATAGGCCATGGAGAAGACAAACATTCAGACGCTGACAGATCCCCCGTATTCCTACAGTTTATAGACTGTAATATGTTGATATATTTCAGAGAATTATGTAAATATATATATTATATTGGTATATTATAGAGGATAGGCCATGGAGAAGACAAACATTCAGACGCAGACAGATCCCCTGTATTCCTACAGTTTATAGACTGTAATATGTTGATATATTTCAGAAACTTATGTAAATATATATATTATATTGGTATATTATAGAGGATAGGCCATGGAGAAGACAAACATTCAGACGCAGACAGATCCCCAGTATTCCTACAGTTTATAGACTATTATATGTTGATATATTTCAGAAACTTATGTAAATATATATATTATATTGGTATATTATAGAGGATAGGCCATGGAGAAGACAAACATTCAGACGCAGACAGATCTCCTGTATTCCTACAGTTTATAGACTGTGTGTGGCAGATGACCAAACAGGTAAGAAAAATGGAATAATGGACAGGTTTTCAAATGTAAAGTACAGGAGAAATGAACCAAGTTCAGAGTGTCTCGAAAATATTAACATTACATGACCTGTAGTTAAAGGTAACTTGTATACTGCTGATGTGATTTCATAGTAATACTGTGCTTCACTGTAATCAACACATTCTAACCCATTAGATTGTTATTTATTTTAGGGCAAGAAATGAGGTGGACATATTTTGATACTTTATTTTTCAGTTTCCGACTGCCTTTGAATTCAACGAACAACTCCTGATCACCATATTGGACCATTTGTACAGCTGCCTCTTTGGGACTTTCCTCTGCAATACAGAGCAACAGAGAGTTAAAGAGGTATGAAATATGAATGCATTTTTCATTTTTTATGTTATCACCATATCGGACCATCCTTACAGCTGCCTTTTTGGGACTTTCCTCTGCGATACAGAATAATTTCAATGGAAATCCCAACATAGAGTTCAAAGAGGTACAATTTCATACTGAGTGCACAGAAAAAGGCCCTGTTTAACATTTCTTATGATATTTCTGATAATAAAGCTCCGTGGCCTATTATCAAGAATATTATCGGGAGGGGATTTGCCTGGTGAAAGGTTTTCACAAAGTAATTGAATAAATTGTAAAAGATAATTTAGATGTTTTTGGAAACAAAGATATAGTAGTATGAGTAGGGAAAAGAGGTTCGCGCCATAGTCTCCCATGACTAAAGCATGTGACTGGTCTGTACCTTCTATGAGGCACAAAGAAGACTTCATGGTACTACAGTATAATGTAAGAGAATGAAACAAGGGGAGAAAAGCAGTAGAGATAAGGAGTGGTAGGGCTGAAAACAAAAGTACACGAGCTTCCAAATACATGTATCTATGCGTGCTCAATAAGAATAAGGCTCACCACTGATAAAAGATTGTCAATTTGTTCCTGAGTAAGTGAAGGGTGAGCAAATAAGTAAAGGTTTATTTTGTCCATCTGGGTCCTGAACTGAGATTGGTTTCCAGTGATTAGTTCAATATCTCTATTAAATTTAAGAATTTGTTCGGTTTTCAATGGGCATTTAAAAAACAAATAGCGGAAAGTCTCAGGGGCTCCGCATTCGCAGTTTGGAGAGTCAACAGTTGTCCAGTTGTGGGCCTTAAGTTGTGATTTGAGAATAAGATCTGATCTGGCACGATTTAGAATAATTTCTTGTTTCCTTGAGAGTTTTAAGGTCATTGTTGAGATTGTACCTTGGAAGAGTAATTTTTTCAAGTTGTACTTGAATGATGCTATACTTGGTAATGATTTTAGCTCTCTTGGAATTTTATTCCAAATATTCATCATATTATAAACAGGTGATTTCCTTGGCATTGTGATTGGTATACTATAGTCCAATGAATCTCGCAACATTCTAATGTTTGTCTTTTTAAAAGGATGAAATATGTCGCTAATGTATGATGGAGTATTTTGATTAAATATATTATACATTTGCTTTTTGAAATGAAAAATTCTTCTTTCATTTAGACTTGACCAGTTTAGCAAATCAAGGACTTTCTTTGCATTAGATCCTGGTAAGCAACCAGAGACAATCAATGAAGCTTGGTATTGGAGCTTGTCCAGTCTCTTTAGATTGGCCTGTGTTGCACAGTGATAGAGTATGTCACAGTAATCGAAAAGTGATTGGATATAAGAATTGTACATAATGTTGAGCTGTTTAGATTTAAGTTTGCTTTTGAGTGGTTTCATTGGATTTAAAGCTTTTTGAATTTTGTCAACAAGATAGTTTATATGTTCAGAGCCGCTGAGTTTACTGTCAAAATAGAAGCCTAGATGTTTATGCTGATTATGCCTAGTTATTGGCTGATTATTCAAAAAGACTTCATAATTATGGGTGTTTTTCTTAGAAAAAATGACTTCTTTACTTTTTTCAGGTTTGAAATCTAACTTCCAGGATTTAGACCACAGGACCCTATAGGCAGAGGCAGCAGCCCCCCACACTCCAATTTTAAAATGCAGATGCTTTCTTTTTTATTCTTCTTATAATATATAATTGTGTATAAACCATGTTTACAAATTGTAATTAATTACTACAATGAGGGACACCTATAATGCCACTGGCGATTGGGTCCCTCATGTATGATATGTACTTATAATGATTAATGGCAATAAAATCTCTTGATGAAAAAAAAAAGTTTTTGGAATGAGTTGTCTCATTGAACATGTTGTAGACCATTGTTCATATATTGGTAGGCCTTATAAACTATTATATTATTACCAGAATTCGTTAATATTTGGTAATTCATGTTTGATTGAACTTATTGGCTGACTTTCTCGATGTTAAAAGTTCACTTGAAATAATGTTACTGATAATTGCATTTTGTTTTTACCCCTTTAAGTATAGTTAATATTTTTTTCTATAGGATATAAAACATAAGACAGTGTCTTTATGGTCCTATGTTAACAACCAGCTGGATGAGTTCAAGAATCCCCTATATGCGGACTACATACATCACCACGTGCTATACCCTGTTGCGAGTCTTAGGAGGATAGAACTATGGACTGGATACTATCTGAGGTGGAACCCTAGAATGAAACCACAGGTATGATTTTTTATTAAATTTTTGATAAATTAAATTTATTTTTTATTAAGCCATGTATTAAATGCATGTAGGAATTACTCATGAAAAATAAATTTAAATTGAATTTCTTATAAATCAAGATCAGCATAGTTCCAGAATTAATTGATGAGATATATACACAGCCAATATAATTTTGCGCCGTTTCCGCATCGAAAAAATTCGGCACTGTTCCGGCACCAAAACCTTTCAACACCAAAATTTGCCACCAGACTAGTCAGTCCATTTGGTGTCGAAACGGCACCAAAATTTGGCACCGAAACGGCGTCGAAAATCATATTGCATTTTGGGGGTGTAAATACCAATTTGTTTTTTCTCCAGGAACCAGTGCAATTACGTAACAGAGAACTAACAATGCTTAAGGAACAACTTCAGAGACGTGTTGATGAGCTACAGCGAGAACTGGATGCTAAAAATCTAAGAGGCTCCGAACATGCACCAAGACTTAGCTCCCCAGTGAATGGTTGAAACAATACAAATGTGGAGCAAAACCTATATCTGAACATCTCTTTAATCTCAATATCTCGTAATGTGAATACCTTTTCTTGGTCCCAGTTTTTTAGCTCCCATTAAATCATATATTAAGTAACCTTGAAATGTGAACACCTGGCCCAAGAAATGTTCAGATTTCACAGGTTTTACTGTACTTCATATCATAAATTATTAGAATGGCCACAACTGTAGCACTTGGCAGAAAAAGGAGCAATTGTCTCGTCTGTTTTTAATGATACTTGGGACCTTTATCTTCTGATTCGATGAGGAAGTTGAACTAGATGTTTAAGCTAAGTTCACACCAATGGCGCTTTGATGGCGCTTTAATGCGACATGCAAAGCCACTTCACACGCCATTAAAGCGCCATTGGTGTGAACTTAGCTTTAGATAAAAAATGAAAGGAGACTGTATAGTGCCACATGATGTGACCAAGTGTGATTATCTCGCTACTATACCTTGCATTTGGTGTTCATGAGCAACCCATTTGGCTTATTAGTAATGATTGTGTTATTTGTTTTTATTTGTCTGATCCTTAATGGTTTATTGGACGACTGTTAGATGTGAATAAGGTACTTTCAAAAATATACTAAACAATACAATTGGACAGAGTATCTTATGCATTTCTAGGGGTAAGGTATAGTAGAGTAATTATAGACTAGAATCTAAAAAGGACTGGAATGATGATAGACTAGAATCTTAAGAAATATGTAGGATTTTAATGAGAAAATCTGAAAAAATTTATGGATTGTAGACCAAGTCGTTGATATATCCATTCATATAGTGACATATAGAAACTAGGGATTGTGCAATGTATCAAAAAGAAACTCTTAATATAAAAAGAAAAACACGTGATATAAAAGATGTATATAAAGTGTCAACTCCTGAGAAGTAAGAAAACATTTTGCGCACTTCAAGTGATTTTGGGTATTCATTAAACTCCAATTGAAAATTGTTCCATTCCCTCTTTTATGCATGTTGTAGGGTTATCACCTGGCCTTACATCTGCAGGTGGCAAATCAAAATTGGACAAATCGTTGTCCCATGTTACACTCAACAGTATGCAATTTACAGGCCCGTATCCAGGGGGGTTTGATGGACCCCCCCCCCCAGCTTTCAAAATCACACAGTTTTTCATCATTCTGAGCACATACAAAGTGATTTTGGCCATTTTTGGACCAAGATTGTCAAAAGGGAACCCCCCCTGGAAATTTTCAAAAAGTGAACCCCCCTTGGCAAATCCTGGCTACGGACCTGATGTATGATCATTTTGAAAAGTGCAATGATGTTTGTTTGCAGTAGCAGAGGTAATACAAGGAAAATTGACAGATGGCATTTGGAGAATGGCATTTGATTGTATTATATGAACATTGATATCCTGTATATAGTACCCATGTATATATTGTATTTATAAATCCTACAATAAACACAATAACAAGTTTATATATATTTTATTTAGTTTATTATTGTCATCAATTTAAATGACATAAAACACCAAAATCCCACAATTCATTATAAATTGACCCCCATGAATAAAATGCCATTGTCATATGGCAGTGTAACACTTTAAGCATGGGTGGATAAACAGATAATGGTACCATAATACTAAATCATCATATAGATAGTCTTGCGTCAAGTCCCTTGTTTTTGCCACTCTGATTTGGTTTTCTCACCAAGTTAAGAAGTTTTACAGCACAGTCCTGCATATAGACCAGAAAACCATTACGATTTTGTCAAGTCTGAGCTGGTTTATAAGTGAGGTCACAGCATAGCTATTTATATTTTATCAAGTGTTATAGACTTTAATTTAACACATAAAATATAACAACTTTAATAAATAAAAAAAATAGGGTTTGAAATGGTGTTGAGGTTAACAAAGGGCTACTGAAAAGCATAATTTGCATAAAGCATGTTTTAACCAACAGACACTTATAATAAGGATATCCATTCAATGAATTTCAGTATGACCTATATCAGAATAACCATATTGGCCAAAATGGGTCATGGGTAACCATACGGGGCAAAATGGGTCATAAGGGGCTTGGTGCAAGACTTGCGACTGAGATACAAAACACTCCTTCATTTTAATTCTTTTTAGAAAACCATTTAATCAAACAAAAACACAATCACCAACCCCCTATTAGTATAAGATTGTACACTATACATGTAATGTGCTATACATTATATTTTCTCATTCCATTCCTCGTATTATTATGCTTAATACAACCATCCATACACAGGATAGATTAACAAATATTCATATTATGGGGTACAAAACTAATGGCTGACCAGTGGATTTTGAGAGACCCAACCTTTTCAGAAAGTAATTTTGGGCGGAATTTTGAAAAAAAACTTCAGACTTGCAACTTTGTATCAAGAAAGATGTTTGGATAGGATGAGGAAAAAATGTCACATGATTAAATACTAGGCCCAAATGGTTTAGGGCAAAATATTGGTATTCAAGCAGAAATTAAGGTTTTGTATTCTGATACATGCTTAGACAAGGAAACATTGTCTTGTGAATTCAGAAAATAACTTGTGCAGGCCTCCAAGACTTCCACTCACGCGGTTGCCAGTGGTGATGTTGCTGCCTTTGTTCCATTCACCCGAACCATAGAGGAACTGGTGTTTTGCGACTAAAGAACTGATATTCATGAACGAGAACGTTGTTCGGGTAGAAGGATCGAGGTCAGCAACTATGAGGTCTAGGAGGCCTGTTGTGGATTCCATTGATTGGGAACAAATATTCTGGCAGAGATACAGGTCCCTCAAGATCTAATGGGCTATTATACCCCCAAATGATTGAACAATAAAACAGTGCAACCTGTTTACAGTGAACACCTCCAAGGTGAAGAACATATGTTTTTTGTAATTAAGTGTTCAGTATAGATGGGTTAGTTCAACATGTGCTAATCAAAAAATATATTTAATTCAAGAAAAGTACAATACATACACAGAAAGTTTTTATTTTAAAGATAGAGCCATTGTTCACTATAGACAAGTTTTACTGCATTTCAAAAGTAGTTTAAGTAGACCATATGCCTATATATTATAAAGCTATTAAAACATTGTATATCCCTTTTGAACACATATATAGTCTGAAAATATATATACACAGACCTTCAGTCATTTGGCATCATATAATAAATATCCCATCTGTCCTACTAAAATAGTCATACAGGGTGACCAAAAAGTCTCTTTTAATTACAATACAAAGTAAGCGTGAAGTCACTTTATGGGCACCCTGTATTTTTTTATACAAATATTGTGTTCTTGTACAACATATAATGCAAATGAATTGTTAAAATTATGTCATTCAGACTATAACAAGATATGAAGTGTGTCTATTATTTTGACCAAATTGTCCATATTTCTGACCAATATGTCCATATTTGTGAACCAATTTGTTCAAATTTTTGACTGATATGAGCACATTTTACCAATATTTCCATATTTTGACCAATGTGTTCATATTTGTGAACCAATATGTCATATATTTGACCAATATTACCACATTTTACAAATATTTCCATATTTCTGACCAATATGTCCATATTTGTGAACCAATATGTTCATATTTATTCATTTCAGATATACATCTTCAATAGTAATATTAGTATATTAAATAACATGAACTACTAAAACATGGGACATCTTCACCTATTTCAAATCCACTCCACTCCGCAAGTTCTCCATAAAACACACAAAGTGAGTCATAAATAAAATACAACATATCAAGATATACCTATATTGCAAGTTATGATACATACATTTGGGGTCCTGTGAAGCATTCTCACTTTTAACTTTTCCATTTCCTTTGGTTTTGTATTATAATATACAGGGGTTCAATTTTAGTACGGTCCTAACTTACGATTCCGAGAAAACCATTGTCTATTTTCTGACAAACAATGACTTGCGACCAAATCGTAAGTAAAGACAGTTCCAAAAACGGACCCCTGAGAATGATACAGTAAAACCTGTTTATCTGAATAATGATACAAACACCTTTTCTCGATCCCAATTTTGTTATATCCCATTGACTCACATTAAGAAACCTTGAACTCAGGCTTATCCAACAAATGGTTCCAGAGTGGTGCGGTGAAATTTTACTGTTATCAATTTCTCTTTTAGCAATTTGGACAATTTCACTTCATTTGGAGTTGTAATCTGATTTTTTTCAACTATATGAATATACTTATGATTCTTATCAGTCTCATAGACACCAGGGAAAGACCAAAATGAGCACAGTAAAGTGGAACACCTCTCTAGGTGGAACACATTTCAAAGTGGAACACCTCTCTAGGTGGAACACTTTTCAAAGTGGAACACCTCTCTAGGTGGAACACTTTTCAAAGTGGAACAACTCTCTAAGTGTTAAGTGGAACACCTCTCTAAGAACCATGTCCTTATACCCTTAAATTAATATAAAGTGAACCCAATGTGTAACACTATTTTTAGGTACCAAAGGTGTTGTACTTAAAGAGGCAATAAGGACTGTAGAGAGAAAATTCGAAATTTTTTATTTTTTCTGAGCTATCAGGTCAATATTTGGCTTAATACCTTCTTTGACATACCTATTTTCATAAAATGTATGTATAAACTATCAATTTCAGCATTAAGAAGTGTAAATTCAATTCAAAGCTTCTATAAAGGGAGTCCCACTTATAGATTTTTAAGATCCACCATGTTTCAAGAGGAATATCAGCTGAAATAATGTTCATCCAGAGGGTTTCTTTGTTGATAATGAAAATATATGTTAGTCTTGATGAAATATCCAAACCTAAATATATTTTGACACTTGTCGATGATCGTTGAATGGCCCCCCCTGCACTATTTGTAGCACCTTTAAATACAGGTTTTACTGGTAAACTGAAGGGTTGAGAATAGATTTATCACAAGAACCCTAATGCATATATCAAGTAATGTGTATACAGTGAGTGCAAACAAAGTGAGTGCACTAAAATGAGTGCATGAAAAATGAGTACATATTTCAAAGATAAGAAAACACCAGATGAACCCTCTACACAGCACTAGGAGCACTTAAAACCTATGATAATATTGTCCCATTGGTCATGCTTTTTCCATGCTAATTCTTTCAATAAGTAAAGTGTTGGTGAACAACAATGATTAGAGATTTTTTAAAATTCAATTTTGGATATTTCTTGAACTCCTATAATGTCACATATTCAATACAATTCAGAGTATTTACTGCTAGCAATTAATGCACCATTCAAAGATTTTCGTGGGACCACCCCACAAGAGGGGGTCAGGAATTTGATATGCAATATCGTCCTGGGGGTTGGGATTTTAATGGGATACTATGTTCTGATAATTGGAACTTCTGAAGTCACATTCCCGAAAATGAGAACTTTGACAATATTTGACAAGCTATTATTGCTCCCAGGGTTGGAAATCGCCAGCCCAATTTTTATTTTGTCAAAACCACACCCTTTCTGCGTGGGGGCTCACGCAAAACTTTGAATGGTGCACATTTGAAGCCTCCTTTTTACTTTAGTTCGGAATCCAAAACATGACCACTGAAACAATATTCCCATGGGTGGAATTCAAATATAATCTAGAATTACTCAAAGCTTTTACATATCAGCTCTACATAATGATAAACACATTTACTAGAATGTGATAGTGAAAATATAAGACATTAGAATATTAATACAACAGGCCTGTAGACAGGATTTGCCAAGAGGGGGTTCACTTTTTGAACAAATTCCAGGGGGGTTCACTTTTGACAAGTTTGGTCCAATAATGGCCAAAATCACTTTAAAAGTGCTCAGAATGGTGAAAACCTGCATGAATTTTTGGCCGGGGGGGGGGGGGGGGGTTGCTCGAATCCATCGAACCCTCCTGGCTACAGGCTTGTACAATCACTACTAACAAGGGATATTGAAATTAATTTCATGACATTGTACAGCCAATCAAAGTGCTCTATTTTGGTGACAATAACAAAACGTTGTCATGACAACTACCTCATCAATTATTTTGAATACAATATTGTGAGTAATAGACCCAAGCAATACAGAAGAAAACCTCTGTAGAAGATATTATATCGTTTTGAACGATTACACATCCAATTATGCCACCATTTCAATAAGAAATAAAAATACTTAATTAACTGGTTTTATAATAAAAGCATGATATTAATTCAAAATAGAATACTGAAATACATGATTGTGTTATAAAATAAATGTAGTATTTACCATTTCAAAATTACTCCATAACTCATTTAACAAATTAATTTTTTAGTTATTATTACACATGCCCTAGTAATCGAATACCCTTACAATAATGTTTCCCTCAATCCCTGATGCAAACTTTTGTGTAAGGGTAACCCATTCAAAATATATCACAGTGGATTTGGCTCCTTCAACTAATGATTCGTGGATTTTGACACCGAGTTAAAAAAATCAGATAGTCTTGAATACAGGCAAGAAACAGCTTATGTATCAAATGGTTATATGTAGGACTATACAGGGTGTCCTGAAAGTATGGGCCTCCCCCTAGGCAGACATATATCAATGTCTCAATAGTATGCGTCATATATCATTTTAAAGCTCATCCAAAGTTACATTGATTTACCAAGTATCATGGTACAACTCACAAATGGAAAAAAAGTTACAGGCATTTCGGGACACCATGTAGACACCTAAGATCAAGGGTTTTTACTTCATTGAGAAAACTTATTCACGTATTGCTTTACTTTTATAGATTAAATAAATAACTAAATATTTTATAGTTAGAGCCATTTTAATGAATAATTCTTATATCTGTCACTCTGGGTATTATTTTATAGGGGTAAGAAAATTCACCAAATGCGCTGTGATATATTTGAATGTAATTACTAATTATTACAATATAGGAAATATTATTCTTCCAAATGTAAAACTGAATGTTCTAATGCAACTGCTGCTAGTTCCTTCAGAAATTCCTCCAAAACTAGCGTACAGTAAACAACATTCTTCGTACGAATGCTCTCGATCGCTGCTTCAGGTCCATCGGGGGTTTTCTTATTAATGAAACGATACCCAGCGCCATCTTTATACATAGGTGTCTCTGGGTGAACAGGTTTAATGTCTTTATTGCTTCTTCGAAATAAATCGCCAAGACTCTTTCGTTTATCTGAAAATAGTTTTTTATGGATAAAGAATTTATTGTATTTATATCAAAATTACAGAATTAAGGCTAGAAACAGAATTGTTCATTCTCATTGATGTATAAGTACTTTTTTTTTTGTATTAACATAATGACATACAAAGAGATACTTTACATGTAGTAACTTTTAAAATGTGGCCACCAGATTATAAGTATTTGAAATTTAAAACATAATTTGCAAAAATATTTCTCAGGGTAATACTACCTTTCTTGACTTCAACAACAGGGGGAGCTTTAGTATTCTTTTCTGCACCCCCTTGGTGACCCATGTCTACCATTTTTGGGGCCTCAAGGCCATGTAAATGGGCCTGTTCGCGCCAAACTAACCATCTTCGGGCCTTAAGGAGCATCTGGTCAAAGTTATCAACTGTGTACGAGTAACAGTCAACTTTGTGTTTCACTGAACCCAACACCTGCGTATGGAATAAAAATGATTATTCACTTGGAGGGACAGAATACTGGATTTATCCTGAGGGCAAATATAATATATCTAAGCCTTTAGAAGCATCTGGTCAAAGTTATCAACTGTGTACGAGTAGCAGTCAACTTTGTGTTTCACTGAACCCAACACCTGCGTATGGAAAAAATGATTATTTACTTGGAGGGACAGAATACTGGATTTATCCTGAGGGCAAACATAACATCTTTAGGTAGTCAACTATATGCTTTACTAAACCCAATATATGGACTTCAGAAATGCTGGTCATGAATGAACTATAGACCAGTTGATTTCCTATTTATGCTGTTCAAAAAAGTAAGCTGGTCAAGACCACAAGAAACTGGTCAAACTACTTGACAAGTGCTAAGTTTCTGTAACTCGGATAACATGGAGACACGTTACAAAGCCTCAGTCGCATTTGGTCCAAAATTCAGTACTACTGTCACCCAGCTGATGAGTATTTTGTTCACAATTGCATTCAGTTTTGAACAAAATACTCATCAGCCGGGCACTGGTGTTGAAGATTGAGCAAATGTGAATCAGGCATTACCTGAAATAATGACTTTACAGTCGGCTGGAAGACGAGACTGTGATTGAGGAGGAACGACCTTAGTAATGGTTGGGGGTAGCAGGAGAGCCTTGTCAAAAGGCCAGTCAGTAGGAAGTTCACGTAGAGTGTGTTCTGTTGCATCCCTTCCAGCTTGTTCAGTAGCACAGTCAGAAATGGGCCTGAAATGACAATGAAAAACATAGAAATGGGCCTGAAGAATTATGAAAAATACAGAATAGGCCCGAATGGATAATGAAAATGCAGAAATAGGCCCCAAAGAACAATGAAAAAAGCATAGCTTTGTACAATTTATTGAATATATCGAGAAATAATACCGAACACTGAAATACTGAATTGCTTTTCAATGTTTCATTGACAATTGTATCAAAGATTGACATCAAGAACTAAGTAATGTACAAATCTAGGTTTCATATGATAAGACCTAATAATCAAATAGGAAATTGTATCTCAGTGCTCAGATCCCAAGGATTTTCTGTGGAGAATTTTTAGTGCAATATTTTAAGACTTTCTGATATTCTATTGTAACATTTTAAGAGACACAATCACTAAACTACTAAATGAAGAAGCATTTTGGTATCATGAATTACATGTACATGGAGGCGCTGTACATGGAGGTGCTGTACATGGAGGTGCTGCACATGGAGGTGCTGTACATGGAGGTGCTGTACATGGAGGCGCTGTACATGGAGGTGCTGCACATGGATGCGCTGTACATGGAGGTGCTGCACATGGATGCACTGTACATGGAGGTGCTGTATATGGAGGTACTGTATATGGAGGTGCTGTACATGGAGGTGCTGTACATGGAGGTGCTGCACAGGGAGGTGCTGTACATGGAGGTGCTGTACATGGAGGCGCTGTACATGGAGGCGCTGTACATGGAGGCGCTGCACATGGAGGCGAGTACATGGAGGTGCTGTACATGGAGGTGCTGCACATGGAGGTGCTGTACATGGAGGCGCTGTACATGGAGGCGCTGTACATGGAGGCGCTGTACATGGAGGCGCTGCACATGGAGGCGCTGCACATGGAGGCGCTGTACATGGAGGCGCTGTACATGGAGGAGCTGTACATGGAGGCGCTGTACATGGAGGCGCTGTGCATGGAGGCGCTGTACATGGAGGCGCTGCGCATGGAGGCGCTGTGCATGGAGGCGCTGTACATGGAGGCGCTGTACATGGAGGCGCTGTACATGGAGGCGCTGTACATGAAGGCGCTGTACATGGAGGCGCTGTACATGGAGGCGCTGTACATGGAGGCGCTGTACATGGAGGCGCTGTACATGGAGGCGCTGTACATGGAGGCGCTGTACATGGAGGTGCTGCACATGGATGTGCTGTACATGGAGGTGCTGCACATGGATGCGCTGTACATGGAGGTGCTGCACATGGATGTGCTGTACATGGAGGTGCTGTACATGGAGGTGCTGTACATGGAGGTACTGTATATGGAGGTGTTGTACATGGAGGTACTGTACATGGAGGTGCTGTACATGGAGGTACTGTACATGAAGGTGCTGTACATGGAGGCGCTGTACATGAAGGTGCTGTACATGGAGATGCTGCACCTCAACGTGGGAGAGCACTACACTTGATACAATTCACTTAGTAATGAATTGGTGACATACATGTATGTACACATCCTGATTTCTCATAATTATTGCCTAGGGCATGACTATGAGAATATTATGACCCGACAGGCCAAAGATATATCTTAACTGGAAATGTTCTCTTAGACTAGTTAACAATTAATGCACTGTAAAAATATATCTTGAAGTTGTAGTCTATTGAAATATCAGCACGATTGTTTTTATTAATAAGTAATGTTGTTACGGGACAAAAACTCAAGTATGTATAAAACATCATGTGACGTTTAGAAATTAAAATGGCAACTGCAATGGAGGAACACGTCAAAGAGACATTAATATGTAAGGTGTGTTATGAGACACTAACAGACCCAAGGGCACTACCATGTATGCACACATATTGTTGCAAGTGCCTGGATAAGCTGGAAAAGAAGAAACAAGGCTGGAAACAAAGTCTAAGCTGCCCAGAGTGTAGACAAGACCACCAAATACCTAAAGGGGGAGTGGCAAAGTTTAAGGTCAACTTCACCACAAGTTCCTTAGTGGATCTACTTCAATCTATTGACATTTTAGGAGATAATCCTAAATGTACAGTTTGTAAAGAGAATGATCAAAAAGATGTTGATGCTCATACAAAATGTGTAGAGTGTAACGAACAGTTTTGTGAGGACTGCGATCGACATCACAAAAGATACATTAAAGGTCACACTGTGCTGAACTTGACTGGCGATAAGATACAGGACACTCAGAGTGCATATAAGATTATAAAACAGCGTGTAGTGTTCTGTGAAACACACAAAAACAATCCACTTGAGATATACTGCAAAGTAGACAAATGTACCGCATGTGCTACATGCTACGTTACCAACCACTCTGGCCATGAATGTGTGGACATCCATAAAGCTGCACTGGACAATGTTAAACTAATCGATGACCTTCTCAAGAAAGGTGACAAACGTGTACAGACTTTTGTACAAACAATACAGAACACTCATACAAAGAAGGAAAAAATGGAGCAAGAAGCGAATGATGTGACACATGAACTGAACAATGATATGAACACAGCTATTCAAGCAATCCGTGATAAATATACAAAGGACATCAGCCTTGTAGCTCAGAAAAGAGCCACGTATGCCAAACAAGCAGCATCACACTTAGATCATCTACAAATGCAAAAGGCCACCACTGAGAACACAATGAGTCAGCTACGGACATTGAAACAACATGGACATGATACACAGCTAGCTAACATGGCTGATGATATCACATCAAAATCACAGGAGTGGTCTAAATATGAAGCCATTGAGTTTGACACTAACATAACATTCCAATTACACATAGATGAAGTGCTAGATGACAGAATAGTGTTTATGTAACAATCTGAGAGGGCCAGTACTGACATGAATGGGAGTGTGCGGGAATCGAACCCATGACCTTCCACTCCAAAGTCCGATGCTCTACCACTTGACCCATAAGGGCACCAACAGATGTTGTACACACACACAGATTTAAAGCTACCCACACTGATACAATGTGAAGATATTGCATTGAACTCTAGATGGGAACTTGTTATATGTGATCGAATTACAAAGGCTGTATATCACGTTGATTGCAGAAATCAGACCGAGTCTAAAGCAGTGATTTTCAATTAACCTACCAGAGTGCCATTCAAAAGTAAAGATGAATTTTCACTTTCTGATTCTCGAGCATATCGTATAGTGAGTATGACCAGAGTTGGTGATGAGCTGTATAGGTATGGGACTGAAGGTAGCAAGCAAAGCCAGTTGAATCCCTATGGTCTATGTACAGATAGAGCAGACAATATCATTGTGACTGACTTCTCTAACCACAGGGTACGGACCAAGGACCAGATGGCAAGTTTATCAAGTATCTCCAGGATCCAACCAATAGCTGTAGCAATAGACAATGAGGGACAATTGTTGATAGGTGATTACAGAGGCAATATATCTGGATTGTGAAATACACAGAGCAATAATGAACACCATCTGGGTGCTATGTGAGAGCAGGACAAACATCAGTATACAGTAAAACCTGTCTAGGTGGAACACCTTAACAGGGCCGTCAGATGGGGGGGGGGGTGCGATGGGTGCGACCGCACCCCCCTTTGTCACCCCCCAAAATAAATTTGAAATTTTTTTTTGAAAAATATTTTTTTTGTATTTTTTTTTCATTGACTCATACACTTTGAAAGTACCAAATCAAAGTACCCAGAAAGCACCAAATAGCATCTTAAAATTGTAAAATTTTCTAGGGGTATTGGCCACCCCTCACACCACCCACAAAACAATGGAAAAGTTCTAAATTTATTTTAGAGTTTTGTCTCAGACACTTTTAAAGTGACCAGATATCATCAAATAGCTCCTTGATATAGTAAGTTTTTCTGGGGGACTTACTCCCCCTCTTGCATCTTGCACTTGCATACCCCCCCCCCCCTCTGGCAACCCCCCCCCCTTGACCCCCCCCCCAAAAAAAAAATTGTGATTTTCTTAAATTCTCATAGACTCATACACTTTGAAAGTGCCCAGAAAGCACCAAATAGCGTCGTAAAGTTGTAAAATTTCTAGGGAAGTGGGCCACCCCTCACACCCCAAACAAAACAATGGAAAAATTCTGAATTTGTTTTATGTATTGTCTCAGACACTTTTAAATTGCCCAGACATCATCAAATAGCTCCTTGATAAAGTTAATGATTCTGGAAGACTAACACTTACTCGCCCTCTGGCATCCCCACTCCACCTCCCCCTCTGGCAGCCCCCCTCCCTTAACACCACCCCCCCCCAAAAAAAAAATTGAGATTTTTCAAATTTTTTTTATTGACTCATACCCTTTGAAAGTGCCCAGAAAGCACCAAATAGCACCTTAAAATTGTAAAATTTTCTTGGGAAATAGGCACTTTTAGGCACAGACACTTTAAAAGTGCCCAAACTTCATCGAATAGCACCTTGATATTGTAAATTTTGATATGGGGGACAAACACTTGCTCCCCCTCTGGCACCCCAGCCCCACCTCCCCCTCTGTCTACCCCTCCCCCCTTTGACACCCCCAAAATGTGAAAAAAATTGTGATTGTTTTTCAATGTTTTTATTGACTAATACACTTTAAAAGTGCCCAGAAGCACCAAATATCATCTTTAAATTGTAAAATTTTCACATCCCCCACAAAACAAAAGAAAATATTCTGAATTTCATGTATTGTCTCAGACATTTTTTAAGTGCCCAGACATCATCAAATAGCACCTTGATATGGTCAATGTTTCTGGGGGACAACCCCTTGCTCCCCTACTGGCACCCCACCCAACTTCACCCTCTCATCCTCTTTGACAACCCCAAAAGAATTTGAAAAAAATTCACATTTTTCTTATTGACTCATAACGCACAGGCGTACCAGATGGTTGCAAATTCGCTCCAAATACAACCAAATTTCAAAATTTTCCTGGGGGAGAACCCCCAGACCCCCCTGAATGCTTGGTTTTTTATTCACTCAACTCTTATTCCCGTGGTGGTGGTGGCGTACTACTTAGAAACTTACACTATGAAGGTGCCCAGAAAGCACCAAATAGCATCTCAAAACTGTAAAATTTTCTAGGGGGAGTGGACCACTCCTCACACCCCCCACAAAACAATTGGAACATTTGGAAGTTGCATTTGTTAATTCCAAATCAATATAGGGAGTAACTGACCCCCCCCCCCCCCCTCTGTCTTACGCGATTTGATTTACGCGGCAAAAAAATGACAAATTTATATTCTCTTTAGTAAGCTAAAAACCGCACCCCCCTTGGAGAAAAGTGTCTTACGGGCCTGCTTAAGTACCTCTAAAAAGTGTTCCACATGTGAATTGTGACACTTAAGAGGATTGTTTAACATTAAGTCAGTTGGTCTAGTCCTAAGAAAAGTGTTCCGCTAACAGAGGCCGCTTTCCACTTTACTGGGTTTGCATATTGACTCATTGTTAAATGAACCTCTGTAAGTGAACACCTTGGTACCTCTAGAAAGTGTTCCACATGGGAGTTGTTCCACTTATAGAGGTTTCGTTTTACATTAAGTCAATTGGTCTTGGGACTCTGGAAAGTGTTTCACTGACAGAGCTGTTCTACTTCTAGATATGCTCCACTTTATAGGTTTATTATGAGCAGAAATATATTTGTATTAGAATTATGGCTATAAGCCCTTTAAAGTCTGTATTGATTCACTGACCTATATTTGGGGTACCAATATTGTACTTGGTAGGTGTGTAGACGGGATGCTGTATGCTACGTCTACTGTCAGGCCTCTGTAGGCCTTCCACCCTTGGGAAGAGTAGGCTGGGGGGTAGGGGCAAGGCACTGGTAACGACAGGTTCCTTTGAGTTGGATGAAACCTGGAAATCAAAAGAATCACTACATATTTCACAATACATGTACATTTTTTGTTAAAAAAATACCAGTTTGTTATTCATTTTTGATTGATTTTTGAGTTCAAATGTATAACAATGGAATAAAGAAAATAAATTGAGATCAAATTCGAGCTCTTCGGTTCTACTGAAATAATATGTAAATAGAACAAGACACATAGTGATGAATATCATGCCAAAATCCTATGTGACACCCTGCAGGACAGACAAAGGCACACGCAGACGCAATCCACCAGCACAAGACGACAATATCACATTTCGAAAAAGTGGGATGAACTTGTATGATTATATTTTCGCACCTACCTGTTTTGGTATTGAGTTGAGAGCTGTAGAAGCACTTATAGATGAGTCAAACATTGACAGGTCCATTGGGCCTAAACCTGATGACAAGTCCCCTGACTGACCTTCCGATTTGGCACTTTCTTTTTTAAGGTCTTCATCAGTCAAGTTTGACCTTGGTTTTGTCGTAATATTAGTCTCTACTTTTTGAATTTTCTCACTAGGTTCTAATCCTGATGATTTTGATTTGTGTTTTCTCGTCGTTTCAATATATTTATATTTATCGAGAAGTTCCTCGAAGTCACTGAGGCTTTCTTCGATTGTATCACAGATATTATCAGGTGTTTTTGCTCGTTTTAATGTTAACAAAAAATTATTGAATTCCTGAGGGTCGGATTCCTCTTGGGAGAATGCTCCTTCTCCTGTATCAGTTCCTGAATGTTCTTCAATGAGATTTCTTGTTTCGTCATCCAGTTCAGATTTGTTCTGAAGTTTAATGACAGTCTCTGTGTTGTTATTATCACTGTGTTGTTTTACTGCATTCAAATTTTGACCACTTTTATCTTGGATTTGCTTACTACCTCCATTTTGAATTTCAAGATGGCCGACAGTGGATGTGTCACATGACCCTGAAGTTCTTGGAGATTCTTCAGTGCTCCCTCTAGTGGCAGCTTCACTTAACACTGAATCTTCCAATATGGATGACACCCCCGAAATATTTAGCGAGCTATTCAACCCTGGACTCGGTGAACGTTCAGCTATCAAACTATCGGGACTTGGAGTTTCACCATCATAGGGGGCGCTCCAACACTGACATGAATGTGCCGTTTTGACGACTCTATTCCTAGCATCATGGAGATATTCGCTATAACTTGTCTCATAATGGTCCAGTTTACTCCCAATTGAGCCCTTTGGAAATGCAGTGGAGTTATCAGGGGATGAACTTCTGAAATAATCATATGTGAAGTTTGAAAGTAGCTCTAACATTGACAAATTCTTACAGAAAAGCCTGTCTAGTTAGTGGAACACCTTTGGATGGTCGAAGTTAATTTAACATTTAGTCAGTTGGTCCTGACATTCTGAAGTGTTCCACTAACAGAAGTGTTCCACTTCTAGAGGTGTTTCACTATATATTTATTTTAGTAATATTTAAACTTATAGCAGGGTATTTATTCACTTTAACACTATGTGCAATTGACAGTGATGATAAATGCCATTAAAATGTGCTGTTAGATTATCATGTATTGATGTCATCCATTATCTTATATTTCTTAAAAGTCTGAATATTAAATGACTAAATATATAAAATCTGAAAATGTGAGGAACAAGACACACAGTGATAAATATCGCACTTTGAAGAGCAAACTGGCCACCATGCAATTTACCCAGCATGGCCAAAACCTAATCAGACCTTGGCACTGCTCTTGCATCTGTAAACATTTCAAGTTGACAAGGTTAGCGGTTTTCCTGCAATTTTGATGACAAGAATTTATTTGTAGTCTTGAACTTTGGGAAAATTTAGATAACATTGTTTGTGACCTAATTTGATGACCTTCGACCTTGAAAATTTCACTTTTTCAGACCTCAGTAGGTGTTTTGTAATTAAGCTGACCTAAATTTAAATCCAAAATATCAATTTAGAAAATCAGCTTTTTGACCTTTTCAAGGTCACTGAAGGTCAACGAAAGGTCAAATCTGAAATCTAAGGTCAGATTTGAACTTCTGAGAACTTGTAGATGTTTTTAAAAAAACAATTTGGTCAATTTGGAGCAAGTTGAGAAATTCCAAAATGGCCGCCAAATTGAAAAATTCAAAATGGCCACCATGTAATTCACCCAGCATACCCAAAACCTAATCAGATCTTGGCAATAGTCTGCTCTTGCATCTGTAAAAATTTCAAGTTGAACGGATAAGTGGTTTTCCTCGAATTTTGATGACAAGATTTGTTGAAAAATTCAAAATGGCTGCCACGTAGTTTACCCAGCATGCCCTAAACCTAATCAGATCTTGGCACTAGTCTGCTATTACATGTGTAAAAATTTCAAGTTGAACAGGTTAGCGGTTTTCTTGGAATTTTGATGACAAGTATTGATTTGTAGTCTAAAACTTTGAGAAACTTGGATAACATCATTTGTGACCTAGTTTAATAATGACCTTGACCTTCGACCTTGAAAATTTCACTTTTTCAGACCTCAGTAGATGTTTTGTAATTAAGCTGACCTAAATTTAAATCCAAAATATCAATTTAGAAAATCAAGTTTTTGACCTTTTCAAGGTCACTGAAGGTGAATGAAAGGTCAAATCTGAAATCTAAGGTAAAAAAAAATTGGGTCAATTTGGAGCAAGTTGAAAAATCCAAAATGGCCGCCAAATTGAAAAATTCAAAATGGCCACCATGTAATTCAGCCAGCATACCCAAAACCTAATCAGATCTTGGCAATAGTCTGCTCTTGCATCTGTAAAAATTTCAAGTTGAACGGATAAGTGGTTTTCCTGGAATTTTGATGACAAAATTTGTTGAAAAATTCAAAATGGCCACCACGTAGTTTACCCAGCATGCCCTTAACCTAATCAGATGTTGGTACTAGTCTGCTCTTGCATCTGTAAAAATTTCAAGTTGAACAGGTAAGCAGTTATCCTGGAAATTTGATGACAAGATTGTTTATGTGCCGCCCGCCCGCACACCCGCCCAACAGCACAAGACGACGACAATATAGCACTTTTTCAAAGTGCGATAAAAACACATACAAAAATGATTATAATCATACTGGAAGTCTCACTACATTATACTCATATTGGAAAGACTCAATATATTATAGTCATATTGGAAAAACTCAATACATTATAATCATATTGGAAAGACTCAATACATTATAATCATATTGAAAAGACTCAATCCTTATTAAATCAGTAGAAGTTGGATGGGTTATCATTTTTAACACAGAATATAAACAGTTATTGAAAAAAACATATTTTTTACAAATTGTTATTTTTAGTAAAAAAATAAAAAGCATAGAAAAGTAAATATGAAATATAAAACATGAAAACAGGCTTATAAAATAAATCTATATCTACAGAATGCATATGTTAATTATTCCTGCAGTGTTTTTTCCAGGATTTTCTGCCAACTTGGTGCAAAATTCTCAAAAAATTACATAGTTATTCCAAAATCTTTCAAAAATTCCTATTAGGAATGAATATCTAAGTGAAGTATTAAGGACTAGTTGTTTTAGTGGACTTTGAACCACAAAATACCAATATTTCCAAAATGTGCAAAATTCTTGTACACTCCCCTCCATAAGTTTGGCAACTGGAAGTTTTTGTGGATATCATATCATAGCCTTGTCAATTTTTGAATCTTAATTTTGTTTCATACTTACAATAGTATGGAAATTTATGAATTTGATGAATATTTTAAATTGCCAAACATAAACAGCCTATTACCAAATTACCAAATATTATTACCAAATTACTACTCCTTTATGAAAAATTTGGTGAATATTTTAAATTGCCAAACATAAACAGCCTATGATAAGTGCTCCAAAAGGGACTTACAGTTACCAAATTTATGTAGGGGGTGTACTGTAGTCCACTAAATCAAGTGGACCTTTCTAATTCGTCATTAGCCCCATTAGTTTGAATGCTAATAAAAAGATCACTGCGGAGGTTAAATATCTTTACCTTATATTATTTTTGCCCTTTATTAAACGACTTACTCGTCGTGGTTTAGGTTGACTGTGATTGGTCAGTTTATCAAAGGAGGGACGAGAGGCGTGACTAAAAGAGAATTGTGGGAAAGGACTACTTTACTTTCAAGAGGCACACACAATATTCAAAAGTACAAGTTGTACAGGGTGTACCAAAAAATGCAACCCAACAAATAACTCTTATACAGGGTGACCAGAAAAAAGTGGACAAAAGATTTTTCCTTTAACCTCCACATAAATGTCATGATCAGTTTAATTATTGACATAAATGTAAAAATAGGCATCAAATAAAAATGGAAGGAGATTTCAAACATTTTACACCTTAACATAATGTCATGCATTGACCAATGTACATTTTTGCCAAAAATTAACCCGATTGTGGCATTTATGTGGAAGTAAAAGGAAAAAATATGGTCCATCTACTTTCTGGACACCCTGTATTATTGGTTAAAAGATACACTTTGCTAAGTTTTTAACAACATATTTTTTAAGATACAGATCAAACATGAGGGACCAAATCGCCAGTGGCATTAAAGGTGCGTTGCATTTTTTCGGTACACCCTATCATGCTCTGAACATGCAAAACAAAATATAAAATATTTTAAAATAAAGCTAAATAACCAGTGTGTGCTTTTTGAAAATGTGTAAGACTAAAGAATAATAATATTAATAAAAATTATATATAAATGGGGATGGTAAAACATAGAAGCAGGAGTTTCATTAAAAACAGGCAATTGGAGATTTTTTTCTGTTATTTCTCCAAAATATCTATAACTTTAGCTAAGAATTTTGCGACTGTTTTCATTTTAAAATTCCAATTTCTAATAATTTTGCCTGTTGCTTTCATTTATTTTGTCTGTTAGAAATATAATGAAACCCCAGCTGACTAGAAGGTTAATATAGTCAAAATACATGCATGCAGAAAATGAAATATGTAAAATGCTATGGTTCTAATCTAGTTTAATTCTGGTATAATGTGTAATGTTTATGGCGGATTGTATCATAACAGCAATGTCTAGCAAAGAATGGAATTTTCATATTTGTAATTGAAATATCATTGCCTTATTTTAAAAATCTGAAAATTACCAAAATGGTGAAACACAGAGATATTTTGACCAAACGGGTAAAATAAAGATACAACAAAAATAATCCTATTGAATTAACTGTTTTACACTTAAATGTATTTGTTTAACGAAATGGGATTTCGCATTCCTCTCACGAAAATAAAATTACATTTACAAGATCACATTATATCATACCTAGCTCTAAAATCAACACCCAAACAAAAAATATTGAACCCTCCTCAAAAAATAACCATAAATCTTGCCAAACATTGCTGTATTGATACAATCCCTAGTTAAATCAAATGAAAATGAGACATGGGGCTTTCAAAACTACATAACAGACACAAAATCTAGCCAAATCTCAATATTCAGATAAAATGAGACACATTGCCACAAGTCTCAATGAGTCTTATTTCAAATAGCGTAATATGATGAGCTGACTCAGGGATGCTAAATAAGTCACTTAATTAAATTAAAATCAATTTTTTTTCGATTCAACAGCCAGATATTACACTTCATCAAAATATTTTGAGATAAAAAGTGTTTAAGAAGACAACTATGGACTTCTGATCCCAGTTCAGGAATTATTCAAAAATGCATAAATCTGGAAAATAGAAGACAGAGACTTGCGGCCAGTCTACGCATGAAATAAAAATGTTCATGAATAACAAGCTTTTCTGCCGTTACCTGGAGTTTTCTGAGTCAGGTGTTCCAGGTATACTGTCATCAGGTATGCTACAAGCTGGTCTTAGAGATAGCAACTTGTCTGCAGCTTTCCCATAGAGATCAACATCCTTTACTGAGCGCCTCTGACTGACCATTACATGTGTGCACGGTATCAAATATCTACAACATATAGTTGACATTATTTACACCCCCAAAATGCAATCTGATTTTCGACGCCGTTTTGGTGCCAAATTTCGGTGCCGTTTCATCGCCAAATGGACTGACTAGTCCGGTGCCACATTTTGGTGTTGAAATGTTTCGGTGCCGGAACAGTGCCGCAACAGCGCCGAATTTTTTCGATGCTGAAACAGCGCCGAATTATATTGGCTGTGTAGGTGAATGGTCAATAGAGTTATACATCTTTTACTGAGCGCCAAGGAGATCATGAACAATTGAGATTTTTGATCAGTTTTGAAATTTCTTTGTCAGAATTAGTGAAATGATAATCTTTTTGCCAGTTGAGCAATTGAAAAATCTTGAAAAACAGAATTACAATCTCACCCAGTTTTCTCCTCAGTTTCCTGGAATGAGAACTAATATACAATATAATTGAAACATGAAAACTTACTTGAACACTAACTGGTACATGACGTCTTCACATTTCAGGTCAACTAGTGTCGTGAACAAAGCGAGAGACACCAGGCAGAGCTGCAAAAACACACATATTACTATCAATTTTCTTTTTGTAATACAGGGTGACCAAAAAAGCACAACCCATAACTTTTATTCAAAGAATTGTGGGTTCTATCTTTTGGTCACCTTGTAGTTTTGAGTTTTTGGGTCAAATTTTTCATAATTCTAAACTCAAAACTGCCTGACTACCAAAGCAATCACTTTTCACTCGTGGCGATGAATTTGGTTAAAAAACCAGTAGGACATTAAGCTGATTTTAATTTGTTCTATTCATCAATCATGTTTTCAACCTTAGTCATGAATTCTAAAATGTGGCACACAGGGAATCAAACTTTATAACTTTAAACATGACATAGGCCAGTTTTTACATCTTTTCTAGTTTTGCAACTACTGTATGATAAATGCTTTCAGATTTGACTCAACTAGAGATATCCTAATTACATATTCTACGAATCCTACATACCCTTGTATTGCTATTAATATATACCTAGTATTGCTATTAATACGTACCTAGTATTGCTATTAATACATACCTAGTATTGCTATTAATACATACCTATTGCTATTAATACATACCTAGTTTTGCTATTAATACATACCTAGTATTCCTATTAATACATACCTAGTTTTGCTATTAATACGTACCCTTGTATTGCTATTAATTATACCTAGTATTGCTTTTAATACGTACCTAGTATTGCTATTAATACGTACCCTAGTATTGCTATTAATACGTGTTATCAAAGACTCCAGGATGATGATCTCATCGCAACTGGCAGTACAGATGAACTTGAGAAATATGTGCATGAGTGCAGGTTCAGTGATCTTGCGAAGAAACAATTCCAGATACGCAGTGGCGGCAACCACCTCATCCATAGCATTCTATAAGACAAGATGATTTCTGTAAAACTTATTTATATACTGATGTATAGTACTTACTATCATTATGATAAAGTTAATTTCTAGGAGTAGATTTTCAACTCTTCGTCCAATAATTTTTACATTAATTTTGACTAGTTCTATATTGAGACTAATCATATGAACGTTTCAGAAACATTTCTCAAAACTCACACCAGGCATGGGCGTAGCGCCTATTACGCAAAATACGCACAGGCGTACCAAATGAATTTGAAAAAAAAATTAAAAATGTGTTAAAATGCATTAATTTATTTGTGAATTTATTTATGCTTCCTACCGTATCTGTATGTTTACCATTGTCAACATTTAAAGTTGATAAAAACGCGTACCAACTCAAAATATAGCCCTACGCCCATGCCAGGTGATAATGGACCGGACAGGCTCAACTGCCTGCAACCAGCCTGGTTCAAAGGACGAACCTGTCCAGTCCATTAACACTCGCTGAATTTGTATATGGTACAAATGGGGATTTGGTCTACCACATGTCTTAACTAGGTAAGCCCCATAAAATCCTTGGATATGGGTTGCATCCTTTAAGGTTTATTACATGACATTTTCATAGCACTGATACCATTTCCAGTTCAATGAGGGGAATAGGTCAAGCGCAAATGTAACAAGCACCAGTCTTAAATAATTCCCATGCAAAATAATACATTGATTTTCTATAAGCTGCATTTACAGGGTGTCCCACAATATCTCTGTTGCTTTCTACATTTCCTAAGTTTTAAGGGTATTCAACGTTCTAAATTTCCGCATTGCAATTTCAAAAGCCATATGTGAAAGATGTCCAGTGTAAATTCCCGAGAGCATACACAGGTAATGTTTCCAAAAATGAAAATACACAAACTATATTTACAGGGTGTCCCAGCAATGCAGAAACACCCAGCTGCATTTACAGGTTGGTTCAAAAATATATTTACAAAGCTAAAATCACAGGTAAGGTTCCCAACAATGTAAATAAACAAACTATATTTACAGGGTGTCCCAGTTATGTTGAAATACCTTGCCACATTTACAGGGTGTCCCAAAAATATATTTGCAAAGCTAAAATTACAGGTAAGGTTCCCAACAATGCAAATAAACAAACTATATTTACAGGGTGTCCCAGTTATGTTGAAATACCTTGCCACATTTACAGGGTGTCCCAAAAATATATTTGCAAAGCTAAAATCACAAGTAAGGTTCCCAACAATGTAAATAGACAAACTATATTTACAGGGTGTCCCAGTTATGTTGAAATACCTTGCCACATTTACAGGGTGTCCCAAAAATATATTTACAAAGCTAAAATCACAGGTAAGGTTCCAAACAATGTAAATGCACCAACTATATTTACAGCGTGTCCCAGTAATCCAAAAACACCCAGCTATAATTACAGGGTGTCCCAAAAATATATTTACAAAGCTTAAATCTCAGGCAAGGTTCCCAACAATGTAAATACACCAACTATATTTACAGGGTGTCCCGGAAATATATTTATGAAGCTAAAATCACAGGCAAGGTTCCAAACAATGTAAATACACCAACTATATTTACAGGGTGTCCCAGGAATGCTGAAATACCCAGTTGCATACAGAGTATCCCAAAAACATATTTACAAAGCTAAAATATCAGGAGACATAAATGTGCATTCGGGAATCAAATCGTGCTTTATGAACTGAAATAAAATACTGGTAAAAAGCGACCAAAATGTTGTCTACTATATTCCATGCTACAGAGAAACTGGCATCATTTTCCTTACCCACGTGAGCTCCTAGAATTTATAACAATGAACATTATTAGCCATTCAGGAGCGATATAAAACTTGATTAATATTTTAATTCAATTCATTCAGTATTTCTTTTTTTAATTTATATTATGATCGTATATCAAGTGATTTATACATATACAACATATACATAGATCAAAAGAACCTAACTAGAAATATCACTATAGGTACTGTAATTCTCTGCTATTGAATTCTACACAAAGGAGTAAATATATATGGACTAATATATAAGAAATAGCCTTAGAATATTCTAAATAGTAAAGTTTTGCTGTTCTATTATTATCACACAGAAAAGGCAAATTAGTCTACTACACAGCTCTTGCTTAATTAGAGCAAGGTAGAATGATAAGAATTTTAGAAAAGGAGGCAACTAGAATGTTTGCACAGGAGGTGTTTCAATACCACAAATATTACACCTACTTGGTGGAGGGCTGGACCAATGACTGGCTTCAGAAAGCCATGGTAGATAAATTTAATGAGCTGATCTCGTACACAAGGACTGGCAACCTGGAAATAGAAAAAATGACATAATGCCCAACATGGTGCATCATAAAAAAGTTAGACAGGTCAAAAATGAAATATGGACCAGCTGAAATGAAATTCTATACAGGGTGTCAAATAAGTCCCGTCCCCCCCCCCTCTACAGCCTAAACCAAGATACGAGGTACCATCTATTAAGGTTTTCGCTGTAGCAGGGGGGACGGGACTTATTTGACACCCTATATACTTATGTATATATGCTGAAACTGTATGGAAGCTGTATGCTAGTCCAGATTAAAGAACCTGGTCAGGACCACTAGACCATTGCTTATTTTGCACCCTGAACTGCTTGATCTGAACAAGTAAACTGCATATCATGGTGAAAATGATTCTGAAACAACACTGAATTCAGTGGAGTCGCAAAATTGGGTGTTATTCACTAAACTCCATTTGGTGCTGTTTTGAATGATTGCAATGAATTCCAAATATCATATCATTTAGACATTGAATTTTCCTATTAATGGTGAAGGTGGTGATGGTGAAGGATTATTATGTTGATAGACATACCTGGACTACTGCATTACAGAACTCTAACGAATTAAGAAACATAACGAGAGAAGGAACTCTCTTCCAATCTTCTTCCTCTAGACGACTCCAATCTTCAAACCTGATCTCAAGTTTATAAGGCAAGGAGGAATAGAGAGCGCTGAGTCCAGTAGCCAATACCTGTAAAGACAAAATGACTCGATTATATTATTATGTAGTTAATGAACTAAAATGAAGAGTGTGTTGTAAGGATTTTGAAAAGATGAAAAGATGCGCCATAGAAGAGTTGCAACATGCTGAAAAAGTATGATGTTCCACACCAGCAAAAGATAATGTTCACAACTACTGGACCATTTTTTAGTTGCATCAATAAATCATGTGCATATTTTTCATATGGTAAAACTTGTAACATGGAACACTTTTGAAAAGAACGTACAAAAGGAACACTAGATATTACTCTTACTTACCCATTAACTAAATATATTTAACAAGCCTGACAAGTTGATCACATTTTGAGCTAGGCATTTTATTTGTACATAGGGTTTACATAAAAGTACACATGTTTGTATTGAACTGTCTATAGGTTGATGAATAGTCAGTATCATCTCTCTTACATCAGTTATCAATATTTAAGATAATTGTGGTTATTAAAATGTTGACAGTTTATAGCTACTGTACATTACATACCCTGATTAATAAGTTATACAAGATAAAATGATGACCAATAGCTGATTTGTATATATGAAGGTCATGTATAAAGATGTAATTGTTTACATGTTTCTTAGTAGAGAAAGAGTAGTACCTGGATTAGCAAATTACACTGAACAAAACATATTTTTTCAAATCATTCTTCAGCACCAGGATTGAACCTAATCTGTCATCTTGTGTTTCAGATAAGTCTTCTCCACAGGTTTTTTCTCATTTTCACAATTCAGACCAAATTTGGTCCCAACATGCCCATTTTTCATGATTTTTCTCATTTTCAAGTGGGTGCGAATAGATTTTCAGGTGGGTGCTTCGTCAACTTGCTTTAATGCTGAGAATATCACTGAGACATAAAAGTAGATAGAGTTTCCATATATCCCTTCTGAAATCCCGTCAGTTAGATAACTACACTGTATTTTAAATACCCTGGGTAAAAAGTAATAAGATGATCAATACAGGACTGGCACAATCATGAAGGACATGTATATTGGAATATGATTATTGAATTATGAGAATAACATGGTGTTAAGTGAGACACAAATATAAACTCATATGCATTCTCCATAGTAACAGGTCTCAGTGATCTGAGGACTGACATAACCAAACCAGGTGTTGCATCCACCTGACGATTTGAAAATGATCTAGCCTCAAACTGAAATTCATGTTTGCCTTGTTGTTGAGTTGAGACTTTTGAATATCACAAATTTGAGACATTTTGACCTTTCCTTATTTTTTCATGTTAGGTGCAGCCCCTTTTGCTTCAATGTAAATCAATATTCTCTTTAACTCAATTTAATTTTCATGGGATCTTATACTTCTCATTCTTAACTTCCCTTTTTCTTAAAAGTGAATATACATAGAGTCATTGTCAATATAAGTTGATATTTGATCCAATATCACTTGGTCAAATTGGTCAGAAATAGCTAAAAAGTAATACAAGACACTCACCGGGCAGAAGTCGGAGTTGTCAGCGATGTAGTTCCCAATACTCTCATGTTTGTTCGTTAAAACCATGATCAACAGTAGAGCATCACGTGCGGACTGACCCACGGTGCCTTCTCGATGGACAAAGGGTATCAGCGCAGAAAAAATCAGAAATTTTGTTTGACCATGGTCCGCACTTGCACTGAAGAAAATCTCTAAGAGACTCGCATCATTACTAAGGTTAATACACAATTGGTGGAGAAGTAAAACTAGATGATGTTCGATAGTACCAGGATGATCGGCACATTGACTTATCAATCGCATCATAGGTTTAATCAAAGGTTTATGCACTAATAGACTTTGCTGGGCTTGACTGATCAACATCTCATAGACCTTCAATTGATGCGTGAAAAGTTTAAGTCGAAATTCCTTCTGTTTTTCGCTCCAATCAAAAAGGAGATCTAAGATGCCATTGGTTAGTAAATAATCCAGCATTAATCCTTGGGAGCCGTCCTCCTCTTTAGCTTCACGGATTAACAGGAGGACCATCTGGTCTATGTAATTAATAACTGCGTCTACATCATCGGATTTGACTCCCTGGGCAGGGGCTTTACTTTTTGCTGGGTTTGGGCTATTATTGATATCCCGAATGATAACAATCGCCTGATGCCAGTGAGATTTAAACACTTCAAGGCACGTCTCAGGGTCAGTCTCGCTCCGGGGACGACCATTGGGTAACCCCGGGGGAGGGCTAGCCTCTGCAGCAGGCGCCTTGGATTTCTTCAGCCAACTCATTGCTACATCCTGGAAGAAGAAGATGTAGATTATACACAATGAGGAAGTTTTGTTTTATATCATGATAAACCATGTTATCTTTCCTTTTCAGTCTTGATTTGTCAGAAAATGTGATGAGTTTCAGAATGTTTCTTTCCCTTTTTAATCCTATGAAGGAAAACAAACAGATTGCGATGTATGTTAAAGTAAAAGATTGAAGCCCAGGGCTCAATGAACTTTTGGTGAATTTAATGAACACGTTCTTGAATGGATTCTTTTTCCCGATGTTGCAAGGCTGACTTTTAGAGTGTATAGAAACAGTCCCAATTTATTGCTAATTTTTTAATCACAAATCATTAATTCAATTCAATTTATTATTCAATTCTAGTTTTCATACAATATAAACTTACAAGAGACATGAAAAGAAAGAAAATCAAACAAGAAACTTTTTTGTAAGGATATCACATTGTCAACAATTTTAAATGCACAAGCACCTACTTAGCAAATCATTATGATAATTAGTGTTTAGAATTTTTCATACATGATCAATCATTTCCTTTATTGCAATGTACCACATATCTGTTGTGAAATATAGAATGGCTACATAAAACGAGAGTCAAATGGTCTACTTCTGTAGAATACATCCATAACATACCGGAACAGCCTGACAACGGTAAAGTCAGATACCGTTGTCACAAATGGCAGACATAACTGTCACTTCAATTAGATTTTCGCTTAATAGAGCACCTAGACTAAATTCTTTTGGAACAACAATCAATCAAAGTGTCTTTATACTCATTGTACAGTTAGACGATAAAATCCCATGAAATGAGGACCAAGTGATTAAAGAGTTGAAGCGACGGTTATGTCCGCCGTTTGTGACAACTGTTGTCAGGCTATTCCGGTGTGCAAAAGTAAAAAAAAATTCAAAGCACAGTGACCAACTGACCTTACAAGTGAAACATTTTTTTCAAATTTTTTTTAATTCATATTTTTAATGTACATATTTTTACTTTTACCTCTCAGATTTAGTCCTTAAAAGATTTATATTCAGTTCTTGCACATAAAACATGTCAAAAGTACACCAAATGTACATTTAAATATTCAATGTTGAAGTTACGCTATTTCTTATTGAACTGAATCTTCATAACATCTTTTGAATAAAAGCATGACGCATTTGATACATTTTTTATGAAATAGCATTACCTAATTCATATAAATGACACCCGCAAGGCATTTTGATCATAATCACAATTATATCATAAATGTAACATATTTAATGAAAGTATAGAGTCACTATGAATGCATTTTTAAATGTATTTTTGTCAAATATAAAAACATCACTGAGACTGAACTCCATACCTCACAGGCTGAGGGACATAGCTGGAGGCATATAACCTAAAATTTGACAAGGCTTGTAAAATCTGCACTAAAATGGCAGCCATTTTTGAATGAGCAGCCATTTTGAAAATTGGCTTTCAAGCAGAACTTCTACCCCCATAGGGTATATGTTTACAAAATATGAACAAAATTGGGCCAACGGTATTTGAGTTATAGCCCGGAAGGATGGATGTACAGACGGACGGAGGCATTCCCTGTATCCCTCTGAACTTCGTTTGAAGGGATTAATTAAAGCGCAATGACCCTATCAATCTCTAAAATGAAATGAAAAAATGTTTGAATTAATATTCTCTGTAAAATTTTAGCGAGGCAATTGCCTCCCCTGCCTCACATCCCTTACCCCAGTTTTCCTTGTTCAGAGAGAATGAAACACATTCCAAGCCCTGACACTAGAGGAGTGTCCTACCTGAGTGAAAATATCCTTTCTAAACTCAAATTCCTCCAAAAATGCTTTAGTCTCTGTATTTCATTCAATGCATCCTAAATGTAAAAGTAGGTTGACTCTAATTTTCATAGTTTTGCAATCTACAGCTAGTTGTATCACGATACCTGTATTTCAATTTTATTCTTAAAATGTCACTAGAAATATCCTTATTCCACCGAGTTCCTTTCTAAAAATCAACTATGTAGGTGCACGATGGAGTCCCTATATTTCAGAATACATGCTTATTTTCTGCTAGCTCCATTGTATGGCAATTTCACTATATATCGTCATTATATTTTAAATAGTAATATATGACCACTAGATATTTTAAGCATAGGTCTGGTATGTCAATTTTCAGCTCTGAGTGGTAACATCAAAAACATGTGAAATGTCGTATATATAACATGTGCTATTACTCAGTGATAAATCATAGTTTAATTAACACATTCGATACAGATATATCTCAATGAGAATACAGTGAAACCTGTAAAGTGGAACACCTCTAAAAGTGGAACACTTCTGTTAGTGGAACACTTTTGAGCGCCCCAAGACCAACTGACTTAATGTTAAATGAACCTCGATAAGTGGAACACAGGTACCAAAGGTGTTCCACTAGAACAGGTTTTAGTGTACTTTTTCTTCATCCCAAATTTGTAATCTCCCATTGACTTAGTATGTAAATATCTGTAGACCACTCAAAACCAATATAGTAAAACCTGTCTTAGTGAACACCTCTTTCTAGATCTAGTGAACACCCTTCTCAGCAAAATGTTCAATAACATAGGTTTTATTGTATATCAGAACACCTTTCTAATCGGAACACCTCTCAATGCTAATTTTTTCTGTCCTAAAAAGTTAACTCCCGCTGACCCACATATTAAGAAACCTTGGAATTTGAATACCTCCTAATCTGAACACTTTTGTCTCATCCTAGTGGCAATTGTTATTAGACATGCTTTCACTGTAGATCGTAACTAATGTGAAAGATCTCATGATACAGTAAAACCTGTATCCAAACACCTCCAAATTAATATATATCCCCATGGCCAGTTTATTAAAGCAAGGAGACATGCATTGATCAAAGTTCAATTGAGCTATAATTTGTACTTGAAATCTACTCTTACATACATTTGATTTGCATAATACTGAAGGTGTTATTGAGGTCTCAAAATTTCTCATAAATTTCCATATTTTGCATTTCTCGAGGTTTTCAGATTATCTCGTACAATTTGTAGATCATGGAAATTTGGTCCTCAATATGTAATGATAACTAGTGTATAAAACAGGGTGATTTTGGTACGTTTTGGCATTAGGAGCATGTTTTGTAAAATAGCCATAAAATCGTGACCATTTAAAATAAACCAATAAAACTTGCTAGAACTTGCATGAAAGAACATTGAACAAGGTTCTATTATACCAACTATGACTTAAAACCCATTAGGATGATTGAGTTATTAAGATTTGTTTGGGTTACCTTTTTTGGCCCACCCTGTACCTTTGATTTTAGGATAATAATAAACATAAAGATTAACTGAAATTCATATTTTCTTGACCTTGATACACTTCCCCTGGGGGTCTAAAGTATTTTTTGGGTCCATCTAGATCCACTCTTACAATATAATATATAGCAGGATCAAAGTATTTCTATAACATTTCTTGAAAAATCTATACAAAAAATAACAAGGCATTAACATGCAAAATGTCACCACCTGCTATTTGTTAGATCTATAGAGACGCTGAATGTCAACTGCCGTCACAAAAAATGGAAACCATAAAAATATAATCTTTGTAATTTTTTGTTTATGTAGCCTGATATAATAAAACAAGCAACTTTTCACAAAGTCCTAATGAGACCAAAGAGCAAAAAACATTAACAAGATGGAAAAAATCAAACATATTGTACTTCTACTAAATTTGGCAGCAATTTTAATTTGGCGGATCTGCCAAATTGTTAAACCTGCACATCGCTCCAAAACGCAATATGTTGACATATATTGTTTTTACATTTTCAAACTCTAATTAAAGTTTATGTAAATAAAAATTGTTTTTTTTCTGCGTAATATCAAAGAACAATCATTTAGTTAAAAAAATAAAAAGGCGAATGCGGGATTCGAACCCGGGCCTCCCGCGTAATCGGCGAGAATTCTACCGCTACACCACCGTTTTATTATGAATGGTGCAGGTAATTAAACGCTACTTATTTTGAATGCTATGATTCGGAAGTGACGTCACGTTCTTCATTTAGAAACCTTTCCAAAATCATATCGCCGGCTCCGATCGAAGCAAATTCAATGAAAAATCTTTGAAATGACACATTTATCGTAAGTATTTCTACACAAGATTTGCCCCATTTGTTCATCATTCTATAATCTTTCATTAAGCTCAAAATGATAAAGTTCACCCCCGAAACAACCCAAGATTGCGTTTCGGAGCGTAGTCCAGCTTTAAAGTCCGCAAAATTAAGTAGCTGCCAAATTCCCTAGTAATTTTAGTACCATGCAAATTAGTACCATTAGTGCCTTGTAATATTGCAAGTCCACCAAATTAGTAACAGCCAAATGTTCAAAACAGCAAATCCACCAAAATAAGTAGCGTCAAATTAAGTAGAAGTACAGTGGTATGTTAGTCACTGGCAGAAAAATGTACACAAGCAGAAAATTACTTGGAATTACATTTTTGTTCACTCAGCTCAGTGAAGACAGAGCGTGCGAAAATGTGAAATTTGGTCATTAAAGTTTTAACAAAAGTTATAGTATTCATTATCAAAAGTACTTAAAATGTCAATTTTGTTTTCATAATTTAGAAACAGATGAACTCACCTCTATCTGAAGACACCTAAGGAGTAATACATATTTGGAAAGTGATCCATGGCTCTTTTAGCATTTGTTAATCACATTCTGAAATCATAAATAACACATTCATATTGCTACATTTATATTGACTTCACTTGTCAAACTTTATATTATAATTTACTCACTAAAAGAAACTCCACAATGTGAGGAATTACCCAGTTATTGACTTTTCATTAGCTGTATGCTATCATCTCCAAAGACTCATTATGCTAATTATGAGATGTGGCCCCATTGAAGAATTTAAAATAATTTCATCAAATCATTTTTCAAGCGTTTTATAATTATATTGTATATAACTACTGAGGTGTAAGCCCGGGGGGGGGGGGGGATATAAGACCAATGCCATGTCAAATACCTAAATATAGGACCAATGCCATACTAAATGTCCAAAGTAGAAAAAAGCTAATATTCAAATTAAAGGAGTCCCTGAGAAGAAGGCCGATCTATGAGGAAAACGATCCAAAACAACAACAACCCAATCTCCAGTATAAGGTCAAAACTCTGATATAGTCGGAGACATTAATAAACCTCAACCATCAAAAGTTGTCACGATGAGCTAAATTCTAAGTTTCATGTCTCAAACTCTCCCAAGTGGTAGAAAAATAATTCCCGATTCACTCTCAGTAACACAATGAAAGAATCCAAAGCTTCATACCTGCAAATGATGGATAAATTCCTACCAAATCGAACAAATGTTTTCATGAATCGCCATGTTCGTGATCCAAGGAGGATTGACTCCCAGAATGCATTCTGGGAGCCAATCCTCCTTGCGGCGTTATCGGGCTCCAAAATCCCCTCAACATTTGAAGAGTCGGCATTAACATGTGAATATCACCTCAAATTTTTAAGTTCGTACTTGTCATTATGGGCACAAATTTCACTATATTTGTACATTTCGGGAAGGAGAAAATAGAGTGCTCAATTCACTGAGGTAAGAATTTATTACATATGTGACAGAATGTCTTTTTCATAGTGTTATTCATTATTCATGTTCACCACTTTAGATGAAGTCGATAGAGGGGGGGGCAGCCCCATCTATCTGTAAGGTTTACAAACTGACTTTCTACTTGAGGCACTGCTTGTCTAAGGACAGGTAAGCATAAAATGCAACTAAATTTTAGTGAGAAAATGATATTAAAACTAGATGCAGTCTCCTGATCCTGTCCTTGAAAATTAGAGAAAAGACAAATGCCAATGTGTCACTTGGGTGGGTAGACTGTATCCTTCGTCTGAATAAATATTCAGACTGTAAGTCACCTATTGTAAAATGTGGTGTTGAATAAATGTTAAAAATAAGTTTGTTAAATGATAAAATGATTACCTTGTAAAGTACTTACAATATTATTTTTTCGTATATTGTCCTCTTACTGAAGATATTCATAAAATGTACAGACGCTTCTTGTAGCGAAGCCATTGATCAGGTCAAGCCATTTTGGCAATGCCAATTCTCACGATAAACGAGATTTAGCCAGTGACGTCAGTCTATTTGTAAACAAATAACACGTGGAGCGGACGGAAGCGTGTTGATAAATTCCATTTGTGCGGGAATTTATTAGATCTAGTCATTTATTATCATTATCCCGATTAATTTTCTTCATTTATAGTAAATAGAGCGGAAATATTCATGAAGAAGGCCGAGGTAATCAAGTGGTCATGTGTTGTCAAAGTTCAAAAAATTTGCATATCTCGTTTGGATCTCGTGAACTCAAACGTCCTTGACATTGATTTCGCGATGTACTTATAAACACATCCTGAAGTTTTGGTGAGTCTGAACATTTCATTATTTTATATCAACTTGTACCCGCCTTATACAAATATTTTTGCTTCTAGTTTAAGATGAACATCTCTTCAACATATTCACCAATTTTCAAGGTGAACATTCTTGTAATAAACGAGAAATTTATGTGCAAAAAATATCACCGCGATTTCCATAGGAAATATATCAATCATAACAGACCGAATATTATATTCGGTCTGTTGGATACATACTACTTGGGTGGGCTGGATTTTTTCACAGAAAAATTATTTAGAAACATGTGAACATTTTAGTGATTTCCTGTCGTTTCTGTTGGATTACAGATTCATAACTCTGCCAAAAACAAATATAAATCTTCATGTTTATAATGCACATATCACATTGTGATTTAAACAACGAATATATAGGTGAAAGAACGATTTTCAGCAAAAATCTGACGTACCTAAATATTTCCAGCAGCCATTTTTGAGGTCACGTGAACAAACAGCATCAATGCGAATCCATAATTTGGGAATAAAACATTACTTAAAAATTTGAAATACTGAGAAATTTAAAGCAAATTTCTCAAAAATTTTCAGAAAAAATTACAATTGACGAATAAATATCACACTGATATTGTAACATTATTAATTTCCCTAGATTTGAGACTATGATTAAATCGGTCCGCCATTTCAGGAAGTAGTCCTTGATTTTAAATATTGTTTATTAAGTGATTCCTATAAGTTTTACAATTTTTTGACATAGTTTAATTACTTTTTATTTATATAATTTACATCTGGCATTAAAATCAATAGAGTTTGAATAGAGCGGACTATTTTATCATGCTCAACTGCGCACCTGCTGTGTAAACAGGCTACTCAGGAATGCAAACCAAAATGGCGAGAATCAAAACTTCAATAAAACTTGGAAATGTAGACTATTTACGCGCGTAGTGTATACCTACGCAATATTTATGACAACGTGAAGTATTGATGACTCCTTTCACCAAGTACGGATATGTTTATTCTGCACAATACGCCACTTTTGAAGCCGTTTAGGTACCGGAAGTAACTCATTTCAAACTTTTTTTTTATTTCCTCACATCACACTCACTCACTCACAGTGGAATTAATCACATTAGCAAAATGACAGAAACGTGATGGATGACACGTCTAACACCATGACCATCTTACTAAACTGTTAAAGAGTGTCACAATGGATGAACACTCCCTGAATGAACTCTTAGAGTGTTCAGTTTGCCTTGACGTGCTAGACGTCACTTCTAAAGTTCTACCCTGCCAGCATACTTTTTGTAAACGCTGTCTTGAAGAAATCGTAGGAACTAAGCAAGAGCTACGATGCCCAGAATGCCGATTGCTGGTCGAGACTCCAGTTGAGGAGTTACCGTCGAATATCTTGCTGATGCGACTTCTCGAACAAATAAAGACTGGCAACAAAAGTAGTAAAACGGGTTCTCCGAACCATGGATCATCAAGTTCGGCATCAACTGTAACACGTCTCCCAATAAGTACAAAGGTAATAATTGTTTTCAGGCACAGTCCTTACTACATTATGGCGACATACTATCACTGTAACTGTAAACTACTATCAATCTGTAGCTCATGATATAGAGTATCCTCAAACTCAGGGCTCCATACATCATCCAAGAACAAGGTATGAGTTCTGGAGGTCTGTGTTTGGAGGATGAATATAGACAAACAATACTTGTCTACTCATACAATATATGACTCTCTAAAAAAATTTATTTGTTCAAACCATTGTAATTCTGCTAGTTGGTAGTTTACCATTAGAAGTAGATCATTTTCTTTTTGAGACACATAATTTACAAAAATTTCTAAAGTGATACTTATACATATTTAGGGTAATCTATCATTTACTACTTTTTTCAAGGCCTGACTTCGTCGCTAAGATGCTAAATATAAGAGTTAGCTGACGTTTGGGAGTCTGACTTACCTTCTAAAGGTTAGAACCTGAATCTTAATGAAACCATATCACCTTTGTTCCGTCAACCATGGAGCATTTGCCACAACATCCAAGAGGTAAATCATGGACCGAGAAAATGAATGATTTCCTTGTAAGTTCCGGAAGTTTCAATACGAAAAATTACCGAACATATGTGAAAACCGAATATTTGTTCGTTGTTTTCACGATTTACAGGTTCGTTTGTTCTTCAATGTTTTGGTCTAAATTATAAAGCATCACCAACAGGTCTTACTCTATTAATCGACTAATACAGCAGACGGCTCATATTTCTACGTAGCATTTCATTCAGACCAATAGTGGGAGTGTAGATCACGCAGTTTCGTTTGTTGCGTACTTCACTTGAAATTGGTAATTTTAAATATTGACTACTTCACGTAGCTTGGCGGATGTAGAACATTGCTTAATATTCTTTTAATTTTCACACCAGACATGCTTGGTTGACACGTCAACAAAGTAAAGTTCAAGGGTCAATGCGTTATTTCGTGATAACTACAACGCCTTCCCGGAGGTCAACATTGATGAAAAATGAAAAAGTCGGAAAAGCATTTACACTAATTTCTATCAAATGCTTTGTTTATGCATCATCATCGACGGAACAAAGGTGATATGGTTTCATTAAGATTCGGGTTCTAACCTTTAGAAGGTAAGTCAGACTCCCAAACGTCAGCTAACTCTTATATTTAGCATCTTAGCGACGAAGTCAGGCCTTGAAAAAAGTAGTAGTTCATTTATCATTGTTGCAGTACTCGGGTGAAAACAAAATCTATATTATAACAATGTTATTTAATCAATATGATATTAGTTTGAACTTCTTTAAAATAAGAAAGTTGTCAAGGTTTGTTATTTTTGTCGGTAATATGTGGGTGAAATTATATGGAGAGATATATTGCCATAATCAACAGCCACAGTCCATTAGTTAAATAAGCTGTATCATACATCTTGCAAATTATAGTTCAGCAAAAGCTAAAGCCTCAAGTTCAAATAAGATTCACTGTCTGTATTAGAATATATTTCTACATCAAAGCATGGGAGGATGACCTGGTCAAGTAATGTACCTACCATCTTCTTTGTCAAAAGGGTTGCATCCTCAGATAATTTTTAAAATATTAGTATTTTCAGTTTTTAACCAGTCTTGTGTTTTACTTTTTATACTGGATGTTCATGAAAAAATAAAATATATACAAAAATTTATTTATTACGTCATAATGCAATTTCATGTACAGTTATCTGAAGATTTAAAATGAAACTAGTAATAACTGAATTTCTTCTTCGTTTTCTTTATTTTATTTTTTTTATACATATCCACATTTTCATGTTCAATCGTTTTCTAACCAGTTTTACTTTTTTGTTGAATTAAGGTTATAAGGGTTTCAATCGTCTCCCGAGGATTTTTTTATGTGGATGATTTTATTTTGTTTTAGTATAACATTTTATGATTTTTAGTGCAATATTTTCATTTCAATACTTTCTTGTTTCTCAGTTAACATTTTAGGAATTGTTGATTTAGTAGATGAGCATTTTGGTTTATGAAATAACTAGAGGTGCTAAACACGAAAGATTTCAATGTAGGAACTGGGTTTTCAATGGGAACATTTTTGCCAGTTTGAAGTTTTATAAAGGGTTTTCTTTATTCTGTCAGTTCCAGGTTTTACCGTGCAAGGGTTTTCTTTTTTTAGCTAGCTCCAGGTGTTTTCCCTTTTTGCTTGAGCAATTTTAGTCATTCCCATATATACTTTGCCACATGGTCTCTGCAAGAGTGCAAAGCATCAAGTAACTTTACAGTGCGAAAACCAGATCTACACTGCAGGATATAATTATACTAGACTGATAAATGCTGTTTTAAACATGTAACTTTAGCCAACTTAAACCTGTAGTAGTAAGCCAAAGCAGAGTATTTATTCACCAAATTGATCATTATTTTTGCCAGGATAACTTAGAACCGAACTTGAGCTGGAAAGTTGTACAAAGATTGGAACTGTTTATAAAACAACTGATATCCTCCCATGAGTAAAATTTCACAGGAATTATGTTTTTAATTGTAGAGTTAAAACGGAAATATCAGTATAATCTAAGTATATATTCAGTAGATCCTTACTTCATTGAGTATAAGAAATGTAAGAAAATGGATATAAATCATTGACATTGTAGAGGAATAGAAGTTTGAAATGTACAATCAGGATGACAGTTTTAAATGTATAATATACCAACTCAACTTTGCCACCCTGTAAATGTTATCATGATACTAACTGTATGTTTTTGTTTGAGGGAAATTACTTTTTAGGAGGAATTGGGGGAAAATGACTTTTTAAGAGGAATGGGGTATTTGGCTGTATAGAAAGATTATTTGTAATAAATCTCAATAAACCACAGACTGTCTACAGGGCGTCCATAAAGTCTCTTCCCACCTTACACAGACTTAGTATTGTTATGGAAAGAGATTTTATAGACACCCTGTATATTCCCCTTTCAAATTCACCTAATGTTCAATTGATGAAAGCCTTCTTATTTTATGATTTTCAAATTTCTCTTCTGGTAGCAAAATCAAAACTTTTCACATTCTTTTCATTTTGCTTCTCAAAAGATGGCTTCATCTATACCTTTTGAGTTACAGATGATCCTTTGATAGATTCACCGGGTCAATCACAGCTTGTCGTTACCAGAAGGACAATTTTCTGGTCATTTCCTATGAACCATTGTTTATCCAGTATTGACCAATATAAAACATTATTATTGTTTTTATTCCTTTTGTGTGGGCCAGACTGCCATAGGCCTCCGTATTAAACATGTTTGTTTCTGCTCATTGATAGGTTAAAAAATGTCAGCATGGCTGGTTTGAATTGATTTATGATCTGGGCTGTGATGGCCACCAGTATTAGAAGAGGGATGGGGACGAAGGTCTCTGAACTGTAAAACTGTCTTATGTTGTTCAGAGGTTCCTTATTTAAGTAAAGCTAAGCTCTGCCATTCTGATTTATCAGAGTCTCTCTTTACCTAACGCTTTTGAACTATTCCAAAAGGATAGTAAAGGCTGTGGATCTCACAATGAAGCTCTGCGCTCAGGGTAGAAAAATCACATAATTTTCAACTGCATATTAAGTAATTTTAAAGCACAAGCTGAAGCTTGTTATTGCCTACTTAGTTGAATCATATGTTGAAATCTCTTCTAGAACTTAGGAATCTCTCCAAGAAGACATGTAAATAAACAGATAGCATACTCTTCCTTTTTCACACAAATCCACAAGGAAGTTTGTGAGGTGGTCTGGAGGAAGTCCGTGTAACTCAATCCAAATTGCATCACACTTATACATACTCTGGGTGGCATGGCTTTATTCTACCCTTGTAGAGATATTTATCATTTTGAGAAATGGGTAAGGGGGGGGGGTTATTGAGAGAGATTGCAACTGTGGATGGTAATTTTGTAGACTTGTTTTCTGAAATTTACTGTTATATTATTTTTCTCCAGTTACCTCATTAAATAAAACAAATTAAATCAAGTTTCCAAACAGAAGGAAATACTTGTATTATTAAAATGTAACAAAATCAAGGGGTTCTCACTCCAAAATTTGAGTGACTCATCTAAAGTATTTCCAAAAAGTAGTAATAATAGATAATATGCATTTTAGACACTATTTCCATGTGATATATGTACTGCAATATTTTGTGAGAGCTTTAGTTTTGTCTGTTGTAGTAATTAGCAGTGTTATGCTACTGGCCATCACTAGAACTAATCTATTAACTCTGTTTATCTGAACTGTATTTCTATGAATGAAATAGGATACAGTAAACAGGCCCATAACCAGAGGGGGTTCGATGGGTAGGAGCGCACCCCCCCCCCCCCCTGGCCAAAAAATCTTTCAAAATTATGCAGTTTTTCACCATTCTGAGCACTTTTTAAGTGATTTTGGCCATTTTTGGACTAAAATTATCACAAGTGAACCCCCCCTGGAATTTTTCAAAAAGTGAACCCCCTTGGCAAATCCTGGCTATGGGCCTGGTATACCAAATAGATCTTGCTATATTAGGGAGACAGTTTTTTGTCCTATAATGACTGTCTGTCTGGTCCCTTATGGAGCTATCACACCCATGCCTCAGTCACATTTGATCTACTGCAGCTGTAGCTTCTCAAAATCAAGAGAAATATGCAGCACTAGCACTAAATATAATGGTAAGCAGTACCATGTACATCACATCACTAGATGTAACCATCATGATAAACCATGACAACTCAAATATCCTCAGCCCTGTTTCAGGTGAAACAGAAAGATGCTATGAGTATCAGAATGAGATGTAACGATTTTTTGAATCTACGGCTGCCATACGACCGCTGTAGAGCAAATGTGACTACGGCTTTAGGCCATGTAGGGTCACTGTTCGCCACCGTAGAGCAGAGGAGATAGCATGGCATGGATACACGGTGGTCAAAACAAATAGTTTTACAGCAAGATATCTCCCATCATACAAAATACAAAAAGTGATTAATTTATTAAAAAAGTAATGCCCAAAATTATAAGGTGAGCCCACATAGCTAATGTGACAGTTATTTTATACAAGCCAAAAAACCATGAGGATTTTGTCAAGTTTGTGAATGAGCTGCATTCTCGATAAGGTCAAAGCCGAGCTGCTTTCTCCTTAGTCTAATATTATCATGTCCCTTGGCCTTGGTGTGAAAAAATGTGATTATCAGAATGACCCATAGTACCTAGAATTTCAAATCGAAACTTGTTACACATTAGGACCTGCAAGATAACATGACAGCATCAAAATTGTAAATCATCTGCATTGTTAGAGGATAGTGTTGTTAAGTTGTGGATATAAAGAGTATTCAGACTTGGCAAATTTTCATGTGTTTGTAGCAGATTACAACACTTCCCCAGCTGTCTGTAACATGAAACAATCATCTTCTAATAGGATTAAACTCATCATAACAGACACAGAAATTCATATTGATCTCTTTGATGATTAATGCATATGGGTGTTTAGTGGAAATTAAGGCATTATGAAAACATAATATTTTTGCAAAGGGAACAAAGGAATTCAACCTGGATTATTCCTTTATGATAAGAGGGAGAGAAACCCCAGGGTTCAAAGATGACGTACGTCTATAATGTAAATCTGTATTGAGATGCCCCACCATCCTGATCGGTCCAAAAGCGACAAACAAAAATAGCGTATTCAAAATTTTCTAATAATGCTTCAAATAAAACTATGTTTATTTCTGATCACATCAATGTGTTATATTCAAGAACTAACTAGTGAGAATAAAGAGATGTAATATGTCTGTCGGCATTAAAGCTCCGGGGGTTTCCCTCCTCTTCTTTATGATTGTCTGTTTAATGTTGAAGAAATCAGTCAATAGAAGACGGGGCATATTTTAGACTTTGTAATTATTTTTATTTTATTTTTTTAATTTATTTATTAAAAACATATCTACATAACAGTGATAAAGACATCCCAGGGGGTGTATGGCTAATCACAAGCTAAAATATTTAAAATTGTGAATTGTTATCATTTATCCAATATGTACAAGAATTTCATTTTTCAATGTACCACTGTATTTACAACTGATAATTATTACAAATGTGTTAATATAGAGTTATTTACATGAATATTGATCAATATATTGAAGTTTATCTTAATTATCTTTCGTTTTGTATTTAGTTCTGCCACAGGAAGAATTGAAACTGTTGACACGTGTAGAAGTTTGGCCACGGGAAGAATTGAAACTGTTGACACGTGTAGACCCTGATTTATGACACATGTTATCAATGTTAGGAAGACTTTTTATACAACGACAATTGTCAATCTCTTCATCAGAATATAGTGAATGTCTCCGGTCTGAATTTCTCGAAAGGCAGCACATTGAGAAACAGCGAGGGAAAACTCCATGATGCTCAGATTCTGTAGTATTGTTCTCTGAATTTCGTCGAGGATATTTGTGAGTGGTAACATCTAATTGGCTAGGAGAGACGGGATCCTCAGGATTAATCACCGATAGCATTGGCGATAATGAGGCAGTGCTATATGTTCCCTCAGAGCAGAATAGGCCATTAAGACTTACGTCCGAGTAGATCGGTGAATTCGGTATTTGTGAGGCACCTGATGAATCACTGTTACTGCATTTTCGATAGTTATATGTCGGGCTTGTTTCTGATTTTATGTCCATTGATTTTGAGGAACGTGAAGATTTCTGTTTGTTAATTGGGGGTAAAGTGACCCCTTAACATCTTGCCATTCAGAGTTTGCGGCTGAAGTGCTCGCGTTAGCACTTGAGTAGAAAGATAAAATACCTTCTTGTTCGGTGAAGGCCTCAATCTCTCCTTTTGTCATGGAGCACGATTTTTCTTCTTTGTATTCATCTCTACATCCAATTCGTCTCTGTATACTTGTCCTTCTATTTTTAAAGGCCATATTTTCCTTAGTGGAGTCTGCTAAGAATCGTTCCATTAATGGGGTCAGGTTGCCTCCACTACAGCTGTCCGTACTATCGGAGATTTCTCGTTCAGTCATACTTGTTATAAAATGTTCCGTTCCACTTTTTGTGCTCATCCTTGTCAATTTTAATGTAATTTCTTTACATTTTGATGGTCGTCGATCTTTTGAGAAGTCATTACCTTTTTTCTTGCCCCCAAATTTGTCATTCTGATTTTGCGAGACACCTGTGAGGTTCCTTTTTTTCTGAATCGTAGGCAGTGCGATACTCAGATTATTTTTGCGTTCTTGTTTCTGCGTCCAAGCTTCTTTTATATTTATTGTCTCTGTTTTGCACGGCATCATGGCTTCCATTTTACGTTTATTATTTCAGTTCAACAATTCTATTTGAGACTGGCCAGGTTGAAGTTAACTTGAAACAAGAGAAAAATGTTTCAAATCTTGTTGAAATGATTCGCGAATATTCTTTGATTTGTTGATGTTGCTTCTTGTATGTTCTTTTTCCTCTATTGGTAGATTCTATTTGAATGTCAGTTTTATAGCAGAAGCAATTGTCGTAATGAGGTGTGAAACCTCGAATGACGCATATAACACTGAGATTGTGACATAGTGACGTTCCCTTGAATTTTGAAGTAATAAGTAATTTGTATCAAAAACGTACGTGTGAAATTTGCTATAATGCTGTACTCCATATTGAAACTTCGGTAACTACTGTTAAAAAAATCAGCAATTTTATATTGGAATGATGTTTCACTATTAATTTCAGTATAATATAAAAAAATTTCAAATCAGACTTTCCAAGCAACTTTTCCAGAAAGTACCAATAGATGTCACTACTTGTTTTTATTCCTTTTGTGTGGGCCAAACTGCCATAAGCTTCCATGTTAAAAACTTACGATAGCCACTTGACTTTATTTAACAATTTATCAAAAAGCATTCGTTGAATCTATTTTTAACTGAAATGGCGGGTTGACTGTTATGTACACATTGTGATTAATCAGGAAACTTTTGGTTGTCGCATGAATAAACCAAGGTTTTAAAGAATTTTAACATGGCATCAATGGAAATTTGGCCCACACTTTTTTAGAAAAGTTGAAAAAGGTATATCGAAAATGATTTAAATAACATATCTGTATAATTCAAACTTATGTTTGCGGAATATGTTTCACTACTTGACTCCATTCCTCATACACAAATAGGTAAAGAAAAGGAGTGTTTCCAGAGCCATAGGCGTAGCGCCCAGTACGCTGGGTACGCACAGGCGTACCAGATGGTTGCAAATTCGCTCTAAATACAATCAAATTTCAAAATTTTCCTGGGGGAGAACCCCCAGACTTCCCTAAATGCTAGTTTTTTGCTTCGCTCAACTATTGTTCCCGCGGTGGCGTACTACTTAGAAATATAGCGCTACGCCCATGAGAGCCTTGAAGCAAGACTAATATATACAACCCATATGATAAAGCATAATCATTTATAACATGCATCATTTTATTGATATCCCATATGTTGTTGTGTTTCAGGTTGTACCAGCTATCAATCAGCCATGTGCTAAAGCACTGTATAACTATGATGCCAAAGAACCAGGGTATGTGTATAGTACATTTATACTTTTACTTATTCGGGGAATAACACCAGGAAATATAATTTATATTGAAAAAATTCCTGCTGAAAAAATCATTTTCCCTGTTCATCTCCATATTTTATTTCCATATTTTTGATTTTTACAAAATCTTTTTTCCCAAAAAGTCAATTTTTTCAAAAACATTTAAATAAATGCATCTTCTCATTCCTTTTTCCAAGCTTTCCATTTTTAAACAAAAACTTAGTATTCCATAATACCCTTCATATTTCTTTCATATATTCACAATACCCTTAATATTCTGCTTCATATTTTTCAGGGACCTGACATTTAAGAAGGGGGACATTGTTATTTTGAGAAAACAGGTTGATGAAAATTGGTTCCATGGAGAGCACGGCGGACTACATGGCTTCTTCCCTGCTACTTATGTACAGGTAAACAATCAGAATTGTTCACCACAACTTAATACTTATGTACAGGTAAACAATACACAATTGTTCATCCCAACTTAATACTTATGTACAGGTAAACAATACACAATGTTCACCCCAACTTAATACTTATGTACAGGTAAACAATACGCAGTTGTTCACCCCAACATAATACTTATGTACAGGTGAACAATACACAATTGTTCACCCCAACTTAATTCTTATGTACAGGTGAACAATACACAATTGTTCACCCCAACTTAATACTCATGTACAGGTTAACAATACGCAATTGTTCACCCCAACTTAATACTTATGTACAGGTAAACAATACACAATTGTTCACCCCAACTTAATACTTATGTACAGGTAGATTATCGCATTGGGTCACCCGACTTATATAATGATAGAAACCTGTTTTCACACATTCATAATAAGTCTATTCCTGGCTTTAGTATGTTAGACATATTGTTATGGTCTCCAACATTTTGTGGATGGCGATCCGTGTTGGTGGTCAACGTTTGTTGTCTGTAACAGATTCCTTCTTTGGATTTGAATTGAACATATGCTCAGTGGTTCATTGCTGTCTGCGTGTTTTGAAGTTTTACAGCTTATGTATATATAGGCTCTAGAGATATGTTAATCTATCATATCAAATCGATTGGTGGTCAATGCATTGCCCTATCGGCACTCCATAGTCTTGCTTAAAAGACCCTGTACTCCCCCCCCCCTTTTATCCTTCTCTCTAGAGAGATATATTATATATATTGCCAGGTAAAGAGAGTGAAGATGACGGGGGGGGGGGGTGGATACAGTCTTTGAGCAAGACTAGGCACTCCATTCCCAATGTAAAAATGTTATCATCTTTAACACCCAGAGGGTGACCTGTGGCTAGATGATGGGGCTCTATCCTCTCCTAGGGTCTACTTTAAATCAATGACTTACTGTTAATGGTAATAAACGATTTTTGCTCCAGGGGTCCTTTTGGCAGAACAATCATATATAAACAGATTGTATAATCAATTTTGAGTAAAATTTATGAAATTTTGGGCAAAAATTTGAATTATGCCTCTGTTCTAACCATATTAAGGTTAATAATTATACTTGGTATATAGTAAAGACAAAAACAATTTTACATGGAGAACTGAGGATGTACTTAAGGGGACCTTTTTACACCAAATGTATATAGCCCCCCCCCCCCCCTTTGCTCCTTGTGCATAATTGACTGATAATATTGTGCCACTTATATTTGGCTATGTGTGCTTGATAACTACTAACTCTGTTGTTAATGATTTTAATTGAGCTTTTGTTGTTCCTGTGTGACTATTTTTTACATTTTTAATTGAGCTTTTATTCTTCCTGTGTGACTTTTTTACATTTTTAATTGAGCTTTTATTCTTCCTGTGTGACTATTTTTTTGCCAAACTGAGATTTGAAAATGTTGGTTTGAGATTTTGATTACCTTAAAAACTAGTCCGCGTACCTATAAGCAATTGATTACTGTATGGTTTTTAAACGGAACTAACATGATCTTACGTTATGTTTCATTATCTCCAGTGATCAGCTCGGACGCACAGACCCTCCGCGTTCTTGTCTGATTGTTCAATTAAAAAGTAATTACCTCAGCAGGAACTATAGGTATCAACAGAAAGATGCGATTAATATCAACATAATATTGGGCCTCGATAATTGTTTTGAAGGACAAAGAAAATGTAACTTCAACCATTCTATCCACATGTTAAAAAGATTTGGATTTGCCCCCAGGTTTTCCCAAGGGGTGCGTCTACATCTATATCATCATAGCTTGCACTTGAAAATTCCAGTCACACCCAATGCATACCCCCATCCTATCCCCTGGGGATGCCCATGATTTTTCCACTTAGAAAACTGGAAGTTGTGGTTGAGAGGATGAGGAATACCTACAGGAGCTTGATGCCTGACTAATAATATGCACCTGTGACAAAAGAAAAGGATCAAAAATTGTTCCAGAACACCCGCTATGGCTCAGTGGCAGAGTCAAGGTTACCACTATCGCTTGGCCCCGGGTTCCATTCCTGGTTCAGACAAGTTTGTTTGTGTGTTATGTAATTCTGGGTGTTTGACTGAGTGGTTCCTGACTCATATAAAAGGCTTTGGTGTGTACTTGTATGTCTATGTACCCATGCACACAAAAGAACACAGGGCTTCTCCAAGGAGAGGTTTCTAGCTCTGTCTTCGAATGTAAAAAAATGCGTAAATACGGAATATACCAATGAGGTATTGCTCGCCAAATATGACGGTCACCAAGATAAAATACAATACAATACAATACAACACAGCAAAAAACAGCTATCCCAAACCACATGAAAAGAAACACTGATCATTGTTTTGAAACTGATATTTTCTGTTGCAGATCATTACTCAATTGGCCTAAGAGATGCCACAAGCCAAAGCTTTATATGATTTCCAGCTGATATTTTCATATTCTCTATTGCAGATCATTACTCCGTTGGCGCAGGAGATGCCACAAGCCAAAGCTTTATATGATTTCCAGCTGAATGATGGAGAAAATGAAAAAGACTGTCTGACTTTTAAAAAGGTAAGCAATAGTCGATTTAAAAAAAAAATCAGGAAATTTATAGATACTTAAAACACATTGATTATTTAGGAGAATTTTTCATCCATTTTTGCACTTTGAATCCATTATAACCTCACCAGTTCATAACATGTCGTTAATCTTTTGGTAGACATTCCAATTTGACAGTGGAAATAAACCCTATTTTAAATGCTTTTAGATTGATGCATGGCGCCAAACTGTTTTTTTTATTATTATTTTTTACTATTTTGTGCCTCTTGGATTCTTTTTCTCTAAAATACATGTCTAATGCCTGAGTCACATTTGCTCCGATTTTCTCTTCGGCGCCCGAGCGATTGAGTATTTTGTTAAAAATGAATACAATATTGATCAAAACACTCAATCGGCTGGGTGCCAGATCTTGGCCAGATGTCTTTGATTAAGTGTATACAAGGTAACTCATGCATTATCATGTGGTTAAATCATAAAGTAAAACATAACATTTCTTACTTCAGGATGAGATGGTTACGGTCATCAAGAGAGTCGATTCCAATTGGGCAGAGGGCAAAATGTCTGATAGAATTGGAATATTCCCAATGTCGTTTGTTGAGGTAAGTTATTGATAAAAATATTTTGAAGTCCAGTTGAAATGTATTTGATATGTTGTTGAATTTTCAAGAATCTTAATTTTTTGTATTGAGAAATGGTGTCCTATGAGTCCCAACCAATCATAATTACCAGCCATAGTCCCAGGAACATGTATAAAAATTGAGTCGAATACACCAAGTAAAAAGCTCTTTACTTGGTGTATTCAACTCAATTTTTATACATGTTCCTGGGCCTTGTTACCAGCAATGAATGATTCAAGACACGGCATGCCCATAAAATTGATTTCTATTTTCTTGTAAGATATTTGAAGATATGGACGACTGTCAGTTCAATTCAAGATTTATAGGCCTACACAGCCAATATAATTTGCCGCCGTTTCGGCATCGAAAAAATTCGGCTCTGTTCGAGCACCGTTTCGACACCGTTCCGGCACCGAAACCTTTCGACACCAAAATTTGCCACCGGACTAGTCAGTCCATTTGGTGCCGAAATGGCACCGAAACAGTGTTGAAATTCAGATTGCATTTTGGGGGTGTAAAATGTGTTTGTTTCATTTTCAGATGAATGATGCTGCTAAGTCTCTGATCAACAAAAACCCTATTCCAACCAAACTCAGGTAAAACACTTCATCCCTTGTTATCCCAACGAAGGAAGTTCGTTAGGGATATAGTGAAGCCCTCCGTCCGTCTGTCCGTCAGTCTGTCAGTCCGTCAGTCAGTCAGTCAGTCAGTCAGTCCGTCCGTCTGTCCGGAAGATAACTCAAATATTAGTTGACAGATTTTTTTCATATTTAGTGGAAAGATGTATATTGGTGAATAGTTTTACGCAAAAAAAAAATTTTTCAAGATGGCCGCCGCTTTAAAAATGACGGGACTTTTTCGCAAAAATCATAAATGTTTCATTCTAAACCAAAGTAATTAATATTATTGTTTGAAATTTTGGAAGTGTATTCACAACATTTATCTATTTCACATATATTCTGTGTTTTTCATCCTGACCCCCAGGGGCCATGTATGGGGGGACAGGAAAACAGAAATTTTCGCTAATTTTTAGATCTTTCTGAAGTATAGCTTTATTATACTCAAATGAAAGGCAATTAAGAGTAGATTGCAAATATTGTATTTTTTTCTGATTGGAGCCTCGTAAAATTCAAAATGGCCGTCTAATGTACGATTTCGCAATAATTTTTCGATCCCTTCAAAGTATGGCTATATTATACTCAAATTGAAGGAATTTTGGAGTAGATCACAATTATGGTATTATTTTTCAGATTTGTACCTCAGAAAATTCAAAATGGCTGCTTTGCAGGAATTCGCAATTCTAAAATCTAATTTTTTCATTTTCAACCAAAGTAATGAGTATAATTGATTGGAATTCGGTAATTGATATTTTGTTCGTTGGGATTTGCTACTCCGCGGAGTTGCCGTTATCTAGTTTATTTTCATAATTTAAAGTTACGCACTTACAAAAGTTATTTTGTTCAATTATAAAGTGATTATATGATTATTAAAAGCCTTTTTAGTGATTCTGGCCATTTTTGGACCAACATTGTCACAAGTGAACTCCCCCTGGAATTTTTCAAAAGGTGAACCCCCCTTGGCAAATCCTGGCTACGGGCCTCCTTGAATATTTAAAAAAAATCAACACTTCACTTACACTATCTTTTACCCCATCCCCTAATGAAGTTAACTTTGTTCATACTGCTATTGGTAATCATAGATACTAGTATTCCGTAATTCCGCGGCGTGGACGGAATTTGACAAAACTTCATATTTTTGCAGAATCCCTGATTTTCATGAAAATCCCGCGGAATTACCAGAATTTCCAGAAATTACATAATTTACGATCTCCTACCTTTGCGGGGTATTTGAAGAGTGTCTGTTTATGTCCAACAATCAATCATTATTGAGTACAAGTACGATTTCACCGTGAAATTCAACATTCTATCACGTTTAAATTCACTAAAGCGAGTTCGCTAATGACGCGCAGTTCTTACCTAGAAAGTAGTTGACTTCCGGCACTTTTAAATCCCTTGCTACGTCAATTTTCATCGTTTTAAAAGATTGCAGAATTTGGACTTTTTTTGAAAATTTGTGCAGAATTTCGATTTTCTCCTTGCAGAGTTTGCTTTTTTTCTTGCAGAATTTTTTGCAGAATTTTGATGCAGAAAACTAGTATCTGTGGTTAATTGAACAACATCCTTTAATTTATTTAAGATTTTTTTAATATAATGTATGAATTGATATGGTGCAGTTACATTCAACTGGCAATAAACCTGTCCGTTGAAATCAACCATAGTTTCTTTTAACATGATTAAAAAGCAATAAAAGTCTTTAGTCAATTGATTATTTGAGTACATGTACATATTTTTATATGTTCTGTATTTTATTTATTATATTATTAAGGAATAAATTGAATTGAATTGAATACTTAATGTTAACAATCATTTTTTTGGTGCAGCATTCAAAATGTTCAGGCGACAACAACAACGACATCTCCCACAGTGGCCAACACATCATCTCGATTTAACCAGCCTCAACTTTCGTCCAGTTCCATCGGCATGGTAACACATAGAACAAATATAAATCCTGCTGCCGTTCAAAGATCACCAAAGCGACACTCCTTAAATACTCTCAGCCCAACTGAAGCGATTGTACCGAGGACTTCACAGCGCCACTCTATGGAAATCACAAGTAGTGTTACCATAACAACAGCAATAGGAAACAATTTGGTGCCAGCCTCAGCTGCTATAGTGACATCTAGTGTCAGCCCACCACAACTGTCGTCTTCCATCATAGTGTCAAAACCAAGCTCACAATCGTCAAAGGTAAGAACAGAATGTATACAGTAAAACCTGTCTAATCTGATCACCATTGAGACTGACCGAATGTGTTCAGATTAGCAGGTGTTCACAGGGGTTTCACTAGAATTTCTAACAACAGGCTAAATAAACGAAAAGAACGGGCAAAAATGATGGAAATCATAAATTTAACATGGAGAAGTTGAAAAGTCTCTCAAAACAACAGGCGATTTTGTGAAAACAACCGGTGATAAATGCCTGTTGCCTGCTGCTAATGAAGCCATTGTGTTCACATCTCAAGGTTTTTATGTCACCAGAAGTGTTGACATATTGTAATAGTTGTAGATGGTGTTCAGCTTCTGTAACAAATGGCAGGTGGTGACATTTTGCATGTAAATATGTTGTTAAATATGTGGGTCAATAGGAGATGACAAATTTGGGACCAAGAAAATGTGTTAACATTGAAAGGCATATAGATTAGAGCAGTGCTCAGATTAAAAGGTTCTGCTGTATGTACAGTAAAATTAATCTAATTGAAACACTCCTGGGCTTAATTAACAGTGTTTGGGTTAGGTGTTTAGGTGTTCACAATTTAAGTGTTCATCGCTGTCGTAACATCTTTATAACCAGGTGGGGGACCAGTTTACTTGATGTTTTTTTGATTTTGTTCACTTTATGTGCGTTGTTGCATTCAAATTATGAATTGCAATAATGAATAAAAGCTGTTACATTATTATGTGTAATTTATCTTTGTGAAAGAGACAAGAACCGCTTCTCTCAATCATGATTAGAAAACTCTCTCAGTTTGAATTTATTATTCCTTAATTGTTGTAATAATGATTCAAATGTGATGTAGCGGGTCTGGGAGGCAGTGACTAAGACCTCTCATGTGATGATATGTGTACGTATATTCAGTGGTGGTCTTAGATTACTACATCCACTTGGTCACAGTTTAAGATTGCAAATATCTAAGATCGCTTTTAAATTGTATGTGGGGGGGGGGGCATTGAATTAGACCTTGGTCATAGTTTACAATTGCAAATATTTAAAAATTGCTTTTAAATTGTATGGGGGGGGGCATTGAATTAGACCTCTCCTACAGTGACAGTGAATTACTCCATGTACTTGGTCATAGTTATGTATGTACACAATGATCTTCCAAGGAGGATTGGTAGCCATTATTCAAACTCGGTACTCGGTTGCCCGCATTGGAACAATTTGGTAAAAATATTTCTGTAAGGTTTTCTTTCATTTAAAGATGTACATTACGAATACTATTGTAGTATTTAAGTTTCATTGGCAGTTCTAGTCTTCAAAATATGAGTAATATTGTTGCCAAATTGGTCTACGACAGGCAACTGAGTATCGAGTTTGAATACGGCTTCCAATCCCCCGAGCATTAAAGCAAATACTGTACCCACTTGAAGATTTAATAATATTGGCTTGCACCCACCTGAGAATCTATTTGCCCCCACGTGAAAATGAGAAAATCATTGAAAATAGACATATTTTGACCAAATTTGGTCTGAATTTTGAATATAAATAGTGTCACTTGAGAAAAAGCCTTAATAGGAGAAAACACTTCAACATGTACTTGGCGGTCATAGTTGCACATGTTGAAAAATGTTTTTACACTCTATGAGTGTAAAATTAGGCATAAGTAATGCAAAATTAACTATTAGTCACACTGTACACTGTAGACTAATGTATATGGAAATATATAGAGGTTTTGGATCCATTTCTGTTCTCACTTTTTGTCACAAACATGTGTCAGCATCAATATGAGTAAGACAATTTAAGTATTTGCAAAAAATAGTTCACGAGAGGCCAGAATCTTCGATATAATTCTCCATCTTTATGAGTCATTCTAAGGTCAAAGGTCAGTTTCTAGTTATTTGTTTGGATACTCTGTTCCACTCGAATGGGTGGATCGCTAATATACGTAGATAATATGGTATCAACCTGGCCATGGTTAACTGTCCCCTCAAAAATTTGCTTTTTTTTAAATTTTGTAAATAAGATGTGGATTTTGTGATTTAAAAGCTAAGGATATGTGAGGATTTCGCAAGGATTTCGCATCAACATTTTTAATTTTGTGATGTTTTTTTGCGAGGATTTTGCATCAAAAAATTAAAATTTGCGAAACGAGCATTCAAGAAGGTAATGAAATATGTATTTTTGCAGTCTTATGTGTCACAACCAGTGAAAACTTGCATTTTTGCACTTTTTGTGCCAGATTTGGAATCTTGCAAATGACACCTCATTTTGTGAGATCAGCAGAAAGGGAAATTTTTTTTGGACAGGAATTAACAGCACGTCACTGAAGCTGACGTCATCATAATTATCTTCCCTTTTAATATTGATGATTCAAAACAAGAATAGAATATGTGTATTTTTGTGACATCGTTTGGGATCACGAAGAGGCTAACGTATCTTCGAGAGTTATTTATAGTAGAGTCATATGTAACTTATTGTTATTAATAGTAATAAAGTAGATTTAATTGCCTTGCTATGAAATATACTTCATTTACAGTTTCAAATATAGTGTTTTGATGTGAATGGGAGTTATTCATAGTAGAGTTAATATGGGAAAATTATATTGCATTATGAATTTTTATTTTTTTATTACATTTTGATCTCATAAGTTCGTCTGCTTCATTAAGCAATATCAGGGTTCATACTCACAGCTACCCAGTTACAATTATTTTTCACTCTTGGCTGTGGGGCAATGGACTAGTTACCTTTTGGGCAGTGTACCAGTTGTCTATTAGGCTGTGGACTAGTTGCTTTTCGAGCAATCCATTACCTTTTAGAAATACCATCATTATAATCATATTTTTTCATTTAGTTTGTTGATTTTTAATAATATGAATACTTTCAGCTTGGCACATTTTTGTTTGATATTAAACTTGCGTAAAGGTGACTCTTTGAAAAATGATGGTAGGATGATTTTGATTTTTGATGATACTTTACAGTGATCTCCCCAGCATTAAAGCAAGTGGGCGCAGCAACCAACTGAGATTTTATTAAATAGGCTTGCACCCACCTGAGATTTCACTTGCACCCACTTGGAAATGAGAAAAATCATATAATATTGGCATATTTTGATCAATTTTGAATTGAACTCTGAAAATGAGAATTTTGCACCCACTTCAAAAAAATCCTAGCGAGAACACTGCTGTATATGACTATGTGAAAACATGCAAGGCTGACACATTATCTGTTGGCAATATATCTATGGTTGCCATTTTGAGACATGATTTCTTGCAGTATTGTCTGACACTCATAAGCTGTTCGATGGGATTTGCTATGCCTTTGCGTTGCTGTTATTTCAGTTCTTTATTTTTATTCAAGGTGCCTGTCCCCCAAAGTGTGAGAACTGCTGCTAGCAATGGTGCCCCAGAGACATTGATTCCCCCTCCCCCAGGATCCCCAGCATTGTGAGTATATAAGAAGTAATATCATGTAACGATTATTAATGTTTTAGTCACATTTGATCTCCAGCAACCATATGGTGGCAGTAGCTTCCAAAAATCGAAATAAATATGCACAATGAAATGTAGGTATAAGCAGTGTGATGTAGATTTTCTTTATCGATTTTGTGAGGCTGAGGCCACAAATGTGACTGAGGCCTTAGTAGAAATTTTATTTAAAGGAGTAATAGGATAGTGTTAGTGTAGCCAATTTAAGATCAAAGATTGTATTATTCACTCGAAGACTGGTTAGTCTTTAAGGTCCATACATTATCTCCAAGAAAAGTACATATATGTATATGTTTATGGACAAAGATAATTAAATTGGTCAAACTTGAAAGATATAACTCACTGACTCTATTGACTGCATGATTCTATTGACTGCATTATTCTATTGACTGCATTATTCTATTGACTGCATTATTCTATTGACTGCATTATTCTATTCCCTTGATTGCAAAATGACCAAAAATCTATGCTACATAAATTACAAGTTAGAAGATGAACAATTGATAACTGAATATTAATTTCGAATTGCTTTCTTGTAGATTTGTAGCCCTATACAACTACAAACCTGCAAAGGGGGATGAACTTGAGATCCGCAAGGGGGAGTATTACACTGTCCAGGAAAAATGCCAGGATGGATGGTTTAAGGGGCTATGTTTGCGTACCGGGAATGTTGGTGTTTTCCCCGGAAATTATGTACAAATGGTCAAGTTAGTAATCGTTCAATATTCAATGTAATTATGTCGCACCAGAAGTGATGAAATATAATTATTGTCTTCAACTTTTTTGGGGACAGTGTTTGGCAGTCGGTGTCCGATATGTTGGATTTATAACATTATACTTTAGGTTATATTCTTGAATCAATTGAAATATAAGAAATTGAAACATATGAGGTTGAGTCAGTTTATTTTGGAACACCCCTCGTATAATGTAATATATATTATGGCAATAACTACATAAAATAAATAAATCTGATTTCAGGGCACCTTCTGTGCTTAGAAATGCTTTACTACCAACTCCTGTCTCCAGTACTTCATCCCGGAGTAGCCAATCAGGGTCATCCACACCACCAGCTCAACCAATCACAGCCCTGAGTCACCTGCCAATCAGTTTGAATCGTCCCACCCTTGGTACAGGATTGGTTGACCCCAGTGCTAGTTCAGACTACAAGGTCAGCAAAGGTCAAGGTTCACAAGGTCAAACCCAGGTCACCGTATCTCCTCGTACTCCCACAGGGGCAAGTCATATCAAAACTGTTCCAGGATTAGTAAAGCCGCACAGTATTGCAGTCTCAGTGTCAAAATCTCCTGTAAGTTCTACTGGATTACTCTCAAACTCTACTGGATTACACTCCGCAGCTATGGCTTCTACGGCCACATCACAGTCGACTGTCAGCACGACGCCAAGTGATGGCCCGCCCTCTGGTGCTAAATCTGCACCCACTAAACATAGTGGTACAAAATCAATACCAAAAAGTTCTGCCTCTGCGGGATCGAAACCGACAAAGACTCAGTCGGATAAAATCTCCAAGCCTTTGCCCCCTGCCCCACAAAATGAGGGGACGGGAAAACCAGCAGTACCCCTACCTCGTTCTGATAGTTCTCCATCGCCACGTTCTGATGTTCACCGTAGCAACAGTTCTAAAAACAGTAAAATCTCGCAATCCAAAGATATAAATGTCTCAATGAAAGGTCGATCATCACCGATTAGTTCCACTACTGCCCCAAAGGTGTCACCACGTGTGACAGGAAATACCGTCGTACCACATCATACAACTACGGGAGCATCAAGTGTCCCGTTACCACTCAATACACCCGTCTCAACCAAAGAAAAGGTAATACTATTAAACACATTTTATCGATCCATAATTTTCCATTATTTTTCATTATATTATGAATAACTTGTATGAATGGTAAACATGTTCAAATTTTCCATGATTTTCTAAACTCTCGATTGATTGAAATAATATGTTTAAAATACATGTAGATAATCTATGTGTTAACATTTTAAATGAGGCTGGTAAGAATTAGACATGTTTTTTTATTAACTTTTAAACAACTGTATAGACTTGTATGGATATTAGTTGGGAATTGCAAGTTAAATTTTGTGATAATGTGATGTAATTTTTAAGAGAGACATGAAATTAGCCATTGGAATGTTACATTTTGTGATAATTTATTGTAATTTATGTTTTAACAGAGAGAGAAGCGTGAAAAAATAAGCCTTATGAAGAAGCTTAAAGGGAAAATGTCAAAACCTGAAAGTCCTCCAAGTGAACAGGACCTGAGTGCAATTCATGTCAGGTGAGTGCAATTCATGTCAGGTGAGTGTGATTCATGTCAAGTGAGTGTGATTTTTATGTCAAGTGAGTGCATTTGATATCAAGTGAGTGCAATTCATGTCAGGTGAGTGTGATTCATGTCAAGTGAGTGTGATTTTTATGTCAAGTGAGTGCATTTGATATCAAGTGAGTGCAATTCATGTCAGGTGAGTGATTTTGCCGATTTGAGTCAGTTGTATGTGTTTGCACATACAGTGAAATCTGTTTAGCCGAACAACTCTGTAGTTGATTTTGTCCTGTTGATTCACACAGGTGATAATCTGAACACTATGGTCCAGTCCCAGTAGCATTATAGAGATTTGACAGGTTTTACTATATTGTCAAATTCTTAAGAATCCTAGATAAACTCTTTTTCCTAAATATGTACATGTGGATTTCCATCAACTGTCAAACATTTATGAAATAATCATAGTTGCACTGTTGATTTTGAATTTTTTAACGAGATCTTTGAGCTCATAATTGTTTGCCATGCTCAGATGCATCTGCTCATATCTTAAACTGGCCTAATAGAGATTTTGAACAATTGTCATTGGATGCGATATAACTGACAAATATTTGAAATAAATGACACTGTTTGTTTTCAGATCAGCTTCAACACCAATAGATGGGGCTGCAGAAGGGGCAGTGGCTCCACCTTTACCAAGTCATAAAAAAGCGTCATCGGTTGATGCGTCCATAGTTCCTCCAGCTAGACCTTCCAAACCAAAACCAATGATCAGAGAGAGGTATATCTTTTAGGTTATTTTACAAAGTCTGAGTCAAAATTAGGTTGACAGTGATCTCCCCGGGATTTTTTCAGGTGGGTGCAAAATTCTCATTTTCACAGTTCAGACCAAAATTGGACAAAACATGCCAATTTTTCATGATTTTTCTCATTTTTAAATGGGTGCAAATGGATTTTTATGTGGGTGCAAGCCTATTTTCAAAATCTCAGGTGGGTGCTGCGCCCACTTGCTTTAATGCTGGGGAGATCACTGGTTAAGGGTCTACGGTTTACCTGTCAGTTTGAGTAATTATGGTTCATCAATGTGACCTCAAATTCTTATTCTCAATCTTAATCGTTATGTTTTTCTGGCGATCATTTTTATGAATGGAGTAAATTACGATTGCTTGATGACATCATAACACTTAAACGGTAAAAGCTGCAATTATCCACCTGAAAATAGCAGCTCAGAATTGCTGTAATTGTGGTTATGAAATATTCCATTCATAACTGAATTTGTTAATTATTGTAAAAGTGACGGTGATAATGATGCAAAACTGTTATTTTATTATTACTTGAACTCGAGAAAGACGTCATGCTTATACGTAGTGTTATTTTGATATATTTGTACGATAGTCATTCATGTTTTAAGATGGTAAAAATTAGATATACAATTTGAGTTGAATCAGCAGTGGATTTTAAACCTGGAGTATTTAGAAGGGGATGACTATTTTGGTCGGGAAAGCCAGTATGTGTTAATGGTGCAATTTCCTAAATTACATTTCACATTAGCCCCACTGGTTTTTCATGCCAGAGTAAACAGTCTTGTTTCTGGTTGCTTTTTTATAAGAATTTATTTATTCAAACTTAAAGCAACTACATAATTCCAATCGCCCGAAGGCATTATAGGAAAAATGGAATGTTTCTGGTTGCTCATTGGCAAATGGCAGATTTCATTAAAACAGTTAACTTGGCTTGGCCACTCCTTAATTTTGAAAACACTTATTCAAATAAATCAAAAGAGAAAATCATAACTAACATGTATCCATGTATTAATTGACATTAAAGCATCATATTAAAGGGATATTCCTGGCCAGACCATTTCTCTCCTGATATGGTAGCTATCATCATATGTATATTCTTTACATATTTAGCAAAAAACATGAAAATGTTTTTATATGGTCAATATTGAGTGGATTAGACATCACTTTCTCGGTGAAATCTTAAAAGATGGCAGCCTATGAGATTTTAGCACGACATTTTTAAGAAATCAATGTTGACTATATAATATTAAAACATTTGTCCATGTTTTGCTAAACATAGAAAGTATATATATATGGTTATAACTTTTATACTAGGAGAGAGATGGTCTGGCAAGGAATATCCCTTTAAAGAGTGAATCATTTTTGATCATACAGTAATTTTCACTATTTCTTAAAATAATAATTGTTTTAAATATGGCATGTTGAAAAAATATATTAGTTTACTTTTTCAAAAAATTCCTTGGCTGAGACTACTTAGTAGTGCTGTCCCTAGGTCTGATTTCGTTACTCGGCTCGGAAAAAAGGTTTGTGGGTATCATTTTGTTCCAGACACTCTCTAGAATAAATTCATCTTGGGTGGAGTAAAAATGTGTGGTAAACGAATTTGCTATGGGCAGTTAAAGAGGCGCCATCTATTCATTTTCAAACAGGGGGTAGGGGTACAAAATAATTTTTTAACACATTTTAATAGGAAAATGACATTGCAATACTAATAAAATCTTATCAAAAACATTATTTACAATCAGTATGAATTTTCTTGTGTGGATTAGGGTGAAAATAAGGGCATATCTTGAAATTCACTACAGGGGCGCCACCTATTTTGGTACTTCTACCACGTGTAATAACTTATTTTAGATTCGTTAAGGTACGAAATGTACTGAAAAAATTCATTCTGAAGGACCTATATATGTTCATACCACATACTTAAAATTAGATCAATAGCTTATGTACCGGCGGAGAAAAAAATTATTGAAATTTAAAATTGTGGTATCATGCAGGATAGGGGTGACCATATCTCACATTATTAACTTCCAAAATATGGAGCATATGTATCTCAAATGTGCTCAAAATGTTGTATGTACTCTTGCTTTGTCATAATATTACTAATAAGAAGTAGAAAAATGATTGTACATTTTAGAAATTATTAATTCTCATTTTGGCTTCTGACGTCCCAGGGGTGACCATATCTCACCTTTATAACTTCCAAAATATGGAGCATATGTATCTCAAATGTGGTCAAAATGGTGTATGTACTCTTGCTTTGTCATAATATTAGTAATAAGAAGTAAGAAAATGATTGTACTTTTAAAAAAATATTAATTCTCATTTTGGCTTCTGACGTCCCAGGGGTGACCATATGTCACCTTAACAACTTCCAAAATATTGAGCATATGTATCTCAAATGTGCTCAAAATGGTGTATGTACTCTTGCTTTGTCATAATATTAGTAATAAGAAGTAGAAAAATGATTGTACATTTTAGAAATTATTAATTCTCATTTTGGCTTCTGACGTCCCAGGGGTGACCATATCTCACCTTTATAACTTCCAAAATATGGAGCATATGTATCTCAAATGTGCTCAAAATGTTGTATGTACTCTTGCTTTGTCATAATATTACTAATAAGAAGTAGAAAAATGATTGTACATTTTAGAAATTATTAATTCTCATTTTGGCTTCTGACGTCCCAGGGGTGACCATATCTCACCTTTATAACTTCCAAAATATGGAGCATATGTATCTCAAATGTGGTCAAAATGGTGTATGTACTCTTGCTTTGTCATAATATTAGTAATAAGAAGTAAGAAAATGATTGTACTTTTAAAAAAATATTAATTCTCATTTTGGCTTCTGACGTCCCAGGGGTGACCATATCTCACCTTAATAACTTCCAAAATATGGAGCATATGTATCTCAAATGTACTCAAAATGGTGTATGTACTCTTGCTTTTTCATAATATTATACTAATAAGATGTAGGAATATGATTATACATTTAAAAAATTTTAATTTTAGCTTCTGAGGTCCCTCAATAACTTCTAAAATTATGTAACATATACAACTCAAATATACCAAAAATGGGGCATATGGTCTTGCTTTGTCATAATATTATTCATGAGATGTAGAAAAAATTATTACACCTTTTTTGAATTGAAATTTTCATTTTAGCTTCCAATTCTGACATCTCAGGGCCAACTATATCTCACCTTGATATAACTCTCACAGTATGCAACATATGCATCTCAAATGTGTGCCCAAAATGGTATAAATATAGTCTTGTTTTGTCATATTTATTGAGATTCATAAAATCAGAAGTTCAGAATTTATGGATTGGACTGTCTCCCCTGCAGGCTTCAGCTACATATAGCCCAGAGACAATAAGATCTACTTTCAAATATTTGCATCTTCTCCCCAAACACTCCTTATATTACAGGAACAATGGACGATAAGTCTTTTGCATGCCTTGGATGCAACATCTTTTGTATACTGGTAGCCTATCAGTAGTGTGAGTAGCCTAGCCTCTTTTACCAAAATTGGCCCCTTAACCCCAAATCTGACCCGAAATTTTGAAAATATCCTGAAAAATTAGGCCTTAAAGGCGCATTTATGCCCAAACATACACCAAACTGTCCCACTGCTAAATTACAAGGGCGATAAGTCACTTCTAATCCCGATTGACATTCTCTCGTTTGCATGTTTTGTCATATATCCGAATTACAAATGACTTTATAACTGCAATGTCTCATTCTATGGTACATGTATCAGAAGAAATCCAGATCGGAAATCGGATGATTTAGAACAGTATTAGAATGCAGATATGGCATCACATGCAATGATTGCATAAGGAAAGGGCTAAAGTTTTGCCATGATAATAACTGCAATAATAACATGGGAAGGTAGATACTGATAAGATTTCCTCTTTCAGTATGCAATCCAAATTGACACTTTCAGTTTTTTTAGCATAAAGTTTTGATGTCTGGAAGGAAAACAGATCACTCTTGTTCTTGGCACATCTTAGGAAATTTACAAGAGAATTAGTATGATATACCTTCTCCCTTGTTCCATTTCTATGTTTTATATGTGGGGAAGAAATATTACTTAATTTGCACAATCATTTATGTTCATGTTCTGCATATTTTCACTGTTGGGTTTTAGCATATGCATGTTAATGATCTAATTTTTGGCATGGTCATTCAAAATTTAATTTAATGGAGGAACTATAGTTTTCCATAATCTGTTATGAATGGAGGTTTTGGAGGCCTAATAAACTGAAGAACTTTGTTCCTGGATATGGTTCTATCAAATGGTACTGTTAGGTTTTCAAGTTGCCTTTTGTCGAATGTGCTATATTGTTCTTGCCCCATCTCAACAATTGTATTCACTGTATGGCCTATCATGCCAAGAGTAATGCAAGTGTTCCAAAAGCTAAGCTCTTCTCTGGGACCCTAGAAGTGCGGGACGTCACAATCATAAATTAATATTTCAATACAATCAATGTATGTTGACAAACATGAAAACTAGAGAATATGGCTAGAAAGATTTATCATTACAAAGAGCTCCTTTTCCCGTATTTTACATACTCAAAATCCCTTAATTCAGTGTATGATCCAAGGTGCATATATTGCAGGCAACAGGATAACATATTAACACCTTATCAACATTTGCCATTACTTCATAAATGGAGTAAAGTACTCCCACTATTGATAGGCTAAAAGGATTCCTGTATGGATTACAAAAGATGTTTGGTCCAAGTTATGCAAGGGAATAATCTCATCCATTGTACCTGTAAGGGGTGTTTGGGGAGCAGATGCAAATATTTGAAAGCAGATATTATTTGCCCTGAATTATATGTAGCTGTAGAGGAGACAGTCAAAATCCATTGATTCTGAACTGTTGATTTTATGATTCTAAATAAATATGACAAAACAAGACTATATTTATACCATTTTGAGCACACATTTGAGATGCATAAGTTGCATATCGTGAGAGTTATCAAGGTGGGACACCAGAGGCTAAAATTAAAATTTTTAAAAAAATGCAATCATTTTTCTACATTTCATTAGTAATATGAAAGACAAGACTTTTCTGAGAATATTTGAGGCGTATATGTTACATATCTTAGAAGTTATTATTATTATTATATGTTGCGATATGATTACCCAGGAACGTAAGAAGCTAAAATTAAAAAGTTTTAAATGTATAATCATATTCCTACATCTTATTAGTATAATATTATGACAAAGCAAGAGTACATACACCATTTTGAGTACATTTGAGATACATATGCTCCATATATTGGAAGTTATTAAGGTGAGATATGGTCACCCCTGGGACGTCAGAAGCCAAAATGAGAATTAATAATTTCTAAAATGTACAATCATTTTTCTACTTCTTATTACTAATATTATGACAAAGCAAGAGTACATACACCATTTTGAGCACATTTGAGATACATATGCTCAATATTTTGGAAGTTATTAAGGTGACATATGGTCACCCCTGGGACGTCAGAAGTCAAAATGAGAATTAATATTTTTTTAAATGTACAATCATTTTCTTACTTCTTATTACTAATATTATGACAAAGCAAGAGTACATACACCATTTTGACCACATTTGAGATACATATGCTCCATATTTTGGAAGTTATAAAGGTGAGATATGGTCACCCCTGGGACGTCAGAAGCCAAAATGAGAATTAATAATTTCTAAAATGTACAATCATTTTTCTACTTCTTATTAGTAATATTATGACAAAGCAAGAGTACATACAACAGTTTGAGCACATTTGAGATACATATGCTCCATATTTTGGAAGTTAATAATGTGAGATATGGTCACCCCTATCCTGCATGATACCACAATTTTAAATTTCAATAATTTTTTTCTCCGCCGGTACATAAGCTATTGATCTAATTTTAAGTATGTGGTATGAACAAATATAGGTCCTTCAGAATGAATTTTATCAGTACATGTCGTACCTTAACGAATCTAAAATAAGTTATTACATGTGGTAGAAGTACCAAAATAGGTGGCGCCCCTGTAGTGAATTTCAAGATATGCCCTTATTTTCACCCTAATCCACACAAGAAAATTCATACTGATTGTAAATAATGTTTTTGATAAGATTTTATTAGTATTGCAATGTCATTTTACTATTAAAATGTGTTAAAAAATTATTTTATACCCCTACCCCCTGTTTGAAAATGAATAGATGGCGCCTCTTTAACTGCCCATAGCAAATTCGTTTACCACACATTTTTACTCCACCCAAGATGAATTTATGCTAGAGAGTGTCTGGAACAAAATGATACCCACAAACCTTTTTTCCGAGCCGAGTAACGAAATCAGACCTAGGGACAGCACTATAGTATTATGTGAAAATTTGGTGATGATAATTTAAGAATTGCGCAGTTATATTGAAAATAGAGAATTGTTATCGAACAGGCCTGTAGCCAGGATTTGCCAGGGGGGTCACTTTTTAAAAAAATCCAGTAGGGTTCAATTAGACAACTTTGCCCAAAAATGGCCAAAATAATTTTTTGCTCGAACCCGCTCCCGCCCCCTGGCTACGGGCCTGCCAAATTCAGAGGTTAAATCCAGAGTGTCCAAAAAGTCTCTACAATCGCAATACAAAATCTATTTAACGTGTAAAGAGACTTGATACTCTTTATGTCTGTAAATATGAATGAATCCAGTAACGTTATAAACACTATTTTTTCAGGTACAGATGTATAGTACCTTATCCCCCACAAGGAGATGTAGAGCTAGAACTGAAAGTTGGCGATATTATATATGTGCATAAAAAGCGGGAAGACGGCTGGTTTAAAGGAACATTACAAAAGAATGGAAAAGTTGGATTATTCCCCGGCAGTTTTGTAGAGAGCTGCTAGATCTGTAAGATTGCTCGCAGTTTTAATAAGGCTGTTCTTTGATAAGTTATTGATTTGCGACGTGTAAAATTCTCATATTGGAGCAATTATAGCAAATTTTGGCCAAAATAACAACTGACATGTTTAAAGTATACCAAATACTTCAGTTTCTGAAAACCTATTCCTGTGTTTGTGATTTATTTGTACATCGTTTTTTGATTCAACTGCTTATCAGTTATGAGCTTCCTACCACAATTCGTATTGTTGCAATCTACAATACATTGTATTAATTGTAATTATTATGCAATTCTATTGCTTTGAATCTTTGTTATTTCATACAGTAAAAGTGTAAGTCATCCGATCATTTACATGTTATAAATTCTCTTAAGTCTTTCAAATCTGAATTTATGAGCAAAATTTTAAAGTAAAATATTGAAAACTCACTAATTCAAACATGTCTCTGTGAAAGCTTCTCTCGATGCCTTTAAAATCTGTCATGAGCTTCTCTCTTCAAAAAAGCTTAAATTTGAAAACCTGCAAATCCAAACACTTTTATCTGATCCCAATGGCGTTTGGATTAGACAGGTTTTACTGTATTTAATATACACGATGTTATCAGTGCTTTTAAACATACAATATTAACTTGATTTTTAAACATACAATATTAACTGTTTTTCTCTGTTGTGAAAACAATGGCTCAATTTAATTTTATTTCTAATTATGCTCAACACCATGTCAATTCATATGTCAATACTAAGTTGATAAAATAAACCTTTCTCTTATTGTTATTAGTTATTTTACACTGCAAAATATGCTCATTAGACCTTTTTTTTTAATTTTTCAGTGAAATTTATTCGTTTCATGCTCAATATACAAAGACCTACCTTGTAGATTCTACATTTCAACTGGTTTATTTTATCTATGTTCAATTTTTTTTTTTTATTATGATTAGTGGTTTGTCTTATTTCTTTATGCATAAGTGGTTCTTATAATTTTATTTAATTGTGATTTATTCATAGTGATTTGTGGTCCTTCTAAAATCTGTATTGTGATCAGTCTGTTCTGAGTTCTTTTAAATACATTTGTAAACATTTAATTTTTCTAATTATTTTTTTTATTATTCTCGTGGTAAATGTCATAAAATAGTTGTAACACTCTGTAGTTAAATAACTAAAACTTTATGATATTGATTATATTTCAATTGTGGACTACTATAATACAGAGTGTCCTCAAAGTCGCTTTAAAATTACAATACAAAGTACATGTAATGTGTAGACTCTATGTACACCCTGTATAATATGTAATTCAGTCTTAAATCATCAAGTTTTACATTTAATTTAGTGTTGCTTCAAATACTGTAAAGGTGTAAATTGAGCTGATTTGGTGCTAAAGCATGCACTTAATTAAAGCAATTTGCATTTTATAGCGTACAGATATATTTATGTTGCATCTGAATGTTTTGAGATTTTAACCTCATACAATGTACACTCACTCAACTGCTCTTGCTCAGTTGCGAACATATTTTTCAAAAGAGCAAACATTTTGTAATTTTCAGGTCGATTTAATTTGGTCACGTTCATATTAATACATCATGCAATGCAAAGGATAGGTATCGATATGGTGAACTGAATTCAACAATGTTTTTCTCTGAAAAACCTGACCTTCTCAGCATAATATTCATGTCATATAGCTTAGAATGTAATTTATTTAAAATTCGTACAACTCAGAGAAGTTGTAATATTTAATGAGTAAATCATGTGCTAATAAAGACTTACTGATGTCATCATGGGTACTGATGTCAATATGGAGGGCTGATGTCATGGAGGACTGATGTCATCATGGAGGGCAATTCAAGTCTTCCTAAATGTTTTGAAGAATTACCAATCTGTTATTTTAATCCAAATAGTGGCATACTTTACTCTGATACAGAATTTTTCTTCAAATTTGTAGAGATAGATGATCAAATAGACCAATATTCGTTTGGAACATATTTTCAGTAATTATACAACAGCCATAGATTACTAATAATGTATGGATTCAAGAGAAATGCATGTAAAGTGGCTACAAGTAAAAAGTGAATGTTTAATACTTGTTTTTATCAAAGTACTCGTTTCCACATATTTTCAATCATTTTGGTACTAGTGCAAAGAGTATTATATGTGATATTATAACATACCTATGATGATGTATAGTGCAAAGTGTACACAAGACAGCGGGCCAATATAAGTTTTGAAAAGCCCGCGCCCGCTAACTTTCTGATTGGTCAAGGCGCTGACGTCATAACCAATCAATCGAAGATAAAACTGCGCGAGCAATTTTTATAAACTCATTTCAATCATTTTCAAACCATTTGTTTGTCAATTCTATAAGAAAACGGTACTCTCTGACCAGTCTACATCATCATAGGTATGTTATAAATCGTTTATGTCACTATCGTGGCACATATGCCCTCGGTTCTCAGAGATCAATGTCCCTCCCAAGGTCGGGCCATATATCACTGAGACCTCGGGCATATATGCCACGATAGTGACATAACCTCTAAATAATGAAGGATGGATGGACGGATGCCTAGTCGATCCCATAGGCTCACTGTGTGAGTCAAAAACATTGTAGGAGACAGTATAAAAACATGTTCTGTGATGATGAAAATATTGTGAGACAAAAAATATTGTATGAGACAATGAAATTATTGTATGAGATGAGGAAAATATTGTAGGTGACTAGAAGATTTAATAAGATGATGTGTCAGTTTGGATAGATTCAGATTGGAACTTTTTAGTAATCGTATCAAGGTTTCAAAGCCATTATTTAGCATCTGAACTAGTCTGAATCTTTCTATACTGATATTGTACTAGAATAAATATTTTGAAAAGGCTAACTAAAAAAATTCTTCAACTTAGGATTTAAAATGATGTATTTTATACCCATGTCATTGAGAGTAATATCTAGTATAGAATATTATATTACCAAAAAATAAATATATAAATATTAAAACATCAAATCATGTGTGTGTTTTGTGACTATTTTATTTAGTATTAATAAATAATAGCTACTGTACAAATTGATGGATCTGAACAGAATAATTCAGGAATTGGAGGACCTGTTTCTACATTCACAAGACTGTGCTATTCAAACCACAAATGTGGCGACAATGACTCCATTCTTTTAAAATCATACATTGTTGACAGATTACCAGGCTGGTTAGCCACCTGGCCAAATATTCTTCCAAAAATCATGCATTTTTTACAATTTTGTGCACTTTCAAGTGATTTTTGGGCCAAAATTGAACCCCCTAATATTTTTTTAAAACTGAACACCCTTGACAAAAGCTAGTTACAAGCCTGATTTGATAGCACTTATTCAAAGAATTAACCTTGAAACTACATTCAATTGGCATATGTTACATACGTTCATACTTCATATGCATACGTCACTATAATCTCAGACATCATGCTTTTTTACAATTTTGTGCACTTTCAAGTGATTCTTGTGCCAAAATTGTCACATTAGAACCCCCTGGAATTTTTTAAAAACTGAACACCGTTGACAAAAACTGGTTACAGGCATGATTTGATAGCTCTTATTCAAAGAATTAACCTTGAAACTACATTAGCATATGTTACATACGTTCATAATTCATATACATACGTCACTATTATCTCAGACGTCATTGCTCTAATTGGTGCCAATATTAACATGGCAGACAGACATCAAGTTTCTAATATGAAGAAAATTTACTCGCGCGGTTCATTGTGAAACATTTTTATGTAAGTGAGAGCCATCTTTATAACATTTATAAAGCTCTTCCAAATCATGTTGAATTCTTTTATAAAATATCACTGATTAAAATATTAATGATTTCAGCTATGACAAACTATCCTTCAAAATTAAAATAAAATTGCCATAACGTACAACAATCCTATTAATAAAAATGTCAACAAGGCATTAACATGCAAAATGTCACCACTTGCCATTTGTTAGACACCAACCACCATTTAAGTTACATGCCAAACACCGTCCACAAAAAAGTTTAAGACTGTAGAATATGTCACCACTTGTGGCCTATAACAATATGTCACCACTTGTGGAGGTGACAAAAAAGCATGTCATATAACAGTAATTCTAACATGATATGTGATGTCACAATAACGAGAACAATTGATTTATTGGTCTATATTGGGGTATGTATGACCTGTAAATTTCAATATAGACCAAAAAATGTAATGGCTATTACAATTGCATACTCACCCCCTCTGAACCAATTTAGTCACAATATAGGATGAAGTCAAATATGATATAGTAATGTGACGTCAGTTTCATTATTGATATTTTTGCAAACTATTTAGCTAGAAGGAAATCCGGTAAATAGAATGTCCAAAACATTAGAATTAAACTTAGGTTTTATCATGTTAGAATCGTAACAAAGACCTCGATTCTATGATTTATGGCAAATATAGACCTCAAATTTTATTCTGGCCATTGTCAAAGACCTCAATTGCTACGCGATTTTGGTCTTTTAACAATGAACAGAATCAAATTTTCGGTCATACATTACGCCATAAATCATAGAATCTCGGTCTTTATTCCTTAAGTAATCACACACATTTTGGTGAGGGTTGTCACAGATCCAGTTTTATCTTAAGCAGATTATCCTTCAAATGAAAATTGCATGAAGTCCATAGTCAGATAGTAAAACAACCCTATTAGAAATGTGAAAAAGCGTGTCACGTAATGGTAATTAATACCAGATAATCCTTCAAATTAAAATTGCATAAAGTCCATAGTAAAACAATCCTATTAAAAATGTCAAAAAGCGTGTCATGTAATTGTAATTAATACCACATTTTTATGATGCTAGTCACGACTCCAATTAAAAAGTGATGACTCCATCAAGAAATCAATTAATAGACAAAGCTTGATCATATCAATAAAACAGGACATTCTCAAGTAAAACAAGCATCCGTGTCCCCCCCCTGACTCCACTCACTCAAATTGTAAACCTTATTTTTGTAAACTTCATTGCTATTGATTTATCTACCTCCATATAATACTTAATAACAAACTGATCTGATCCAATTGACTTTTATATGGAAAGCTAATCACTTTCCTTTTAAGGCTGAGCCATTTTCTTCTATGAGTCGTTTCATATGTGTCCGTGAAAACTGCAAACAGACTCCTGAGGTCAATGCAACCAACATGTACATAGTACATGTAGTAATAAATTATAATCAATAAGAGCCAGGGTCACTCCGAGCCTGGTTGCAGTTTGCACACTTCGTGTGTTCCATACACCTACATAACTGATGTATAAATTACTGTCCAGTCCACATTGTTCATATTCTTCAGATTAGGAGTCATTCTCTAGTCTTCAAGTACTGTACATAGTATTAGACATACGTCTATTATATTTTTTGCTGTTGTGGCTGAATACTGACTTTGTAAGGCATAAAATGTAGCCAGAAGCAAGAATACACATTCCATAGTTAATATAATATCAAGAACCAGTGATAGTGCATTTATGGACTTTTGTCCATCATTTAATCGTCTCCTCTTTCACCATTTAAACTCCCCCTCTTTCATCATTTAAACTCCTCCTCTTTCATCATTTAAACTCCTCCTCTTTCATCATTTAAACTCCTCCTCTTTCATTATTTAAACTCCTCCTCTTTCATCAATTAAACTCCTCCTTTTTCATCATTTAAACTCCTCCTCTTTCATCATTTAAACTCTTCCCTTTTCATCATTTAAACTCCTCACTTTTTCATCATTTAAACTTCTCCTCTTTCATCATTTAAACTCTTCCCTTTTCATCATTTAAACTCCTCACTTTTTCATTATTTAAAGTCCTCCTCTTTTCCAATAGGTTCTTGATGAAGAACTCTCCTGAAAACAGAATTCAAACATTACTTTCTGTCTTTCGCACAACCATATATACAAGTAGTAACTAGTACTATTAACTGCACAGCGCTCATCAAATACATCTAGCAAAAACAAAATGTCCAATGTGAAAACATTAAAAGCTATGATAGCAAATTTTAGTGGTGTCTGAGGAATACAGTCAATTCAAAAATCACATGCCTTGAAATATATAGAGCCTTATTTTGAAATCCATGAATTTTAATATTTTTGTATTCTTGTATGTTAACAGCACTGCATTTGCTCTTTATTTAGTATCTGTTTTAATTTGGCATGTCAGTGATACTACACAGCCAATCTGCAACAGTACTGTACAGAACTGTTTTGGCAATGGTACTGTACGGTACCGTGAAATATGGTACCATAGACTAAAATGGTACCGTACAGTACCTTGAACACTGTATGACACCGTAATCCAACGGTACCATACTCTAAATGAACCATACTGTACTGTGATTTTACAGTGCGGATACGGAATAGTTTTTGCAATGGTACTGTACGGTACCGTGAAATATGGTACCATAGACCAAAATGGTACCGTCCAGTACCGTGAACACAGTATGACACCATTATCCAACGGTAGCGTACGGTACCATACTCTAAATGAACCGTACAGTAGTGTGATTTTACAGGGCGGATTGGGGGTGTACAGTAATAATAAAAAGACTGTCTTGGAGTTAAATCAAATTGCAATTACTTTAAATTGTGATTTCTTAATGTGGGTAATACTTGCTTATGAATACAGATTGTTCGAAAACTAGGTAATGGCATATGTACCACAAAACCTGTCTTAGTGAACACCTCTCTCTAGTGAACACCTGTCTCTAATGGACACCCTTCCTATGCACATACGTGTTGACCTCTGTATAAATCACCCTCTCTAGTGAACACCTAAACACATTCATTTTTTCCCAGCAAAAATGTTCAATATACACAGGTCAATCTGTACTTGTTTCTAAATCGATAATCAACTTTATCAAACAGCAACTCGTATCAGTATATGATCAGTCAATTTGATATTATTGGTTCATACCTGCTTTATAAGAGGATCTGACTAGAGGGCCACTAGCAGTGAATGATCAGTATATGATCAGTCAATTTGATATTATTGGTTCATACCTGCTTTATAAGAGGATCTGACTAGAGGGCCACTAGCAGTGAATGATCAGTATATGATCATCAATTTGATATAATTGGTCCATACCTGCTTTATAAGAGGATCTGACTAGAGGGCCACTAGCAGTGAGTGATCAGTATATGATCAGTCAATTTGATATAATTGGTCCATACCTGCTTTATAAAGGGATCTGACTAGAGGGCCACTAGCAGTGAATGATCAGTACATGATCAGTCAATTTGATATTATTGGTCCATACCTGCTTTATAAGAGGATCTGACTAGAGGGCCACTAGCAGTGAATGATCAGTATATGATCAGTCAATTTGATATGATTGGTCCATACCTGCTTTATAAGAGGATCTGACTAGGGGGCCACTAGCAGTGAATGATCAGTATATGATCAGTCAATTTGATATTATTGGTTCATACCTGCTTTATAAGAGGATCTGACTAGAGGGCCACTAGCAGTATATGCAAAGCCGAGTTTCTTTCCCATGCTCTCCCAGTAGGCAAACTTCTCAGGAGTAACATATTCCTTTACCTACAAGTACACAAACACTTAATTATATTTTTGGCATAGAATTAAAACTTACTGGTAAGTATATTTTCATACATCAAGTATTCCTCCCAGACACTTTAAGGTAACGGTAAAGTTAATCAAAAGTACAAAAAATGGCAGCCATATTTTTTTGGTAGTCACAAAATTTTGTATCGGTTTTCCTTATATATGAATGCATTTCCTGACTAAAGAGATATGTCAAAGAAAACTTCACATTTAAACGCATTTTTCATAACTATGTACATTTGATTAACTTTAGCGTTACCTTAAATGGTTAGTCCAGAAAAGTTTAAGAAAATAGGAGCATTCAATACAGGATTGCATTTTGCATTTTTGTTAACTTATACTGACCTGTAGATGGCGCTTTGTTGGCTGCATATATTGCCCCAATGTTAGACAGTCTACATCAATTTCCCTCAGATCTAAATGTAAAAGTACATGAAAAATCTAATTTTATTGCTTAACTATGGAGGAAGTATTGTCAACATGAATTTAATAAACAGCCTGGTTCAATTATTGTAATATCCCTGAGTCAGTTTAATTCCTTAAGACAAACCAGAACAACGGCAACGCCAAAGCGTAGCAAATCCCATCGAACAGCCATGGATGGCATTTTTACAAACAAAGTATATAGCAAAAATGGCAGGCATTTTTCAAAATGGCCACCTTCTACCAAAAATGTCATCCATTTGCCATACTTATAGTATTCACATACCAAATATGAACAAAATCGCTCCACTACTTTTCGTGTTATAGTAAAATACGTTAAATGGCCGCCTTCTACCAAAAGTGTCATTAGACAGTGTGCCATGCTTACAGTATTCACATACCAAATATGAACAAAATCGCTTCACTACTTTTCGAATTATTATAAAATACATTAAAATGGCGGCCATTTTTCAAAATTTTTTTGAAATGGCCACCTTCTACTAAAAGTGTCATAGGATAGTGTGTCATGCTTTTAGTATTCACATACCAAATATGAACAAAATCGCTCCACTACTTTTCGAGTTATAGTAAAATACGTTAAAATGGCGGCCATTTTTCAAAATGGCGGCCTTCTACCAAAAGTGTCATTAGACAGTGTGCCATCCTTATAGTATTCACATACCAAATATGAACAAAATCGCTTCACTACTTTTCGAGTTATAGTAAAATAGGTTAAAATGGCGGCCATTTTTCAAAATGGTGGCCATTTTTTAAAATGGCCACCTTCTACCAGAAGTGTCTTTAGACAGTGTGCAATGTTTATAGTATTCACATACCAAATATGAACAAAATCGCTCCACTACTTTTCGAGTTATAGTAAAATACGTTAAAATGGCGGCCATTTTTCAAAATGGCCGCCTTCTACCAAAAGTGTCATTAGACAGTGTGCCATCCTTATAGTATTCACATACCAAATATGAACAAAATCGCTTCACTACTTTTCGAGTTATAGTAAAATAGGTTAAAATGGCGGCCATTTTTCAAAATGGTGGCCATTTTTTAAAATGGCCACCTTCTACCAGAAGTGTCTTTAGACAGTGTGCAATGTTTAAAATCGTAAAATAACGAGTAAAGGCCGCCATTTTTCAAGATGGCTGCCATGTGCTTCTTTAATATCTACAATTCTAGCTTAATTAATGTCCTATATAATTTTTTTACATCTAAAACATATTGCTATTACAGTTTTACATATTGCACCTAAATTACTGTAAATTCAGCACTAAAATGGCCGCCATTTTGAAATGAGCGGCCATTTTGAAAATCGGCTTTCGAGCAGAACTTCTACCCCCATAGGGTATATGTGTACAAAATATGAACAAAATCCGGCGAACGGTATTTGAGTTATTGCCCGGACGGACGGACGGACGGACGGACGTACGTACGTACGTACGGACGGACGGACGGACGGACGGACGGAGGCGTTCCCTATATCCCTCCGAACTTCGTTCGATGGGATAACAAAGGAAAAGTTATCCACTTGGTCTAATGACCAGAATAGAGTCCATAATGTACTTGCACTGCACTATACAATAAGGTAAACCCGGGGGGGGGATGTATAGAGATGGCCCATCCAGGGCTTCACATTTACAATATCAACTCACCTTCTAGTACTTTCATAACCTGGTCATCTGACTCCCCCAGTCCTAACATGATAGATGTTTTGCTGATCAAGCCAGGATTGACCTCCTTCACATGCTTTAGGACACTCATAGATTGATTGTAGTTGGCCCTGGGGTCTCGCACAAATCTAAAAGAAATACAGTTAGTTACAAAGAATAAACATAACCCTTATGCCTGTACAAGCTTTTTTGAGGATGGGGGGGTATTTTTCCTTATCCTTGGGAAAATCCATACCTGCAGTAGCATGGAGAAAATGCCTCTTCTGGAAAATTTTTTGGCTTTGCTTTAGAAAATTTGGTCACATTTTTTCAAAAGTTAAGGCCTTTTTAAATAAAAAGGAGATTCAAAAATGTTTTTATATTTATATCCATGTAAATTGTATTTAATGAATTGATCAAATAACACGACATCTTTACGACATCTTATGTATCAGCTCGTGGAAAAGTGAGTGGCAATTCACACATGCGCATCGTGTTCGTTTTAAGATTTTATCTCACCAGCCAATTCAAATTCATTTTGTGGTTTACCAATTCTTCCCCATAGGAGAGAGGCAATGGCTCTTCAAAACAATAGCATACAAAGTATACACTTACATGTATATTCCTTCATATAAGATAAATTTTTCATATTGAAATACAAGAAATGTGGTCTTAACTTGCAATAACCAATTCAGTCTGATGGAGTATAGATTTTCTGAGAGATATCTTGTCTAAATTCTACACAAAAATTCTATTACATATAAACTCTTACTTTTGGAGATCTTCCACTGTCTCTACATTATGTGCGTAAACATCTAGACCTGAGGTTGCTATGGTTTCCACACCAGTTAGGTCACCACGGAAATCTGGTGTAAGACATTCAACCATCATCTCTGGTTTCCTGGAATAAAAAAACAATAGTACAATATAAGAATGCTATGTGCATTACAATAAGGAGAATGCTATGTGCATTACAATAAGGAGAATGCTATGTGCATTACAATAAGGAGAATGCTATGTGCTTTATAATAATGAGAATATTATGTGCATTACAATAAGGAGAATGCTATGTGCATTACAATAAGGAGAATGCTATGTGCTTTATAATAATGAGAATGCTATGTGCATTACAATAAGGAGAATGCTATGTGCATTACAATAAGGAGAATGCTATGTACATTACAATAAGGAGAAAGCTATGTGCATTACAATAAGGAGAATGCTATGTGCATTACAATAAGGAGAATGCTATGTGCATTACAATAAGGAGAATGCTATGTGCATTACAATAAGGAGAATGCTATGTGCTTTATAATAATGAGAATATTATGTGCATTACAATAAGGAGAATGCTATGTGCATTACAATAAGGAGAATGCTATGTGCATTACAATAAGGAGAATGCTATGTGCATTACAATAAGGAGAATGCTATGTGCTTTATAATAATGAGAATGCTATGTGCATTACAATAAGGAGAATGCTATGTGCATTACAATAAGGAGAATGCTATGTACATTACAATAAGGAGAAAGCTATGTGCATTACAATAAGAAGAATGCTATGTGATTTACAATAAGGAGAATGCTATGTGCATTACAATAAGAAGAATGCTAGGTGCATTACAATAAGGAGAATGCTATGTGCATTACAATAAGGAGAATGCTATGTGCATTACAATAAGGAGAATGCTATGTGCATTAAGAAGAATGATATGTGCATTACATGGGTCTCCCCAGGGAGGGTGTGTCGGGTGTGACGGTAATCCCTTTTTGAGCCAATTTTACTTTTCTCTAGGGACGGTGCTGAGGAAAATGAGACTCATAGGAATGAAGAACTATGTGCTCTGGTGAATAAAATGGAGAAGCTAGGCTTCAAGTTCGACCTAGAGTGATCTCCCAAGGATTTTTTCTCAAGTGCAAAATTTTCATTTTCACAATTCACACTGAAAATGGTCAAAATATGCCATTTTTCATGATTTTCCTCATTTCCAAATGGGTGCAAATGGATTTTCAGGTGGGTCCAAGCCTGTTTTCAAAATCTCAGGTGGGTGCTGCACCCACCTGCTTTAATGCTGGGGAGATCCCTGACCTATGATGATGTTTTTTAAATGTAGACACATTCATCTTACTTCATCTTACTTCATCAATCTTCAGACCTGCTGTCCAAGTACACAGGGAGATATGCTGATTACTAAATTAGGACAAAGTAGTAAAAAATTAGCAATCTTGGAAAATGAGTGAGTTTAATTTAGTACTAATTCATGTTATGAGTACTCATTTAGTGCTAAGAAATCAATAAAATTACTGCTATTTTATCACTGATCATATCAGTAATCATTTAGTACTAAAGCAAGCAATTAATCAGTACTCATGTCATAAGTGCTCATTCAGTACTACCCTTAGGAAAAAAGTTAAGGGCATTACCCTTGGTTTACCCGAATGTAGCATTAACTTACCTTAATGTCAACCTTAATTCAAAATTACCCTCAATATTAGGGAAATTAACCTAACTTTACTCATAATTAGATGTTGGGGAATTGTAAGGGTCAGTTAAGGGCTAAATATGTGTGATCTTAATATACCTAAATAAACCCCAATCAACCTTATTTTACCTTAATTAACCTCAGTTACACTATTTTCTAGGTTACTTTATGTCATCTTTTTTTTGTCTATAAATATCATTTATCTTAAAGAACTATAGTCTACCAGTCAAAGGATAAGTATATATTGTATAAGACCACTTGTGTAACTTACAAAACTCTTATAGGAGTTGAGCTGGAAGTCTAATATAACAAATAATATTTGGCTTTTAGACTAACATGAAATGAAAATAAAAGTGACAACTACCTGATACTTATGATATGTAAGATGTATCAACATGGCCAATCTAGCCTTTTACATTATATAACATGCTATAATCCTCAGACAGCTCAATAATATTTGACTAGAAGGCACATTGCCAACTATTAATAGGTATGATTTGGTGGACTCTAAGCATGGCTTTTTGAATCATTTTCCTTAAAAAAGTAATAACTAGTATTTTATTTCATTGGCAATTATGCATTTTGTTAATTTTAAGCTGGATGACTTCGTCTAAAAAATGAATTCAATATATGGCTGAAAAAAATGTGACCCTAAATTCTGATAATAATTTATCATGATCTACCCTTGACATGAACCTTGGTAAACATTAATTGAACCTTAATTGTCCCTTAAGTCCACCTTAATTTTTCCCTTAAGTGCACCTTAATAATCCCTTGAGTGCATGTATAATTTCCCTAAGTTTCCCTAAAATTCCAATTGATTCACAGAAGCCAACCATAACTTCACCTATCATTTAATATTACTTATAGAAAATGGCCAATCTAGCCATTCACATCGACAAATAGTGTGATTCTCACTGGAGCTGTTTTTGAGGGTCATGAATCTCTTCTGTTATTTAACCTTGATATCTAATATTACAAGTGAATTATATTTGGCTTCATGGCTGGCAAGAAATAATCAGAGAAATGAGGACTATCTGATAGTTCTGTTTTATGAGAGGCCTTAACATGGCCAATCTATAGCCATTTGCTTTGAAAAGATATTGTGATTCTCTCTGGGACTGTTTTGAGGGCCATGTATCCCTTTCATCATCTAACCTAGATTTCTAATATTATTAGTGATTTATATTTAGCTTAAGGTGAGCAGAAAATGAAAATAATAAAAATGACACAACCCGATAGCTCTGTTTTGTAAGACATCTTAACATGGTCAATCAAGCCATTTACCTTGATATTATAAGGTGAATCTCTCAGGAGCCGTTTTGAAGGCAGTGTATCTCTTTTGTTATTTAAGCTGTCTGTCTAATATAACAATTGAATTATATTTGGCTTTAGTGCTAGCAAGAAATGAAAATGAAAATTACAACGTCCCAAGAGTTCTGTTTTGAAAGACATCTTAGCATGGCCAATCAAGCCATTTACCTTGATATTATAATGTCAATCTCCCAGGAGCTGTTTTGAGGGCAGTTAAGCTAGATGTCTTATATTATAACTGAATTGTATTTGGCTTACTTGCTAGAAAGAAATGGAAAAAGGACAACTACCCAATAGGTATGATTTGGTGGATCTCTTAGCATGGCTTTTTCGGTCATTTTCCTTAATTAAATAATCATACTTATCTCATGGTAAATCATATATTTTGTTTATTTTAGCTAATTATTCTTAAATTCACTACAGCCAACCATGATTTCACTTTTTTGAAACTGAATTCTGAAATTTATTCAGACTCAGGCCCCTATAGATAAAGTTTCATCTATGTAAAAGGTAAATGATTTACCCTGAAGTAACCCTCAAATTACCCTAAACTTTAAAGACCCCTTGAACCAAACTCATAATGTAGCTATTGATTTATCAGTAAATAATTCTAAAAATAATGGTTGTATTTTATATTTCATATTATTTATATGGTAGAATTCACTGAATGCTTCATTTGCTTCAAGCAATTTAAAGTTTTTTATTTGAACCGCTTTGAGGGAGTCATTAAAGTAACATTACACTAGATTTGTACTCCCTTGTGCTGATTTGAGGGACCTATTTCTCATTCCATATATGCGCTGGGGTTCTCATATTTAAGGTTGTTAATATTTGACTAGTATGCATGATGGAAATGAATACATAAATTACAACTTTTTAAAAATTATGAATTGTTTGACCTCTAAACATTGCCAATCGAAGCCCCTTGATAAAATATTCTGATTCTCTCTGGAGCTATTACGAGAGCCAGGAATCTCTTTTTTTATTAAAGCTAGATCCCTGATATAACAAGTGAATTATATTTGGCTTTTAGGCTATAGAAAAATGAGAATAAATATGACAATTACCGGATAGTTCTGTTTTTTAAGACATTTTAATATGGTCAATTTAGACATTGACATTGTCAAAATAGTTTGATTCTCTCTGGAGCTGTTTTGAGAGCCATGTATCTCTTCTGTTATTTAACCTAGATATCTAATATTACAAGTGAATTATATTTGGCTTCATGGCTGACAAGAAATAATCAGAGAAATTATGACAATGGGATAGTTCTGTTTTATAAGAGGCCTTAAAAATGGCCAATCTAGTCATTTGGTTTAAAAACATAGTGTGATTCTCTCTGGGGCTGTTTTGAAGCCCATATATCTTGTTTGTTAATTAAGCTAGATGCCTAATATCACAGGTGAATAATATTTAGCTTTCAGGTTAGCAAAATTGAAAATAGAAATGACAACTATGATTCTTTCTTGGGCTGTTTTGAGGGTCACATGTCTCTTGTATAAGTTGAGCTGGATGTCTAATATAACAAGTGAATAATATTTGGCTTTTAGACTAACATGAAATGAAAATGAAAGTGACAACTACCTGATATTTATGAAATGTAAGATTATCAACATGTCCAATCTAGCCTTTTCCATTATATAACATGCTATAATCCTCCCTGGAGCTGTTTTGGAAGGCATGTGTATGGTTTATTAGTAAGACTCGAGGTCTATTATTACAGCTCAATAATATTTGACTCAAAGGCATTTTGCAAACTACTAATAGGTATGATTTGGTGGACCCTAAGCATGGCTTTTTGAGTCATTTTCCTTTAAAAAGTAATTACTAGTATTTTGTTTCATTGGCAATTGTGCATTTTGTTAATTTTAAGCTGGATGACTTTGTCTCAAATATGTATTCAATATATGGCTGAAATCAATGTGACCCTAATTCCTGATAATAATTTATCATGATCTACCCTTGACATGAACCTTGGTAAACATTAATTGAACCTTAATTGTCCCCTAAGTCCACCTTAATTTGCCCTTAAGTGCACCTTAATTATCCCTTGAGTGCATGTATAATTTCCCTAAGTTTCCCTAAAATTCCCATTGATTCACA